GGCTGACATCTCCATCGGTAAGCAGGAATTATCTGGAGCCGGCACTGGGCACGTATATAAAATATTGACATATTACGTAGTGCCTTGTAGGGCCCAAGTTCCCCATATAGTTAAGGCTGTCCAGCCTCTCGGAGGCGAGTACAAGGGTATCACGCCGACGTATTTCGTCAGTAGTCACGATAGCTTCGCAGAGGACCCTTCTAGCAGATAGAATTCGGATACCAGTCCCGCGTAAGCGGACATCTCCAGTACCTTGAGCATTTAGTTTTTGCTTTGGAATTTCTTGAGCCTCTTGATCGTCTGGTAAACGTTACAGTTAGTCAAGCATTCATGATTGAACTACACTGCCTCCGGAAAAAAAAATTTGTGCCTGGCATAATACTTTTAGTCCTACGACGGCAATATGATTCCTGGCTGGCCGCGATGACGAAGCTAGCATGCTGTACCAGGTGAAATCTCCCCAATCCATTGCCTTCCTGGGCCCAGAAAACAAGGAAAGGGGAAAACTAGGGTGGTCGTCCAGCATTTCGCGACACCCGGTGGCCGATCTGGCCACGGCTAGTTGCTTCTGAATATTGCCTTCTCGATCATAGCTGGCAATCCTTAAATTTCCTACTATTATCGCATTCATGCAGAAGAGCTGAGTTGGTCGTGAAACCAATAATACCGTCGCCCTGCAGGGCAAGCTGGTCAGGAGACATGCAATGTTATTCCAGCTAGGCCCTTGCTAACACGTCGATACCATTCATACCTCACATACGACGTGACAATATATCTACTGGAGCGTTGTATCCTTCGGTACGATAACCACCGATGTTTAACAGAGGTACTCTTGGCACCTACTTGAGATAGCCTACTATAAAAGTATGTACTCGTTTAGGTATTATACTACTATTCTAGAACCATGGATCTCCACGTGTCGAGCATACTGTGTCGATCAAAATATGCCATTTTTTTTAAATTAAGATTTCATGATTCATTATGATGTTCGATCTCTCCCGAGCTCGCGTTTTGTGCACCCGGCTGAGGTAAGATATCATGACTGTCAGACAGAAGTGTTACGATGGCGAATTTTGTATCACCTCTCACCGCTTTATACATACAGACAAATCCCGAGTAGACGGACGTGATTCGGGAAGGACCCTTCTTTTACCTAAAACCTGGGGTAGAGCTAAGCATGGCAAGGTCATAAGGCTCGCCTCGTCGAATCGGGCATTCCTACAGCACGCTCAGCCGTAGGAGTCTCCTCGGCCTTTGTCATCGGTCGGATAGATATGGCTTCATACAATCTAAATCTTTTTCGTTGCAATCAAGGACAATAGGGGCGAACCAGTATTGCCAAGGCCGTGGTTACCGCTTGTCCTGAGGGTTAATGCTATCCGTATGAGATTGGGTTGCGTCCCGTTGCTAGGTATTCCCCTGACCGGCAGTTGGATGCCTCTTTTGTAATTGGGTATGATAGGTAGGGCTTCGATGAACAGAATTGGGCGGCTCGTACGGTACCAGAGTGTTCAACTACATGCCTTACTCCTGATTACGGAGAACTGTCCCGGTACCGCTTCCTATTACGTTGATAAACGACAGTGAAGCTGGCGAACTGGTGCCATAATGCAAAAGGGGTAACCTCAAACCGGTTGATGGAATAGGCTATTCATGGATACGTATTCCACACTATTGTATAGTTAACCCATAAATATGCAACAGTGGTGCTTTATCTAATGTTGAAACCTGAACTAGGGTTGAAATGACGGTGAGATTAAACTCAATAGGTACCTCTTAGCCAACGAGTCTGAGTTTGTAACTACCTCTATAGACTAGAAGAAGTGTGCTTGTACTGCGTTGTACCGACGTCGACAAGGACGATGATGATCGTGTACTGAGTGGAGTAGTATGTATACCACTCATTACAACTTCCATCTTGGGCTCGTATGCAATCCTAATCGTATCTCTCACTACTCAGTTTGGTGATGTATCTTACAGTTACACTAGTCAAGGGTTTCTATGGTGTGTCTATAACCCAGATATACCACATATCTCTTCTAGCTATTTAGAAGAGGAAGCCTTTTCTAAAATAAGTCGGGAAATTTCTAGGTTAAGCTTTGTTTTAGTCCTGTATGAAGTATATCCTATTAGCTAATACTCTATTTCGAGAAACATTTACCGTGTTTAAGTTCGTATTCATCACGATTCATCGGATCCTATGAAGTTCATAGATAACTCTCCACCAATCCCGTGGTATTTCGCGGTTAACTTAGCTTCGACGTCTCGGCGATAAGCATCTTGGGCTTAGTTAATAACCATCCTAGCAGAGAATGGCTCCATAGCTTCTAGAGTAAGATCTTTATTCTAGGCGAAATCCTACGAGGTAAGATCATCCATGTCACCATTGATAGCATGGCATGGCATGGCATGTAGTGTGGATATTCGTCCGCCCATGCCCAGCTATATGCCATGCAGGATGATGGGTCCGACCGAGCCGCCGTCTGGTAATATAGGCGCCGGAATTCTTCCCTGTCCCCGAGATGCCGGCAAAAAGCCCGTTATGATTCTTACATCCCCGGATTCAAATATGTACCGTGCCGATGTTCGCTCGTACGTACCGTCCATCATAGCAGCATGACGGGAGCTTATTAGGAAGCCTAACTCTAAGCCTCACCGCCTTACGTATCCTTACAGTCGCGTTAAGCGCGCCCATTGGAAAGGATAGCACGGGATGTAGACGCCAGCTATGTCCGAACTAGCCAAAGCCACACCGACGAAGACCCGATGTTGTAGGCCCGTGTGTGACGGTGATTGGTGAGGGATACGTCGAGTTTGTTGTGGCAGATGTTGGCGTGGAAAAGGACATCCGCAAATGATATTCTCCGTCATCTTTTAATATCTGCTGACGTGTTAATGCGATATGTTACCGGGTTGTTCGGCGTTAGGTATTCAAGACTAGGGACCTTGTCAGCATAGAAAGGATTTGACATCCGCATTGAAGTCCCCCCTGGGTCCGTGTGTACGGGATCATCTGCACGGCCGCAATTGAGACTGTTCTTTCACTAGGTGTTAATAATTTAATGCAATAAGTAATACGGATATCCAGTTACGGTACCCTAATCCAACGTTACTTGACTTCGCCTCCAAATACTACAATCATGTAGGAAGTTATGACGCTTGATGCAGTCTGCTCTCCGTACCACATCGGGCATAATCATGCGATCGAAGATATGTTTCTATCGTCACAATGACTCGCTCCTAACTTCCAGTCCCGCAAAGCCGTATCAGCATTATCACATTTTCGATGACAGAAGACCGGCGCCTATTCGGTTCAATTATTGCTTTGATAGGCACAGGACAACGACCCGGAGGAAGAAGACATATGATAAAATTATGGATTTCGAGTTTGAAGTTTGAACTCATCCGGCCGGCGTGTAGTGAGCTGCGCCGTGGCAGAGTCATTGCTATGGGCTGTTTTGCTATCTGCACTATTCCACAACGACGCTCTTAAAGACTTGAAATGGTTAGATACCCTACGGAGCAACGGACGAAACGTAGCTAAACTACCCGCTGCGATCGCCAGACTTTGCTCAACTGCTGACCATATGGCAAAATTGGTAGTGGTGTCTGTCTCAAGTTAGCAGCGCGCTGAATATATTAGTAACGTGAACTTACGTAGGAAATCGTCTTTCTTGAAGTCGCTAACGTAAGGAAGCCGAATAATAACGGCAAGGCTTGCCCTTTCTATCGTTAACGATGATTCTAGAGTGTTGCATCTCGTATGCTCACATAAATGCTAGACACATGATTGGGCCGAGAACTATCTTGGACTTTATGTCCATTTGAAGTTTCCCAATGAGATATAACGGCAGCAATGTAAAGGTGAAATCGGTTAGGATAGCGAAAGCGCTATAACAATATGTGCTGGTAATGATTGCGTCTACCGGCAAACATGACCCAGGCTGGTCTCTATACCAGAATAATGACACTGGTTTACATTGGAACATGACGATGAAGACTAAAGTCAGGCCAGCAGCGCAGGTTAGCGCAGCAGCAGCGGTATATATGATCCGTCGGTGGACTTTATGTCGCGTTACTCGCAATAAAAACGCTGCGATGGATATCTTTGTAAGTATCATCGTCGTTCCGTATGTTATCTCGCTTGCATACGTGAGCTATTTAGTCGTCAGTATCTTAGGGTTAGGTAGTTAGTTGGAATAGGGGATATATCTATTAACCTTCAAGGCCATCGTGATATCTTCCGGTTCTATAAGCCATGTATGCTGCCCTGAGCCATACTTCACACTCAAGATAGCGATTGTGGTATTGGCTATATACGCCGCCTGTTGCTTTTAGTTTAGATATTTATCTGTCGATAACTACCCAGTCTTTACGGCTTGTTAGAGAACGCACCATTGCAGCTGTCATCCAATAATCATCCTTTCCAAATGCATTTATCAGAATAGCGCGTACATAAACCCTCAATGCAAAGGAGGTGCCTGCTACTATGAAGAAAGCGATGTTTATGCACTCGAATAGAGGACCTAAATTGTCCGGGCTTGACATCGCGATGCGAAAAGTTGAGGCCGATCACAACTACCCTAACATCTCATTGAGAGGCATTGGCCTTGTATTGTGAGGTGAAGAAAAGGGGCGCCATGATAGTACGATGCGCGGCTTAACTCCAAAAATCACTGTACTTATTACGGATGTATTGGCACACAAGAAGGATCCAGCGGTATTGCTGATATCTGAATTATCGTGTAACTTGGAGTATATAGGTTGACTTGCATACTTGTCTACGTACGTACGTGTTTGGTGGTTAGATGTAGGTGTATACTTTTGTGCCCGGATTCGGTATATGATATGATCCGGAAGGAAAGGGAGGATTGGAAAGATGCTGACCGCAGATCGGCGTTAACCCTGTTATTTGAGACCTGTTCCAAATTCGAGATATACCTAGTTCGCCATCTGCATTCCCCCACCTGTATCTGAACAAAGAAGAGACGAGATCAACGATGGCTTACCAAGAGGATCCCAAACTTCTACCTGACGTTATAGACGAGATTGCTGCAACGGAGCCGGAATCGCTCTATGGGAAATATCCAGCTGATCCGTCAAACTACGATGCCGGGTTTAAAGATGTCACGTATCGCCAGTTAGCTAATGCTATAAATGGAGTTGCTCAATGGCTAGAGAGCGAAATTGGACGTGGGGATCCGGAGCGCACTCCTACCATCGCGTACATCGGGCCTAATGACTTTCGTTATATCTTCGCCTTCGTAGGCGCTATCAAGGCGGGATATAAGGTTAGATTTGCCACAAGAGTTACAGAATCCCGGATCGATGCTAATATATTTGTAGATATTTCTCACCAGCCCTCGCAACACTGTTGCGGCTCATTTGTCTCTACTGGAGAATCTAGAATGCACCGAGATCATCGTATCCGGGCCGGTCCCTTCCTCCGTAGATGAAATACTACAGAGGAGGGAGATGCGGTTGTTGAGGATGCAAGAAATTGAGCATCTCATTAGCCATAATTATGAGCCATATCTCTATCAAACAACACTAGAAAAGGCTAAAAGGGTTGGATCATTCGTCTGTCATACTTCTGGCACTACTGGAATTCCCAAACCATGCATCAACTCTTATATATTTTATTAGTACTGCCACAATTTTTCCAGCCAATCAGATCCTTAGAATCGCCCCGCAGTTGGCGACTTTTCCCTTTGCCATTCTATCGCATAAGGTCTAAAACACATGCAAATAGGATAGAAATGTCATGCAAAACGCGCTCTATCTAACGATACCAATTATTAAAAGTTTTATACAATAGTATAGTAGGTCAATTAATTTTACAAAATATTCATCGGACGTGCGCTGAGGTGTGGCTAGCCAATCAGAGGCCAGACTTATATGTGGCGTAAAAGGCACTCTTGAAGCTAGGCACTCCCCGTAAGCGCCTGCGCGAACGGGTAACGCAGCTAGTATACACCCATGAATTTATCCTCCGGACAGCCAGGACCTTGTCGCTCTCGCCTCCAAATGGTTACACATTATTGCAATCTCATCTGGGTCACAACACCCACATCCTCTTGCTTCCTCTCTTTCATCCTGCCGGTGTTCAGCTTGCCATTATTAACGCCATTTATAACCGCTGTGTTGTGATCCTGCCATCATGGCTAGGTCCTCCTTCTATCGAGAGCCTCCTCGCCATTTCACGTAATGTGGAAGCTGACTGGGTAATGGCGGCTCCTTTTACTTTGGAGGCGCTTGCCAAAGATGAGGTAATGCTGGACCAGGTTGCCTCCAGACTCAAGATGATTGTATTTGCTGGAGGTGCTCTCCCAAAGATGCTAGGAGACATCATTGCAAAGAAGATCCGACTAGTGACTTTCTTAGGATCGAGTGAAACTGCAGGGCTTCCAATTATATACCCGGAGGACCTTGACACAGCTAATGACTGGGAATACATGGCATTTCATCCTAAAATCAGCGCCGTACTTGAACCCCGAACTGATGAGGATAGCTTCGAGCTTGTCCTAGAGAAATCCGTGTCCACTCAGCCATACCAGCCAGTCTTCAACAGATTCCCAGAGCTAGAGAGGTTTAACACCGGCGATTTATTCAAGCAACATCCTACGAGACCAGACATGTGGGCACACGCATCACGAGCAGATGATATAATTGTCTTTCTCAACGGCGAGAAGACAAATCCCGTTTCATTTGAGAACCATTTGAGCAAGCACCTGGATATCGAAGGGGCGGTGGTATTCGGAAATCAACGATTTGAGCCTGGAGTCCTTATAGAGCTTAAGGATAAAAGCACGTTGTCACCCGAAGATATAGAGGACTGGGTTAAAAGGCTATGGCCGACTATAGAACAAGCCAACCTAGACGCACCGACGCATGCTAGAATAGCGACATCTCATGTTCTATTTTCGACGCCAGAGAAGCCATTCCTACGGACCCCCAAGGGCACTGTTATGAGAAAAGCCACGCTAGACCGATACGTTGAAGAAATCAACAAATTGTACAAAGATGTCGAATCTACTGGCGTCGAGTCTTCTACCAACGCAGAGAGTCAAGTCGACTTAGATGACTTGGAGGCCGTACTCACTGTGGTCCGAACAGCCTGTGAAGAATCAACAACGCTTCAGGAAATAGGGATAAATGATGATTTATTAGCTCGTGGGATTGATTCCCTTCAGATCTTGCGACTGTGCCGAAATCTTAGGTCGAAAACTAACGTGGAAAATCTGAAGCCTATCACGATCTACTCGAACCCTACGCTGATTGGGCTTGCTAAAGCAATTCAGAAAGCAGCTAAGGGACATGACCAGTTTCTAAACGAGCAGGACACGCGTAGGTCAGGCCTCGAAGAGACTCTAGCGTTGTTCACGCGCCGTATCGACCAACTAGCCGAGACTCAGTCCCAGACAGCAGGCAGGGAGCGAGGTGAAGGTACTTCCCATGTCTGCATTGTAACGGGAACCACAGGCTCTATAGGGGCATACGTTCTTCGGGCGCTTATGGAGAATGAGCAAATTGATACTATCTACTGTCTAAACCGTGGCTCTGACTCTGCTGCAAGGCAGCGCATCAACAACAGAGAAGTCGATCCTCAACTACCCATAATATTCCCAAAGACTGTTCACTTCATCGAAGCAGACCTGTCCCATGATACCTTCAATCTCGAACCGGAGCTCTTCCAAGCCCTATCTTCGTCAGCTACGCTCATTATCCACAACGCCTGGTCTGTCGACTTTAACCTTCCTTTGCCAGCATTCGCGAAGCACCTCGCAGGCGTTGAAAACTTATGCAAGTTCTCTCTTCAAAGCCCCCATCGCCCGGCAATTATGTTCCTATCTTCTATTAGCGCCGTTATGGATCTAGCTCTCAGCTCTGGCAAACCGGTTCCCGAGGAGATCTTCGACGACTTGTCAGTCCCGGCTGCGGCTGGCTACGCCGAAAGCAAGTACATAGCCGAGCGCGTGTTATATCACGCCGCTGGAAAGCTAAATATACCTGTCGTGGTGGCGCGCATCGGTCAAGTATGCGGTGCGACTCGCAGTCCAGGGCGATGGAATCCCAAGGAGTGGATTCCGCGCCTCATTTCTGGTTCTATGCACCTAAGTGCTATCCCCGATTCATTGGGTGCGTATGGCACGGATACGGAAGATGTAGATTGGATTCCAGTCGACGTGCTTGCAGACGTCATTATCGAGATTCTACTCAAGGGGGCTACTTCAAGCCGCGACCGACCAAGTCGTCCCCAGGTCTACCATTTGATGAATCCAAAGCTTACAAGCTGGTCCAACCTCCTACCTGCTATTTTAGAAGTATCTAAGGATCTTAAGCTAGGATCAGACCAACATGAGAACGTCAGCAAAGATCCACTGGTTGTTGTCTCCCGCAAGGAATGGCTGAGAAGACTTCGCGAATCCGCCAACAATCTCGAGGCCCAACAGGCTGGACAGAACCCAGATCATGTTAATCCGGCGTTGAGGCTGATTGACTTCTACGAAGAACAGCTTGCTGAAAAATCATTTCCTCAGTTTGAAATGGCGAATGCCGTCGCTGCAAGTGTCGTATTACAACAGAGCGTCAGCATTAGCCGTCAAGACATGGAGAAGTGGGTTCGCCTGTGGCATCAATAAGGTACACACGCGTGTCCTAGCTGATCTTTTCCCTCCTATTCTTAATTATGCACAACCGAGTATGTAGGACTCATCGGCATCATGATAGCCGTTGAAAATATGCAACATGTAAAGTAGCAGCTTTAACTGTCTGCCAACCGAGCCTAGATGAGGAAATTTCGTAAATGCAAGCTGTTCTCTGCAATCATCCCTTACATACATACATGAGTATACCTAGCTCTATCTCGGTGGAAAACATTGAATATTCTGCAGGATCGGTTGGTTCGGGTTGCATATAACATGACCACACACACCATGCATTTCCATAGTATTGATCCTTCGATACAACACCGCACTCACCTAATCCTAAGCCCGCTTCTCGAGGGAAACCCCCCCATTGGCTGATATATCTGCGGGGTGTGGCAGCGGGATATCGGGTTAAGCGGTACAATGCAACGGTGCAATTTTCTAGAAGGCAACACCCTACGAACGATGTGGTTGCATTAGGTATTTCGGTTGTACAAGATGTCGTCGACTGAGGAGTCGTGACCTTCGATCGAATAGTGGTTAACACACCGCTAGTCTGTGGGACGAGAATACATATCATCGCAACAAACTTAGAGGAGATGGTCTATGAGCGAATAAGAACTGTGTATGGGCACATTGTCGAAGTCGGATACAATCTCACTTACATACCCCTCCAAGAACTATGAGAGGTCTAGGACCTACATACATATCCAGACCCCCTTTAACTTCCACATGCTCGGAAGTATCCGTTGGGGTTTCATCGCATTTCTCCTCGGCAAACGAGTCGGAATGTCAGGTCAATCATGCAAAGCAACATGAAGGTAGCAATGGGATTTTAATATCCGATATTAAAGCAAGTATCACATAACTAGAATTGGGACAGCAGATACATCATTACGCAGGTGTTGGTTAGCAACAACTATCTAGGTACCTAAGCGCATATCGCAAGTCACCCCTATTAGTGCGCAAGTCCTAGCTCACGAACGATGAGACCCGCGGCCTTCTCGCCAATCACCATAGCCATGTTCGCAGCATGCGCTCCAATGTTGTGAGGCATAATGCTGAGATCAGCGATCTTCAGCGCTTCAACGCCATATACGTCTAGGTTCGCACCTACAACGCCTAAGTTTTCGCGTCTGCCCAACTTACACGTGCCGAGCGAGTGCCACGTCGTCTGGACGTTCTCACGTAAGAACTGGTCGATCACGGCATCATCTTCGGGCGTGTACTCGATATTGGTGATTGTTGCTGGCAGTGGCTCCTCCGTCTCGATGCATGCCGCTTTAGATTCGGCTGCGAACGGTGGGTGGCCGCGAGGCACTTCTCCCCGGTATACTGATCTGCGGCGCGCGATTTCGCGTTGCACCTTGTATGCCCACCTGCACTTCTTGATGTCATTGCCACCCGCGTCTGCAAAAAAGCCGGACTCGAAGTCTAGCTTGTCATCCAAGTCGGGGCCGGTGATATGTACGTGGCCACGGGAGGCGGGGTAAGGGGAGAATATGTTGTGGCCGAAGTACTGTGCAATGGGGAGGCCGATGGGTACTCCGGGGAAGCTAGTTACCTCTGTTAGAACCATAGCTACGAAACCATAGATAGGGGGATAGGGGGTTCGACTTACGCATTGTAGGCCGCCATGACTGCCATGGGCTTGTCCGCGTTGTGCTTCCATTCCTTCTCCCATACCTTCTGGAACTCGGGACCTAAGGCAGCAACGTCGCTCTCCGTCGGTCGAAGCTTGCAAGTGATATCCGCGGCATTCCAGCCTAGAAGTTTACGAGTCTCGGGGTCATCCATATTAAAGCGGCCTCCGTTAATCGCGTCGTGGGATTCGTCCGGGTTCAAGCTCGACCGGTACGGATATCCGATAATATGGTGATCTTCATATCCGTGGCCAACACCAGGGAGATCCACAACGGGTTGCACACCGGCCTTCTTTAATATTTCAGGATTGCCAACACCGGACCTTTCTAGTATAGCTGGAGTTCCAAACGCTCCGCCAGAGAGGACGACCTGCTTTTTAGCTTTGATAGTTCGATCTTCGGCAGCAGACGAGGCGGAGTTAGGTCTGTAGACGACACCGACGGCGCAGTTGTTGTCAAGTACAAGACGTACTACTTTAGACTCGACGAGAACGTGAAGGTTTGGATGCTTGCCATCCCTAAGCCTGGGGTGGAGGTATGAATGAGCCACGTCTTGTCTCAATCCGTCCGGGGCTACGTAGCGCATGGCACGCTGCGCACCGTTGCAGCTGTCTAGATCATTCATATCCTCAACTTCAGGGTAGCCCACTGCCTTGAGAGCGTTGAGAAAGTCGTCTTCGATTCGAGTAGCACGATACGAGCCACTGGAAACGATGATTGGACCGTCGGTTCCATGTAGGCCTTTCGAGTCTGCGCCATGATACGTTTCAATCTAAAACATTTAGTACTCAGAAAACTTGAGGGAAGTGCTAAATATACCTTTTTCATGTATGGCAATAGTTCGTCTGCGGACCATCCTGGCGTTTGCCAGGAATCGAGGTCAGTTCGCTGAGCTCGACTGTATAGCGAGAAGTTCACAGAAGAACCCCCGCCAAGGACGTTGGCGGTAGGAACAACAAGTTCTCGGTTGGCGAGATGCTCTGACTTATTGCCCACTTTGAATGCGATAGTTTTTGTACCAGGTGCTAAGTTGCTAAAGAAAAAAGCTGGGTGCACGATGAGAGGCTCATTGTAGTTGTTTGGTCCACCTTCAATGACCAAGACACTCAAATTCGGATCCGCATCGGCAAGCCTGGACGCAATTATACAACCAGCAGTGCCACCTATATTTACCAATTAGCGTAGGTCCTCGTTATTAATAGCGAATGGCTTCATCATACCTCCAGCAATGATTACATCCACCTCTTGGATGGCATCAGGAAGTTGAGTGTATAACCCCATAGCGAGCCTTGCGATTTGTTAAAAGTGATAAATATCCCTGGTAATAGATAAGATAAACTAGGTACCTAGGATGAGAGGGAGGGGAAGTGCCCTTAGGTAATATGAAGCAATGATCGTCTTCACGTCCTAAGCACTGATTCCACAGTGATAGTTATAAGATAGATCAAACGTTAAAAGTTGCGGGTATTAGGATCGAGGATTTTAAGAATGGAATACGGAGCTAAGGACTTTAAGTCCTTAGGTTAGGTGCTTCCTAGTCACACAACTTTCCGTATATGAGGTAGAGAGAAAGGGGGCTGTTGGAATAGAGTGGTATGAAACATGATTGGTTGTAAATGGAAGCTCAAAAGTGTTATTGAAGTTACTTTACATGCCACTTTTTTACATGCCACTTACACGCACCAACAAGTATTACCTTATTAGGCTTATTATTTTTATTTTAACCACTCCAACAGCTCCAACAACTCCAATGGATATGGATACGAAGGATTATAATTGGGTTACACTGTAAAGTCCGTTACATCGTTAATTCACTTTATTGAATATAGCTTCTTACCTAAATAACCCTGCCTTGCCATGCGGCATGAAACCTGGCTCTGTGATACCTACCATCCCGTTATGTCACTCAGCCAGCCATAAGCCGATCTCACTGGTCCTCCGTTCTTTTCGAGAACTCTTCTTTTGTAACTATCCCTTCCCCGAGCAATTTATTATGAAGAAATCGTCTCACCTCAATATCGTCGCTAACAAGACCTAAGGCCACCTGTTTTGTCTTTTCCTTCGACATGGCGAACCCATTAACGCCGGAGGAGATAGCGTATATGGTGGCGCATGAAGACGACACACTTGTGCCTAACATATACGCGTGCAGTATCACAACTGGGGTCGCATCTGTTGTCGTTGTCCTCATCCGGATTTGGGCACGACGTGTCGCCCATGGTCGGATAGTATTAAACACAAGTGACTGGCTACTCATGATAGCGTGGGTACGTATAACCTCATCTTTTCCAAAGGGCTTAACTTTAGTAACTCTAGCAAACTGACTCCGTATTCTACTAAAGGTCTGTTTTATCGCCGCTCTTGTCAGCTTTTCGCTATCAGCAGTATATGGATTGGGGAAACACATCATCTTCGTCACGGACGGGAGAAATCTCCGGATCGTAAGTCTTGGATGGATAGGTACCTACCTATTTACCTATGTAGTATCTAAATCAACTAACTTATATCAGTGGGGGATCATTCTCGAAGTCTTTTACTATTTCTCTATTGGCTTCATAAAGTTCAGCATCCTGAGTTTCTATGGCGCAATCTTTGCTTCCAGACGCTTTCACATTTATCTATGGATAATTGCAGCATTCGTCGCCGCTTGGTTCATCTCATCAACAGTCGTATCGATATTTCAGTGCACGCCAATCGAATTTGCTTGGGACACGACTATCCCAGGTGGATTTTGTATTAATTACGGGTTGCTGGTGCTTGTTGCTGGCATAATCAACGTTATAACTGACTTCGTCATTCTTGCACTACCTATTCCTATGATCTTGCGACTCAAGGTCTCGAAGCAAAAAAGGACCCAGCTGGTTTTTATATTTGCTACGGGTAGCAGGTGAGATATTCTCATATGCTTCATATACCCTTCTTCCGATGTAATTGTTCTAATTCCCTGCCTCTATTATAGTGCTTGCATCGTCAGTATTATTAGGTTAGCGTATAGTCTCGTCGTCAGCTCAACGTCAGATGTTAGCTGTAAGTCTAACTTCGAATCATATGAAATTGCTTATACCTAATTCTTCTTAAGGGGACAACGTCCCTCCAGGGTTCGTATCTGCTACTGAGCTCCTGGTTGGAATTCTAGCGGCGTCGATTCCAACGTATGGGCCTCTTTACCGGCGCTACATTTCGGGTACTACGATGAAAAGTTCCCAGCAATCTGGTCGTAATAGCAAAGGTCATATGTCATCTCAACCCCATAGTGCCAATATATCGGTCAATAGAGCCGGTATCATCAGTGGCCCCGGGGTTCATATCACCGACGAGGTTGAGCTTACTCGGCATGAGCTTAGAAACGGGGCTTGGGTTCGGATAGCGGATTAAAGAGTTATGATTTGGAATTTGGGAGACCCGATGACTGTTCGAATCAAAATGCCAAGACATTGGGGGAGAAGCTACCTATTTAGGGCTATGTGATTGGAGACAGATCCTGAGCAGGAGGAGGGTTCCCCTTGTAATTGATAAGCACATATGTAAAATATTAGCATACATGTAAATATAGGATACCCGGTGCATAGACTAATGAACACTATACCCAACAGCTACTGTCTAGTATTTTAGATATGTATTTATTCTACTATTTTACAGGATGACTATATGACCTTAACAGCGACGATTTCTCCACTCAATACACAGGCTCTCCTCGAACCTAAAAGTCACCGGTTGCCAGTTCTCGTAAGGATTCTACCTAAAGGTAACTAAATTAAAACAACCTAAAAAATCTCCATCCCCATTTTTCAATGTAGTATCTAAGCGCCCCATAACTGCTATCATTGACATTTTATGGAGGCCGAGAGACCAAAGAGAAAGGTGATGAAGAACGTGAAGACAAGCTTACGCGGAGGGGCCAGGCTCACCCTGTCAGCTTAACTACTACGCCAATAACAGCCAATAATTCATGGATTCTTTTAGAGTGGATACTGAAGTGCCGTAAGTGCCTACCTACCAGGTAAGCTTTAAGCCGATTATCCTTCGGCGTTATCTTATACTACATCTCACGTGCGTCTATAGTTATAAGAATCGAGTAACTGTTTATGAATATCTAGAATGTTATATCTGACATGCATGAAGGTGACATTGATCCTTCGCGTACCCTTTCCCTAGTTACTGTGGTTAAAATGCGTATCGATATTCTAACATGCATATCATCACACCAACAAGTGCAAGCATCCTATACAAAGCCTGTCTAGGTATATTTGCTTCGAATACCGAGGTACCTTTGGATTTTCTGTAATGAGGGTCAGAACTCTTGTGTATTAACTACGGTACCTGTGATAATAAATCATTTCTATTTCACTACGTAATATACACTTTGTCATCAATAACTGGACTTGTCTTATTTTACCATAACGAAGATGACTCAAGATACGTCCCAAATTCAGGTTATCCTCTCTCAGCTTCAAACAGCTGGTGGTTTATACAAAGCGAAGACGCCAGGGGCCCGCGAGAAGCTCATGAGTCTTAGTCATGACCTAATTTCGAGCCTAGAGTTGCCTAGCGAGGCGATAATGCGAATGGGATGGGCAGAAGTAAGTTCGGGATAATGCTTGCCTTTTTTTTCTTCTATCTTTCTCTTATGTGGTCTAGAACGAATCCGAACGTTACTAATCCAGGTCCCAGCCAGCCAAAGCGGCCAATTGCCGCACTGCAGTTGATCTCAAGATATTCGAACACTTGAAACAGAGTGGCGAAGCTGGCATCACTGCCAAGGAGCTCGCAGCAAAGTGCAGTGCAGACGATGTCTTAATTTGTAAACCAGGCCGTATCATCTAATGTAAAGAACAAAAACAGCTAACTCGGCATAACTTACTAGCACGGATCATGAGGCATCTTGCTGCTATGAATGTAGTCAGTGAGAAAAGCGAGAATACATACTCTACTACCCCATTAGCCGAAGCTCTTTCAGAGTCTAGATATAGGGATGGCATTCTATTCCTGTCAGTAACACTCAGATACCACATTAACCTTTTTTGCTCCATGATGAATAGCCGTCTGCATCATTCACGGTATTCTAAGCATTTGCTATAGCTACGATGTTGCCGGTGTATCGTTTCGCCACTTACCTGAGTATCTTAAGAACACCGGTTATGCACTACCAACAAGTGTAATAGATGGACCATTCCAAGCAGCACATAAAACAGAGTTATCCGCCTTTGCTTGGTTGGACAAAACTCCCCCTTACCTCCAGGCCTTCAATAACTACATGTCAGCTTACCGGTTCGGAAAACCGTCCTGGGTTGACCCCGGATTTTATCCCGTGTCTGATCGGCTCATCGAGGGTTTCAACTCTGATCACAGCGACGTTTTCCTCGTGGACGTTGGTGGGGGTAAGGGCCATGATTTGCATGAGTTGAAGGCGAAATATCCCCTAATTCCTGGCAAGCTTATCTTGCAGGATCGGCCGGCAGTCATCTCCACCGTTTCCGACGACAGCTTTGAAGCGGTCTCCCACGATTTCTTCACTACCCAACCGATCAACCACGCCCGTGCGTATTATCTCCACTCTATTCTTCATAATTGGGGAGACGACGACTGCATAAAGATCTTACAGCAGTTGAAACCTGCTATGAAGCCGGGATACTCCAGATTACTTCTCAACGAAATCGTGGTGCCTCGCCAGAACCCCACGTGGCCGATCACGTCCATGGATCAGCTAATGCTTGTGCTTGCCGCTATACAAGAGCGGACCGAAGCACACTTGACTGAGTTACTGAAGAAAGCGGGGTTCAATATTGTCAAGATCTACAGCTATGAATTTGGTCAGGAGAGTTTGGTTGAAGCGGAGCTAGATGAGACAACCCTATGAAAACTCGGAAGTAGAAAAGGGGTTGCTTATGGCTAAATAGTAGTGGCCCGATCGAGGGATAAGGTGATACACCAGTAGCCCCAGCTCGGATCGTGATGGCAAATATATTATTCATTGGTACAATGATGTCTAGCATGGTTAGGTGCGCAGGTGCGTTTCCCCTGAACATAGGGCACCGATCAACTCCATTCAAACGACTGCATTTACTCAAATTGAACCAAGGTCGACATGTATTTAACATAGCCATTTGAAAATATTTATAAATTGACTATAGTACCTGGTTATTTAATAAGATAAGGTTCTGAGTAATTACCTCTTATAACCTACTAGGCGAAATAAAACAATGTAAGTATAGCGGCATTGACTGGGGAAAAGCTAGAAGGAGTGGCAACTGGTTAAGGGGTATTCCCAAAGCTTTAGATCTTCGAACCTATACCAAGGACTCACTAATACTACGATTTTGCACAAAAGACGCATACATAAGTTTAATTCGCTTCCACATATTTTCCCTACCCAAGCAGTGAAACCTAAGAAATATCTCCAAAAGTCGGGTTAAGCGAAATATTGTTTAACTTGGTAAATGTCATATCTTCCGTTGTAAGTCAAGTCCTCACAATATTGATGACCTGCATATAACAAATAACCCTTGCCATCCGTTGAAAAGTGTTGTATGGTACGAGGAACGAGATACGGCTGCAGGGAACATTAATGATGCAAGGAAATATGTCTACGGTCCGAACGGCGTATAAATCAACCAACAGAAGGCCTCGGGATGATCAATACCAACAAGGAACCTTCAGCAGTGCCAGCCACATAAAGGGAAATCCCCTTTAGCCCACAAAGACTCTGATTGGTCCAAATCCAGAGGAGCCTTCCTTATTGGGTATATGCCAAGCCTCGGGTGTACCCTATTGGCTGGAATACTTTACACTTCGGGAAGATAGCACTTACACAGATGGCGTACAAGGAAGTGCTTGGTATGCTGTGACAAGAAATTCAATCACATCAACACGTAATCGGTGAAGTTTTGTTGCATTCAAACCACGAAATATCTCCACTCACCAACACGTGAACCAAAAAATAATACATTCTGGACTCAACTCAGCCTCTTTAGGATGAACGTTTGAGAATAGGAGATTCCTTTACTCCACTATCAATCCTGTATACAACATGCCCACGAGCAACGGCGGGAAGCGGTAGATCAATTCTTCGTCGGAGTTGTCGGGATTCCATTACTACCTGTCTAGCATATGCACAAATACCCTAGTACTTACTTAAGTACGATATGTGGTAACATTCCGCAAACTATTAACCTAGTTGATGTGAGGTTCATGCAACTTAATCCTTCAAGCCACATCCAATCTTGACTACACCTTAACGTACGCATTTAGAAAAAGATCATACGGTAAGCGCTGCTGACGCGCAATAGGTATTTTTATATCGCGGCGATGAGCGTTTTGTTAATGCAGAGATCACTGGGCGTGTTTGAGCGCTGTTTTGAAGCGAAGGGGAGGCATGGTCACAGGAGTCTCAGGTAGGGTTGCTAGCTTGATTCTATATTCTTGATGAGGTTCTATTTAGCAGCGATTAAAATGTAGAAAATTGAGTCTCATATTTGGATGCTTCCCTCTCAATGAGCAGTGCATGTTCGGCACTGCGGATCGTAGCCTTGACGGGGAATGGCTCATCAACGGTTTGGTGGTTAAGTTTCCTATCGTCGATGGGACCATTCTAGGGGTTTTGCATGTTAGTTGACGGGTAGCGTCTGGTTTTAGTGTTAGGGGGTATACGAACTGGAGTCAAGTCGAAACAGTATATCAAACGGGCAAATGCAAGAAATAGAGCTTGCTGAGCGACTTTCCAGCCTACGCATATTCGACGACCCCCGCCAAATCCCCAGAAGTTGGCTGTAGCGTTCGATTCTGAACCATCGATCCATCTTTCCGGTTGGAACTCGTTCGGGTCCTCAAACTCGTTGGATAACGCGATTGAGTTGATCAAGAAGCTGGTGCCGGCAGGGATGCGATATCCATCAAAGTCGAGATCCTCCGTAAGTTGGTGGGGCGGGATGACCGGAACAGTCGGTCGCCAGCGTAGAACTTCCTTGATCATTGCTGCTATATATGGCATCTCGGGTAGATCTGTCATCTGGGGAAGTCTGAGCGTCTTGCCGTCCGTGCAGACCCGGTCTACTTCTGCTTGCGCACGTTTCTGCGCCCCAGGTCGCGATATCATAGCCATGATAAACGTGTTGATGCTCATACGGGTGTTGTCTCCACCTGCTGCCATGACAGATGTGGCCAGATACATGGCCTCTTCATCACTGCCAGCGAATTTGATGTCTGGATGGAGGAGGACGTCGCGGACAAAAGATGCCGGTGCAGAACCGTTGCCCACGGCGGTTCGAATGGGCTCCCACCATTCTTGGAAGACGTGGTGGTGAAACGCGCCCATATCAGCCCAGTATTTTCGCCATGGCTGTAGGAGATGGGGGAGTTTACTAAAGGATGGGAAGAAGTCCACAAAGCTCTGGTTGATGCTCCTTACGAACTCTATCGTTACCCTCTGGTAGTCATCGAGTTGAGCCTTCGGTTTGTTGAGAGGATAACCCATGACGATCCTATACAACACTGATGTGGAATAGCGAAAGTTATGAGCAAACCATAGATCTGGCTGTCGAAGATAGAGGCGAAGGAGGTTGATGCTTTCGAGCTCTTGCATGTCCGCGTACACTTTGAGGTTTGAACCGCTGAGCAATTGGTGCATCACTCGGCGCCCCTCCCTCCACTCCGCTTCTTGTCTGATCACGGTGCGTTTCCCGTTGCTAACGAGATCGCTAGCAATGGGCATATGGGGTCTCTCATTTGTAATCTTTCCGCGCTTAGCTATGAGCTCGGAGACCACACGTTCCGAGTTGAGGACAACCCACGTCTGAGAGCCCATGTGAAGCGTTGCCATCTCGCCATAAGGTCTCAAGGAAGCAAGCTAGAGTAGTTAGACACTTAGGGAGGATATCGTTATGACCTAGCAACGGCCGCACTTACCCATTCATTGAAAGCATGAGGATTGCGTCGAGCTTGAAACATTTGCAATAGATTGCCCACAATTGGTTGGCCTGGCGGCCCCGAAGGCATTGTCCATCTTTTCGTGCGGAATAGGAATTTCGAGTCAACAGGTCTCAAGGACTCTACAAGAACTAGACAGATAGCACATATAACGAGACCAAGCCCGTAATAGACAGTATATAAGCTTTCAATAGTACTCATATTAGCAAAAAGTAATTGGGAAATAACTAATATGACGACTTCATGTATGTATGATGTTGTTTTGTGTGTATATTATTAATGACAAACTTATTAACATCTTGGGAGGACGCAACATAACTGCCCATCGACCCAGTTCCTACAGACCTCTCCATTCCCCCACAAAACCAACATGCAGCTCTATGTAGCGCTCACATGATTATCTTCATAAAGTCGGTTAGACGCAGCCGTCCAAAAGGACTAGCTATGCTACCTATTACGGTCAATAGATTCGAATAGTCCGAACTGGCGGTAATATGCCATAATCCAAGGTGTTATTACCTATGCACTGTAACCATAAGCGCCGATCCTTCAATGGTCAACATATACCAACACTACTAGCTACCCAAGTACCGGCTCCATAAAGTCATGATCTTGTACAGAACTTGCAATGTACTATGTAAGATACCTAAATATGCGCAAGGTACCTTCCATTGGCTACTCAACAAGAAGCAAGTTTAGGCGTTCCCATCTATACGACTTATACTACGTCGAAACTGAATCATATCAACAGAAGCGGTGACGCTATCGATCGCCGGTCTTTTTGTTTCTTCGTTTTCGCCTTATATATAGCATGTTATCTTCGCTAAACCTTACAGTGGTAAACGGTTCTTTACTATTACTCTCTTAGTAACTTATGAGGGGATCGATAAAGCTACTATTTCCACCCCAACAAATCAAGCACGACCAAGGTCCAGGATTTGCCCATGGCTGCCGCCTCGTCTAAGACTCCTCTCGTGCCTGGGCACGTTGAGGAGAAACAAGCCGCCCTCTTTTCTGACCTCCCGCCGTACTCAGACCCTACCACGGGATTCGTGTCACGGCTTCCACGGCCATGGATCCCCTATGCTCAGCTTATGCGTCTGGAACGACCCGCAGGCCTGTACGCTTTCTACTTCCCCTACCTAATCGGACTCGTGTACGCTGCTTGTATTGCCCCTGCAGCTCCTGAGCCTCTTGTCGTACTACAACTGGCGGCGATATTCTTGCCCATGAATATCCTCCTTCGTGGCGCTGCTTGCTGTTGGAACGACACCGTCGATCAGGACTTCGATAGACAAGTAGAGCGCTGTCGCCACCGGCCCGTGGCGCGCGGTGCCGTCTCGACTACCTCGGCGCACATCTTCACTCTGGCGCTGCTGGCAGCTATCTACCCCATCTTGACCCTGTTCCCGTCGGGGTGTAAGTTGCACATGGCAATCAGCATGGTTCTGTTCTTCGTCTACGCACTCATGAAGCGCGTGACGTACTATCCCCAGGTCTTCCTCGGCTTTCCCTTCGCCTGGGCTATTTTCTTCTGCGCCGCCGCACTAGACGTAGACCCGTTCGGCGCATACGCCGCCCCGACTTCCGCTCTTTTCGGCGCCAACGTCTTGTGGACTATCATTTACGACACCATCTACGCGCACCAGGACGTCAAAGACGACGAGAAGGCTGGTGTCAAGAGCATGGCCTTGCGCTTTAGAAACAACACTAAATTCCTAGCAAGCAGTTTAGCTGTGGTCATGGTCGTTTTACTCACGCTATGCGGCGTGTGGACGGGTAGCGGCACGCTCTACTACGTTGGTACCGTGGGGGGGGTTGCCGCAGCCATGTCGTGGTATATCTACAGCGTAGATCTGGGAGATCCGCGGAGCTGTGGAACTTGGTTCCATGATCAGTTCTGGATCGTCGGTGGCGCTCTGATGGCTGGATTTACTGCCGAGTATTTGTGCCGTGCAGCGAATAATATGACCCGACGTTATTAGTTGCGGGAAGGAATATAAGGGGTATGTAGGATGGGCTGGAATAAACATAGTAAGACATATGACGGTGGCTCTGGTAACGTGAATAGGAATCACGAATAGGCTCCTATATGAATAATGACTCAGCCTTTATTGTCTTTATGTTTCATTTGTTCTACTGTACCGCTTCATCCAGTAGCGTATGAGATTTACCTACCGTGGTGCTAGCTAAGGAGGCACCTAGCAAAGCCTAGGACTTGAAATATGCAAGCCATATTATTCTCCGAATATCAATCTGCAACTAATCGACACTGTGTGTTGGTGGACTTCCAGGTTGACTACCTACCGAGTATATCTCATATTATTGGGATAAGATAAGCTCCGTAAGCATTAGGTACCTATGTAAGCTTAGAGTAGAGTCTGTATGATGCCAAGTTTTGCGATAATCATCCTCGTACTACGGCAAAGGAGGAGGGGTATCTTAGAGGTTCAGGGGTATGCCCATTAGTGAATAAGTGTTAAATACGCTAGCTTGGATAGTAATATACTTGAAAATAGTTCCGGTTAAGATGTGGTAGTGGTAATTATATTTTCTAGCTGTAGAGAAGTTTATAGAATAGAAGTTGGCCTATTATCGTTGATTTAAAAGGAAACGACACGCGGAGGATGGCTTGCGCACTAGGCCTAGATAACATTAATTAACGATTAACAGTTGGGGTTTTGTAGCTGTACCCTTTTCCAGCGTTGGAATTGGCCGCCGAACTGTTAACTAGGTAGGTAGACAATGATAACCTTGAATGCCCCTTATTAGCCCCTTGCCTTGACTACGTACAATGAACACTAGCTAACAATCTCAACTTCGCAGCTGATTTGTTCTCGACTGATCCGACCACTTGATTCCTCCTAGGATAATTAACTTAAAGAACTAATCTAAAAACTATAGCTAAGCCTACCATCCTTAAGGCGCTTAGCCACCATCAAATTATTAACCTTGAGCCAGTCGGAATGAAAGCCGTATATTACATGGTTACTATAGTTGGCAGGATGTAGCGCAGACATCAAGTAGACTAAACTTGATTGCTTTACCATGGCTACAGCTAGACCGCGACTAGTTCGGCGGTAGACGATGGGGTAAGAGTAGTATGTCTGAGAAGTCCCTATAAGAAGCCACTCTATTTGCAGATATTGAAGTTAAGAATATAATACCCAAGTGATCTCTCTATGATTATCTCCAACCAGTACCCAGGTAGGTACGAATCCTTGAACAGATACCTATAAGTTAGGACTAATTTGTAAAGTATACGAATACCTTAGTTAACGCCGAGACCAGTTCAGCATATGCACCTGGAATATGATCAAATGCACATGCGGTTGTGTTCAACAAAATGAATTCATACAATGCTCCACTGCAAAGGCCTCAGGTCTAAACATCAAGTGGAAGCCTATCAAGTAGGAGTTGTTCAAAATATCAACTAATCATTGCGTCGGTCATCTGGTCTATCCAAGTGCTGCAAAGAAGTACTTGCCAGATCTAGAGCCATAAAATCCAACAACGCCCAGATGCTATAGACTTTGCTAGTTCTCATAAGAGGGCATCATGGTTATGAAAAAGTTCGTGGGGCATTTGTAATATGTTTACACGTGGTTACTCAAATAAGGAGAACGTTTTGAACCTTTAGTTATATTAACAACTACGAAGTTTGATGTAAAGCTTATTTAGTATGATAAAGTAAATGCATTCATAAATATCAAGTTGAATTAAGAGATTTACATAGAAATATTTTCTGGGTATCGGAAGCCTTAATTGTTGTTAGATCTTTAAAGGCATTATATGACCTACGAAATCACCATTGTCGTGGCAGAAGGACTAACCAAGATCCCTGTCATATGTGTTGGCAGCTGCACAGCTAGATTTGCCACCTGGCACATTAAACATATTGAGTCTATTCACAGTTGACTCTTTTTATCTTTTACAACAATCTATCTAATATAAAAATTCAGAAAAATCATTATAATCCTTTCCAAGAGGAAATATAGGTTTAACATAAAGCATTAACTTCCAAATGCTTAATATAAAGAGCAAATACGCTGTAAAGATACGAGGTATAATAGAACACATACCACTTTAAAGTCCTCAACTGTTGCCAAGCGTGGCTAATGCTCGTCGAGACTGACAGGGGTCCCATTCTATAAGCAACGGCTAATTTCATACAAGGCAACATGCTATGTACAGATATGAAGCAAGGGGGCCGACAGCAGTGAGTTGTTGGTGAGTTACACAAAGACAATATATGTACGTAAGATGATTCGTGCAGTGTTTGCCGGACCAATTGTAAGTATCGTAATAGCTTATTAAATTAGTTTTTCCGGCGGTGCCATTGGGCGACAGCGAGGTTGGTGCACTATACAAAACTATGGAGGGTAGTTGCTAGTCAAAGGGATATCAAAAAATAAGTAGCATTTAAATAAACACTTAACTAGGGTGGGTTTCTAAGATAAGACAGTTTCTTTCACATAAACAACGAATATTTGCAATAGAGTCGTCGCTTCACACATATAAACTATACTTCCCCAGTTCTAACTTCATTTTCACTTGAACTTTTTAATTTCCAGCAGTCATTCAATATCGCAGCATGACTACGAAACCATCATCCGCGCCCTGGGTGGATGAGCCCTTTCATCTGATTACAACTCCTTCAACATACCTTAGCGTAAATGCCGACGACGACGAGGAAGTAATAAGCGTAGTCAGCTAATTAGCCCCTAGGATCCCCATTCTTACGTCCATGTTGCTTCTGACATGGCACATGCCCACAATGTTATTATACGGGGACTCAATACTATCATCCAACAAGCTCCACATGTACCTACCTCGACGGAAAAGACATATAATGCGAAGGACGTGAAAGACCTTCTCTTCTATGTTCATTCATGGTGTAAGATGGTTGGGCATCACCATTGGGTTGAGGAGTCGTTTATATTCCCTGAGATTGAAAAGGTTGCGGGCCAGCCAGGGTTGATGGACAACCCTCATCACCAGCACGAACTATTCCATGGTGGCATGGAGAAGTTGCTGGCGTATTCCCAAGCTACGAGGCCTGAAGAATATCGATGGAGCGGACCTAGCGGCATGAAAGAGATCATTGATTCATTTAGCAAGGATTTGACAGGACACCTTTATGACGAGATCAACGTCTTCTTGGGACTGAAAAATGTCGATAGTGCGGCCCTGAAGAAGACGGGACCAGAGCGAAGAAGTTGCTAAGCAGGCAGGGAATATTGGGATGTTGGTAAGTTCAAAATTGCTAGCTGATGGCACCAAGCTGAGTTCTTTGCTCTAGTATGATGTGTTTCCAGTTGTGCTTGGATGCGCCGATAAGACCTATGAATGCGGACATCCGTTCCCTCCTCTGCCATGGATTATGCCTTACCTTGTCAAGTACTGGTTTGGTGCTGGTAACGGTGCCTGGCGGTTCAACCCTTGTGACTGGTGGGGTCGGCCGAGACCGTTGGCGTTCGTTCGCCAGACAGAGTAGGGTAGATTGGTACTGCGTCTCTTTGCTCTAAGGGGGTATCACTTCGCGTTCTATAGCATCTAATGGTATCACGGCGAATGAGTAGGCCACTGTACAGTTAGATTGTAACAAGCAAGACATCTCTGTGTTCTGCCCTAGCATCGTAACATCACAGCTGCATCACTAGGTAGTTTAGGTCTAGGTATCCATTGCATCGGGACTCACAGCATAGTCTCTCCTTATTATGTGATATCCTCTATAGCGGACTAATAAAATACCCTAATACGTTGAATTTTGTGTCGTATTATCTACCTAGGTACCTAGGAGGTAGGTCGTCCATCAGAGCCTGGTTCATTTATATAGCCACAACGGCGTGATAATCCAAGCTCTTAAACAGGTATCGTTCCTTGTTGACTCCTAGCCCACAGACTTTGAGCTTTCACGCAATTTTTGAAGTGAATGAAGAAGTCCGCTGTTGAAAAGAATACCCGCATGCGATTTTCGTAGCTTAAATGCGGTATATAATAAGGAACCTGACATCCTTTGCAGCTCACGCCGTATTCGACCTGCGCATTATCCGGGTTATACCAAGGAAATGCCGTAGACGCCGTGAAACGTTCAGTGATGTGATCATTGCGCCATGCTAGAATATGGGCAAATTTTTTGTGGACGACGCCGAGTGACTTTAATGTTGCAATCGCCTGCTCCTCTACGAACAAACATTTTGGGCGTATGGCTTGTCCTTCCTCTAATGAATATGAATTGGGCGCGGGGCGTAGACCTGGTGTTGAATCCAATAGCCAGTCTAGTTCGCTTTTAGACATTCGTGTAATTTTGGCCAAAGTAGACCTGCTAATGACGCGAAGTTTGGGCGACGTCAGAATACAGGAAAAGCAACAACGCGTAGCGGTGAGTAGAAAAAGAAAACCACCAAGGCAGCCGCATAGCTTGCAGTTAGGGCTGATGAGGAGGCGGTATAGGTCTGTAATGGTGAAATTATGCGCCAGACCAGTTCTCAGTAAGCTCCGCAAACATTCCAGCCCATGCTTTGTAACTAGTCTGTATTCTCGCAAGGTGATTGATAGGATACGAGCGCGACGATTGACTTGACGGAATTGAAAGTAGGAAAAGATATCGAGATGACAGAGTATCATCAATATCAGCTCTGGAGGGAGGCGGTCTAACTTGCCCATTCCTGATGCCGGCAGAGTTTCAAAGGCCGTTTGAAGATATTCTTGAGCTGTTTGCATTTCGTGCGGGCAAGGCCGGACTATAAAAGGGCCCCCTAAGTCTCGTTGAGGTTGTGAACAGACGCGAAGAATCGCGTCTGGATATTTGACTGTGTCCGATGCCATCTTGAGATACCTCGTCGTAGGCCAACTTGTAGATATTAATGAAGTGTTGCTTCGTACCTCGTAGGCAAGGTCAATTTCGGGAGTAGAGACTTAATGCGGACTGAGGTGTATATGTAATAGATATATGTAGTAGACAGCTAAACCAAAGTTGAGCTAAAGAATAAACGAGGTTGTAAAAGTGGTCCGTTACTCTGACTCACATGCTACTTGAGTTCGTCAGTTGTATGGGCTAACATGGTATCAGTCCGAGTCACTGTATTGGCGGGTGGAATCACGGTACGCAGACCACCTTACTTCTACATAGGTACCTACCTAGGTATGAATCATTTTACACGCCGATATAAAGAAGCGAGCACTACAGAGGGATTAGGCTAGTTTAGGAGAATAAAAGGGGGAACGAAGTGAAGAAATACAAAAGTCTTTTTGAGGCGTTAGCCTCGGCCTGGTTTAAACCATTAGCTTTTTTCAACTTAACTAACGTTCGTCTACGAGGAAAAGTCCTTTGGTTAAGTTGGACCAAGGGGCGGATTCTATTGTAAGAAGAATATATAAAGCCATCACGACACTAAAATATCTTCTGGGCGATACAATGCTCATCTGTGACCTCAAAGGATATCTGATGGTAAAGTCCTTTGGGCATTCTTATAGAGGATACAGAAATGCCACTAATTATCTCGACTTTGGAGAGCCATTGAGGCCGTTGATATCTTATAGATATAACGTCTTAACTCCTGAAAATCCTCTCGATTATTCAGGCGCTAGGTACTCAGTAGTGGTATATTGGGCGTTGTCGGATGAGAAGTCATAACTGGTTGAAATCACCTGATTCTACAGGTGGAACTTCTATATTGCATCTGGTATATGTCTGGGGAGTTAACTTTGTCGAAAGGAGTTATAGCTCCTATAATGCTACGTCATATACAAATTATGCATTTTCAGCTGACAACAGTGGCACGTATCATTGCTTTAACATAGTCGGTGTTGCGCAAAGAGCTTTAGGATAGACATTACTAGTAAATATGTCATCTTACACAACTAATTCCGTTTATTTACCTATATTATTTTATTAAACCCATGATGGTAAAAATTCCATGATATACAGCAATAGGGTCACAATCAATATATCGCGTCAAGAAGCCCTCTAGCTCGTTAGCAACGTTAGCTTAATAGACAAAAAAAAGGCAATATATAATTACCTAACTATGAATATCATTATACTGAGCTAATGATGAACCTCATTTATGAGATCAAAAGATTCATTCTTAGTATTAAAGCCATATACCTAGTGCGATGAGGCTAATACCTGTAGTATCACATTTGTCACCACCGGATTTAACGGCTATACTTTAATAAAGCGCGCTCAATAATTAGGCCGATTTATTTAATAGAGGTATGTAATTGACGCAATATTGGTAGTTATCTGCAACTCTAGCCGGTTTGGTTCTTCTAACACAATACATGTGATGCAATTCGAGGGCTCGCAACTGTGGTAAGGCCACAGGTAAAGTCTATCCGATCACAGTACCCCGTGCATCAGCTGTAATGCAACTAGAAGATCGGAACGCGTAAAATCAAGCTTTCTTTCCGGGTAAACGGTATAAGTCTTCCATAAGTATCTAGAATAAGGCGTAACATCGAGCATCCGATCTACCATACTTATAAGATAGTTCATCCGAATCGGGAAACATCTTTCGTCGTGAAGTCTGCAGGCGTTTAATTGTAACCACGAACGGTCCGCAAAGTGGTCTGTACCCCCCACCTCTTCGTGCCATCGTAGACCCGAAATCGTCTCTGTCGTTCGATCTCGTGGCAGCAGACCTTCTTCGCTAATGATCTGAGGAGTTCGAATAGGAGGTTTTGTGCCCTCGCGCCTGGCACAAGGATGCGAAGGGCGAATGATATGAGAATTCGCCAGCTCTTCATTGGATGTTAACCTTAATTACATCAGGGGTGAACTCCACTTCGGTTTCCGGGCAGATCGCGGGCATGATTTGTGGATGGGGTAGAGGAGCCGGATGTAACTCTGTTCAGCGCGAGGCCCCACGTCTCGTCCTTGACAAGTTACCAGCGACAGACAGCGAACTCGAGTATAGGGATGACATATCGCGGAATCGGATGAATATATAAGGGGCATATCTGGACGAGATGGATTTTGCTATTAACTCCGCATCGAGTTACGGATAACATTCACTCAACTCTCTTGGTTATAAGATATTCTAGAGTTCTATCCACGAGTTTATTCGACATCACATTTACAACTAAACACTTCACAGTTAGACCAATCAGAACGCTGCTTTCGTCGAATATACCATAATGGCAGAAAACGATAAACAAGCGGACCTGCCGATTCTCATTATTGGCGCCGGTAAGAGAGCCCCTATCATGATGGAATATTTCCAAAACAATTATTGAAGTACTAATATATACTCTACCCTACTAGGCTGTAATGGATTGGTTCTAGCTCACGCTCTTCACGTGGTAGATTGCTCTCTCTCTCTCTCTCTTGCTCTCGCTCTCGCTCTAGAAATATAACTTTCTAGCGACCCTCTTACTAATATACGACTAGAAAGGCATCCGGTCTATAGTCTTTGAGAGAGACGAAACACTCGTCCCGCGAAGGGTATGTATAATAGCACAACGTTTTGATACCTGTACTCCCGTTTTCCCTTTATTTTCTCATTATCTTGTGTTGTAGCTAATAAGTAGCAGTAAGCAAAACAATCTCGTGGAAGATTTCCCTTCTTTAAAATGGACGAGTTATCGGGGACTAACACAGCGTGTTTTAACCCATCAGTGGACGAGACTGGGGAATCGCTCTGCACTGGGCCACCGCGCTTCTGGAGTCCATGGTGGGAGAGGAGAAATGGAGCCGTGTCGACGAGACAATGGTCGATCCCTATCTAAAACCCGCACAGCTCGAGTACTTCCCCATACTCAACGGTAAGACAGGCGAGCTTCTGACGGAGAAGCCCGCGGAAAATCTATGCCGTGTCCTGCGCTCGCGTCTACGCACCTTCGCCGCCGAAGGCCTCCCGGACCTGCGCTACAACAAAAAGCTCGAGCGCATCTCGTACGCGGACGACGGCAAGAGCGTCACGGCGTACTTCTCGGACGGGACCTCGGAGACGGGCCGTCTGCTCGTCGGTGCTGATGGAAGCCAGAGCAAAGTTCGCAGGGAACTAGTCGGCCTCGAGCGTGCCGCAGTCAAGCGGCTGCCTCTCGTAGCGACCTTCATCACCGCTTCGTTCTCGGCCGAGTATGCCGTGGCCCTGCGGAAAATCGCCGGCAACGCACTGATTAGTCTCTGGCCGCACCCGGACAACATGCTCGGCGCGCTGACGCTGATGGACGGGATCGAGAAGGACCATCCCGAGAAGTGGCGGTTTACTTTCTACGTCGCGTGGCCGAGCAGTCTCGAGGAGCAGGCTGCGGAAGTGGCGGCGGGGATGAGCATTCGCGATCGGCTGCGCCAGGCCAAGGAGAAGAGTAAGGCGTTTGTGAACCCCATACGCAAGTGCTTCGAGTTGTTGCCCGATGACCACGAGGAGGTCTACTGGGTCGGCCTGTCGAATTGGGACCCGACCTTGCCGGAGCATAAGTGGGATAACCACGGGGGTCTCGTTACGCTGGTGGGCGATGCGGCGCACCCTATGACGTATCGTAAGTAGACTTCCTATCCCCTTTCCATGACTGCCACATCTACAGACGTCTCCATAGTCGTCCCCGAAGGAAAAAAGTTGAATACTAACGTAACACGCTTCATCCAGACCGTGGACAAGGGCTAAGCCACGGTCTCGCCGACGTCTACAACCTCGTCAAGTTACTAGCCAACCCCGAAGGTCGGTCGCAGGCTGAACTGATCGACGCGTATGAGAGCGAGATGCGGCCCCGAGCCGGTGAGGAAGTCCAGCTAAGCGAGATGAACTCGGTCATGTTGCACGACGGGTCTAGAGCTACGGAAAGCCCGATGGTGACGAGGGGACTTAGCTACGGGAGCGGTAAAGCAGAGAAACCGTATAGTGCCGTGGAGGTGAAGATGGGTTGATTTCTGTCCGTTATAGGGTTTGTTGGATAGTCTGTAATGTAGTAGAAACCGGCTGGATAATTTGCTTATCCCTTATTGTTGCCGTGCTCGTTTTCCGTTTCGTGATGTTTTGGTCTTGGCATAAAGTTGTAAGACTTGAAAATAGGACACACTATCAGGCCACTTAAAATCGTTTAAACACCAAATTCATATTAAGGTAATGAACTGAGACTAGGATTAGTCTGTTGCTAAAGTCAAACACCTATGACTATACCTATAGCAGGGGGTATCAATATCCGGTTACCTGGTCCCCTAAACGCCGACCTGTCGCAAAACCCTCTATACATTAGGAGAAGAGTCCTTTGCCTTCCGTTTCTTTTTACTACCTTTACCACCTTCGGCGTTCTATGCAGAAGTTGGGGTAGTACCAGCCTTACTCTTCTTCCGCCTGGATTTAGACGGCATTCCTGTAGGTGTCTTTGGCGTCTTATCACCCTTCGTATCCTTCTTATCCGGCTGAGTAATCGCAGAGCTCTTGAAAGACGTGTCGAGATTTGGCAAAGCTAATGTTTGGAGTTTTTCTTTGCGACCTGTGGATGTGAGGTGGAATTCGCCGGGCTTACCAGTGATGGGGTTCTCATCCATGTAGTCCCCGCCGTATTGCATGTGTATCAAGAATGAATGCTCGGCTAAGCGAGAGTCTACGGCTACTGATTGAGTCGTTTTCTTTGATTCCGGGGCTGCCTTGCTCCCTTGTACCTCGGGCATTGGCGTCGCCCCTTTCGACTCTAGTGCCTGCGCTCTATTGTTTGTAGTACTCGGTGCTGTCTTGTACATATGTCCGAGGGCTGGCGACCAGGTTCGTGCGTTATCTGCAGCCGCGAAACATTTGCTCAAAGCCGATGAGATGGTAACCTAGAAAACAAATGTTAGACTTAAATATTTGTAAATGAGAAGAGTAATATATGGGATAAATACCATCCGGAAACTCAAGATATCCGCAAGTGTTGGTGCCATATACACATTTTCCCCGATGACATAATACGCCGCATGGACAGTGACCTCGTCCTCGGGATCCCGCTTGCGACGCGTCTGCTTGTGGATGACCCAGACTCCAGTCCCCATGCCGGGACCCGACTCGGCAGGCTCCTGGGCGACTATATACTCCAGCCCTGACATTTGTTTGAGACGACCCTCAAATTGCTCACGGGTCGAGATTATGAATTTCATGTTCTCGTTGAATGTGGCTTGGGTAAAGAGAACGGCATTGTTGGAAGTACGGTCGAAAAACGGAGACTCGGCGAAATAGAAGAGTATATTATTGGAATGTAGTCCTCCTAGGGTCTGCGCATAGTTTGGATGGCGCCATTGAATCTCGTCTAATGGCTCGTTGCTCGTCGCCATTTTTGTCGATTTCCCGTCGGACCGGTCTTTGACTGGGAAATGAGAAGTAGTCGGAAACTCGAAAGATGGAAGTTGGATTACCTTGAGGCTTGTAACTTTACGTCTCTATTCCGTAAGGTGTGGAGAGTGGATTGCGGGAAGCTCTTATCGATATTGTGTTATAGGTACAGTATGTACCACTCTAGTGGCTGCAAGTGGGGCTTTTAATGCAGGGTGTATTTTAGTGTAGTGTCTACCTAGGTACCTACCTATCCTCAATTCAATTGATATTCTTCAACTTCAATTACCCATCCGAACTCCCATCTCTATCGCCAATAATACCTTTACAGCACTTCACAAGACTTCCCGAGAAATATTGATCCCAACTTTATCGAACTATATAACCGGCCAGTACAACGCTATGGATCTTGTCTCGAGCATCCGCAAGACAGGCTCGCGCGGCGGGGTCAACTTCAATTGGGAGGATGTCGCCACTTCGAACCATCGCGAGAACTACCTTGGTCATAGTCTGAAAGCCCCGGTCGGTCGTTGGGCGAAAGGCAAAGATCTTACCTGGTACGCGAAAGCCGATGCGACGGAAGCATCCTCTACAGAGACGGAGCAGGAAAGGGCAGCCCGGGAGCGAAAAGAAGAGCTCAAACGAATTAAAGAAGCAGAAGAAGATGCACTAGCTCGTGCGCTAGGTTTGCCCGTTGCTCCTCGAAAGGTTACAGGTGCGAATGCTATAGATGTAAGCGAAGGAAGAGGTGTGGTGGACAGTGGGGATTCTACCGCTACCCCGGCGGATACTAAACGGTTGCCCAACGACGCCCGGCAGACGTCCACAAAGCAACACGACTCTGGACGGCACCACCGGAGGAGACATAGGAGCAGAAGTCGTAGTCGAGAGAGACATCGGGACAGATCGCCAAGGAGAAGGGGCGGCCACCATAATCATCGGCTAAGAGATGAAAAGGACGACAGACACGATCATCGGAGGCGAAGGAGTTATAGTCCCGAGCGGGATGACCATAGACATAGAATATCTCACCGACGAGAACATAGCCGCTCTCGGAGCCCAGAGAGGATTGAGAGGAGGAAAGACGGGAAAGAAAGTTTTAGGCCTAGATCAAGGGATGGACGACCACGGCGAAGTCGAAGCCCCCAACGACGTGGGAGAAGGAATTCCCCAGGCGATCACCGTCGATAACCACAAAACGAACTATATGAGCTATAATTATACTGTATTATTATGCTTGACCGAATATTAAGTTGGTGGTTAATGCTACATATTAATGTTGAAGGTTATCACGGCCTACTAGCTAGATGGGTCTAGTTTGTCTAGGAATCACTTAATGAAGATTAATGAGGTGTGTCACATATTTACGAGGTTATTCTCGAGTTTACAAGGAACAGTTTTTGCAAAGAACAGTCCAGTATGGCTTACTATGTGTTTGTAAATAATCTAAGAACTGGTAGCACGGGGCTGACGTAGGAAGGAAGGACGTACCTTGAGCATAGGTGAGCTAAAGCTGCAGGTGATTTCCAATGTTTACAGTAACTGGATGTGGATGTCAAAGTACATGAACATGCGGAGTTAAGTGGAGTTTACTACCTACAGGTACATGTAGGTACCTATTTTCGGACCTATCAATCCCCCAAACCTGCCCAAACCTGCCCAAACCTGGGGCTAGACGTGCATCATTACCAAAAAGCTGAGACGAATCAAGAGGCTTCAAACCCCCTCGACTTCACAGTGTACATACATATCTTATGAACGCAAGTCTGCTGTCTTTGTCGCGTGCATGCGTTTATTCACTGTCACCGAGATTTAGTTCATTCTACCGTCTACATGTTTATTGTTTGCATGTTATTTGTTCTAGAATTTACCTGAGTAACTTGCCTAAGAGCTAATGCCTTACGCGGGTCTTTGCCGCAGCCGCAGCCGCAGCCTCAGCAATTGCCACCATTAGATTGGATGACTACCTTATATTCCGCAAACCAACTCACGCGCCTCTTGTTTACAGGAGATGTCTTTCTCGACTTTCTCGAGTCAATAAATACCTCTTTGTTTCTTCCTATTCCGCCAGAGTACAAATCACAACCACGTTTCTTCACTATTATGTCCTACTAAGCAACCATCTACTTTACTAACCGTAACAATGGATTATGGAAAGCTCCGAGCCGCTGCCTTACGGGATGGCGAAGATGAGGAAGCCGTAACCGTCGATACTCGAGCTTTAATCGACAAGGTTCTAGCGAGATACTCGGGCGAGTGGACTACATTGCGGGAGCTTATTCAGAATGCTGCCGACGCCCAAGCCACTACCGTGAAGATAAAGTGGGAAACTCTACCCTCGACTCAAGTTCCTCTACCACCTACTACAGATCGATCCGAGATCCTAAAGCACGTAATCGCAAACCATACCCTCAAGCGACTCGTCGTTCAGAACAATGGCCAACCATTTACAAAGACTGACTGGGGAAGGCTGAAGAGGATCGCCGAGGGCAATCCTGACGAGACTAAGATTGGCGCTTTTGGTGTAGGATTCTATAGTGTCTTCGCGGATTGTGAGGAACCCTTTGTTAGCTCAGGTAACGAGGCTATGGCCTTCTACTGGAAAGGGAACGCTCTCTTCACGAGAAAACTACAGGTCCCTGAGGGCCAACACAGCTCAGATACAGCCTTCGTTCTAGACTATCGAAATACGACGACAACTTTACCAAATCTGCTGTCTGTCAGTCAGTTCCTAGCTACAAGTTTAACATTCGTAGCCCTCCAGAATATTGAATTCTGGATCGATGACTACAAAATCCTCCATCTGCAAAAGAAAACTAGTCCCAGCGTCGACATTGCGCTGTCAAGAGATGTCGAAACCACTACCAAAGAACGCCTCATGAAGGTCCAGAGCGTTGAACGTGCGAGCGCACAGATAGACGCATCATTCATGAGCGCCATCGGGTGGAAACCCCAAGTGGCAGCAACGGCCAAGAGCGAGGCTTACGGGTTAGGTAGCTCGGAGATACCGTCTTTACGAAGCTTCTTTTCTAAGCTCACCGCCAACCCTACCACAGCGAAGGCTAACAAAGTGGCAAAAGAAGAGAAACTTGCCCAAGAGGCCATATCCGAGGACATAACTATATTATCGTCAAGCAGCATATTTCTTAGGGTGACGACTGCTGCGATTAAGACGTCCGTCACTGCTAATTTCTCAGCAGAGCTGGAGAGGGCCACCAAAAAGCCTCCGCCAAAGCTAGCTAAGTTGTCAGTATTGACTTCCTCGTATGATGAAACGCAAGCCTCGCAGAGTTCTGCGAGCTCTGAAGCTGTTTCTAAGGCCACCAACGTATTTGCCTCCGTACTACCGAGCAAGAAAGGCGGACGAATATTCATTGGGTTCCCAACTACCCAGACGACCGGTGCTGGCATTCATATCTCAGCGCCCTCTGTCATACCTACTGTAGAACGGGAGGCTATTGATTTAAATGCAAGATGGGTCAGAACATGGAATATTGAAATGCTGCGAGCTGCTGGTATCATGACCCGCCTTGCTTTTTCGAATGAGATGGCCGAGTTGCAGACCAAATTGCAGCGGGCTGCGGAGAAATCGAACACCGGCATCACATCGAAAGAGGTCGCCAAATATATGCCAGAAGCATTACATACACTAAAGGCTTTCACATTCGGAGATTCTACGCCCAGTGGTCACGTTTCGCAGATAATTGAGGAAGCATTCTGGACATCATACAAAAAGCCCTTCGTAGAAGTCTACAGTAGCCGAGGCGTTCTTCCTACTAACAAGGTTCGACTTGGTTCAGAAGAGCTTGCTAAATTTGTCGATGGGATCCCGGTAATCCCTCCCGAACTTGGATCCACTGGCTTCATTCAGAAATTGGTCGAATTCGATTTACTTTCTGCCATAACTGTAGACGATGTCCGGATAGAATTATCTGGAAACCCTCTTAATAAGACTCAGCTCATCAGCTTCATAGATTGGGCCAGTAAGAAGGCTGCTCAAGGCGAGCTTGACTTACCGAGTAGAGACAGACTTCTTGATGTCGCAGTTGGCCTCGTCACTGAGGGGGCTGACGAGCAAGGCGGTATTATCGCCCTAGGAAACATCAAGAATTATATTAGCCCAAATAAGATACCAGCTGGTTTGCCAATCCCGCCGACCACTCTGCCCTACGATTTCACTAAGCACTGCAATTCGACTCAGCTGCAAGCTTTAGGGTGGGAATCCCTTGAGATTGTTCCTTGGCTTCGGTTCCTAATTGAAACCTGTTCGAGGAGACCAGATGAACAGAACTTAACCAAGTCCCCTAAGTTTTCGATACAAATCCTCACAGTATTGTCAAAAAGCTGGGACAATCTTAGCCAGGGCTCCAAGGGAACTATTACGTCGTTACTCCAGAGTCATACTGTTATGCCCACCAAGTTAGGTATGAGGAAGCCAGCAGAGTCGTTCTTCCAGAGTGTGAAACTATTCGATGATCTTCCAACTATTGAGGGATGCTCCTCACTCAAGGATAAATTTCTCACCGCTATCGGAGTCAGAAAAACCGTTGATCTGGATACGATCTTCACACGGTTGCTCAATCGTTCAGCAGAGGTTGAGGATTCTGGACAAGTAAAATGGAGTCACGTCGAACTTATCAAATATTTGGCATCAGTACGGCAAGATATTCCAAAGGATGATATGAAAAAACTCAAGGAGTCACGTATTTGTCCGGCAGAAGATGGACCCTATGGTCTAGAGTCAACCAAAGCAAGTTCACAACTGTATAAAGTCTCTGATCTCTATGAACCTAAAGGCCCGCTTCGATCGCTTGGACTCAGGCTCATTCAATGGCCGGGTGGCAACCTACGGCCTGGCAGCGCTGAAGGGAAGTTTTTAATTGACCTTGGCCTCCGTCCATATCCTCCAGCTTCTATAATTGTCGTCCTGATGGCTTCGTCCAATTCGACACTAAGGGCTAATGCTATGAACTATTTTATCTCTTACCACCATAGCAATCAGTACGCATCTTCCAATATTGGGGCATCGACCAAAGCCTTCCTCCCCTTGCAGGGAGATTCTCAGCAGCTCGCGAGTCCGTCTCAATGTTTTACAAATGAGGCTGCTGCCATGTTAGGTTTTCACATCTTACGTAGTGATCTCCATGCTCATGCCCCTGTAAGTCTAAATAATTTATTTGCCTTTCTAGTCTTTTATGGGACATTTTACTAATTGCAACCTAGAAATTCGGCGTGGTTGCGGACCCCCCTATTTATGAATGCATTGAGCGGTTATTGGCCAAACCTCCCTCAACCCACCAGGATGCTGTCTCACTTTTTGGCTATTTTGCTACTCGCATAAATGAGCTTAATGGTAGCGCGATTGTAAAGCTTCGGGAAGCTCTTATCGTACCTGTAGTGCGTAGAAAAGAGTTAGCAACCTCCCGGATGGCGACAGACAAAGAAGATAAAGCAGGCAGTGTTGTCCACCTAAGTCCCCGTCAATGCTATCTAGGTAGCTCAACGATGTACGGAGATATTTTTGACTTTGTTGACTTTGGCAGCTCTGCAAATGCATTTCTATCAGCGTGTGGTTCGAAGACCGAACCAACCAAGCTAGAAATTGCCCAGCTAGCAGCAGATGAACCTGCTAGACTGCTTAGTGTTCTCCAAAGCTCAGAAAAATACCTGAGCGTTTTGAAACTCTTAGCTGAAGAGACAGCAACTCTTAAAAGAGACAAGGAGCTATGGAGGAAGATGAAATCTTCTCCATTTCTCCTTGCATTTAAAGAGATCAGCGCACCTGCTAAAGACAAAACATCGGAAACTGAGGAAGACGAGGCACCAATCAGATCATATCAACTTGCGACTCCGGCTAGCATTGTTATCTTAGACGATTACATTAGCTACCGCCTGTTTAAAGATCACTTGATCTGTGCGCCAGAGGAAGACGTCTTGGAAGCCTTCTACATGGCTCTCGGCTCCCAAACTCTCTCCGCTATTGTCCAGGAGGATCTTAGAGTTGGGCCGCAGAGTGAGAAACAGGACGGCGCGCTTTGGCTTCGGAAACACGTTCTTGAACGTTCAAAGATCTTCATCCATGAGTATGCTAGATACAGACGGGATACGATCAAGCACGATGCGAGGTGGCTTGAGAAGAATATAACTGTAGAAGCTGTGCGGTCTGTCTCGCTTCGCCGATCACTTCGTGGCCAAAGTCAGTCGCACACCGAAAAGAGGTCAGCAGCGAGTTTGAAAGCTGCCAACGGCTGGATCCTTTATGTTGCATCCGAATCTTCTCGTCCCGATATGTACCAAGTAGGACAAGCAGTATGTCAACTTATTCTAAATCGGCCAAGTCAGCAAGCGTACTTTTTCTTCGAGCCGTTCTTGAAGCTTGATTTACTTGACCTGAGAGCCCGCGGATACAATGTTGACCGCATCCTCAGAGCCAAGGCTGCTGAGGCTAGAATTGCAGAGGAAGAAAGGCGCAAGGCCTTAGATGCTGAGCAGGCGAATATTAGGGAACGAGAAGAAGAATTTAGAAGACACACTCAAGCTGCTGCTGCTGCAAGGAGCGGGAATAGGACGCCGCCGCCACGCATGCCTGGCGGGTTTGGATCTCCCGATGACAGCGAAACACTCTCACCACCACCGGCCAATACGCCACAACAACAGACTAGGAGAAGTAAGGGCTTCTTCTCGAATTTTTCTAAACGATTCGGGTTTGATACCTCTAGCGAGGCAGAGGATAATCTTAGGAACTTTATGGAGTCAGACCCAGAGCCAGCTAAGTTACCGCCAGCTAAATTACCGCCAGTTGAGCCCTCAACAGGGTCAGGGTCCAAATCTGGCAAGAAGGACGATGGCAAGGTCACAAATCCCGCCATAGTCCAACAGAACCTTATCAATGCCATCATGTCTACAAGAGCCCACGACTCTTCCCAAGTTTATTCACCGCCAACGACTCGAGAAGTCAAGGAACAAGCTACTTATTGCGATGACACTATAGGAAAGGATCTCAATTTTGTAGCGGATGCATCAAACGGAATGCGCGTATTCGTATCAAGGACGATACCAAATCTTAACACTGCCCAGTTCCTTACGAAGAATCACGTGTCCATCAACTCCTTTGCGTCAATACTGACCGACGTGGGTGATGCTTATTCCATCCACCGCTCCTCGCTACACATTTTCTACGATGAGGAGGGAGGTACGATTGCTTTCAATCGCGATGGTAGCATCTTCTGCAATCTGCGCTTCTTTATTCAGCTGCACGCCGAGAATATGTCAGGGCAAGGCAAAGCTGCCGCCTCCGTCTGGTGGTGGGTTGTACTAGCCCACGAGTTGGCTCACAACCTCGTTCAGATGCATAACGCAGACCACAGTTATTACACGTAAGTAGACCTAAGCTATATCGACCATTCCGAGTATATGCTAACATAATATAGCGAGTCGTTTATCCAGCAATACTTCCCTTTAATGATGGTGAAGGTAACTCGACTACTAGGAAGTGAATCAGCACCTCCGGCTAACGATCAACCGCTCCCTACTCTTCCCGGACCCTCTACAGCGCCGCCACCACCATACCGAGAACACTAAGCAACAGAACTAGTAGACACAGGATAGACGTTGTTTCCACATGATCAGAGGATATTATGGCCTCTCCCCGCAAGACAGAATTATCACATCGGACCAAGACATAGCACAACATAACACAAGTTATATAGCATAACAAACAGTTCTGTCTGGCATTTCAAGGCGTTAGGGAACCAGCAGTCTCGCAATATAGACGGGGACGAGTATCACGCCGAGGTGAGGCGTTTGCATTCGCAGAGGATTCGCTGTATAGTAGATGAACCGGCACTTATGGCTGCTTGCTATAGAGATCGCCGCTGTGCGGAATAGATGCGTGTGCGTTATGAATATTCGGAATGTGTTGGCTTGGTGATTGTAATTTGCGAAATATTGATACTGTATTCTATTGCTGTCTGGCTTACCTAGTAGTTTATTAATCTGAAATCTCGCTTTTTTATATTTGGTTTAATATAATACTCTGTTGCTATAATTACGGGTGCGACTTAGAGGGATAAATGTATTGAATGTAAACATGTCAATCCTATCTCGACGAAATAGTTGGCACTCGTAACACACATACATCCTCATAGATACCAGAGGCGTAAACATACAGCATAGAAATGCAAACAGATTTATCTTTTTTAATTTCGCTAACTCCCTTTATATACATAACAACAGTAAACTACTCTCCGCCAACACAACCACCCATCTTCCCACTCTAATCTAAGTAGCATAATCCAATCCCCCGCATCACTCCGCAACCCATCCCTTCCCAGGAACTTTCCTCTGCACAATCTTCCTCACCGGCAACGGCCAGCCCAACCCACCACCTCCTTCCGCCCGCATATACGGCACAACCCAGCACTCCCGCGCGCCATCCGTCCTCGGAACCTCCTTAATCGGCTTGCCGTACGACAGCAACGGGGTCCCTTTCGCCAGCGCGGCCAGCTGCGCGCCCGTAACATCCGTCAGCGCGAGCATCCTCGTCTTAGGAATCTTTTGCGCAGACGGGTCGGCCGCCGCGCGCTGCAGGTTCGTGTACACGATGTACTCGGGACACTCCTGGGGGCTGCGGTGCGCGAGCGAGGACGACGGGTGGATGTAGACTAGGCCGGCTAAGGGGTCGCGCGGGTCCGACTCGGCGGGCTTGAGGGGCACGTAGGGGACGTCGATGGCGCGGCGGGGTTTGCGGAAGATTTCGGGTGGGGAGGGCGCTAGGTCGGCGCGGATGGCGACTTGGTCGATGAAGCCTGCGGCGACCATTTGTTTTAGAGCCGAGATTTGCTTAGGGCTGGGCCGGTCTAGCTTTTCTTTGAAAGTCAGGTTGGCGAATGCGGGGATGTCTTTCTGAAGTAGGCTTGTGATCTGCCGGCGGAGTTTTTGGGCTTCTTGGAGCGCTTTGAAGCGCACGAAGTGGTTCTCGCACCAATGTTCCGTCGGATCGTGTGCGAATTCCCCGACGACTTGGAGGAGCTTGATAGCGTCGGAGCTATCGTCGAGCGAGCAGAAGTTTCGGTGAACTTCGTTATACTTGCGTCGCGCTAGGATCTGCTGGTTCTCCGCGGCTATATCTTGGTTGGTGCGGAAGTCGTGCTCGTGATCCGCTGCTAGAGCTGGTATTGCTTGACTTTCTGGGATGAACACCTCCGCTACAGATAATCCTGCGACGAGTGCCACAGTATATGGTAAGCAGTCGTGGAGATGTCCAACTAGAAGGATGCGCGCAAAACGGGGTGGGAGAGGGAATTTTGCCATCGTCTGGCCAATTTGAGTAGCCTGGCCTGATTCCGTGATTGCTGATAGGTACTGAAGCAGTTTTTCGGCTTTAGCAAGGCTTTGCCGCTCCGGTGGTGTAGGAAAGGGGAAGTTAACTACATGTTGTAGCCGCATCGCCTTGAGTTGCAGCACTACGCCTTCGATGGGCATTCTCAACAGTTCGGGGTCGGCGAACTCGGGGAAGTCCCGCTCATACACGGCAGAAGAGTATAGTCGATAGCAGTGACCTGGCCCAGTTCGACCAGCACGTCCGGCTCTTTGATTCGCACTAGCTTTGCTGATCCAGCCGATCTCGTAGCTTTGCACTCCAGTTTCCCTATTGTATCTTCGTTCTTTGGACCGCCCTGAATCAAATACGTAGCGAACACCAGGTATCGTCAAACTTGTCTCGGCAACGTTTGTTGCAAGTATAACGGCACGCGAGCCCTCGGGCGGATCGTCAAATACTCGCATTTGTTCTCTCGTAGGTAATAATGAGTATAAGGGCAGTATGTGCATCTTCAGGGGTCCTGAACCAACTTCCTCCGAAACATCAAATTCACCATCGTCTTCGTCATCCTCATCTTCCTCGTCAATAAATGGTAGGTCATAATCATCATTTGCCATTTCATTAGTTTCTCCGAAGTCGATATCCTCGACTTCTAAAGGAGCGTCGTTTGCGGATATTCGAACCTTTGGATATACGATAGGATTCATAGCACCAGTCGCAAGCTTGAGCTTCTTGCTCAGCCTTTGTATTTCATCGTGTCCAGTAAGAAAGACAAGGAAGCTACCTGGTGGGAGCTTACGATGTCCTCTCATAATCTTCTTGAAGGCCTCGTCGACATAGTCGTGATGGGTCTGCCTAGAAAAGTGCATAGTCACCGCGTGTTGTCGGCCCTCAACGTTAAGAACCGGCGGCGGTATTGGGAATAATGTTTGATTTTTTATGAAATCATCTACCCGCAAAGTGGCGGACATGATAATTAACTTCAGTGGAGCTAACTTGGGGTCTTCGTTAGACATTTCCTCTCGTAACTTAACGACTCGGCTAAGCATCCCAACAAGAATATCTGTGTTAACGCTCCTCTCGTGAGCTTCATCGATAATAATGGCAGAATATTTGCGAAGGGAGATGTCATTGGCGACTTCACGAAGAAGCACACCATCCGTCATAAATTTAACTGCTGTCTTATCATCAACGGTGCCCTCGAATCGAATCTGGTATGCAACAGCGTCTGACCGATCACCAAGTTCTTGCCCAACCCTCTTTGACATACTGACCGCAGCGACTTTTCGTGGTTGTGTCACTCCGATCATGCCCGGGGTAGGTGAGTTAGGCGAGCCGTACCCAGCTTCGAATAGAAACTGGGGTACTTGTGTTGTTTTTCCTGATCCAGTGGCACCACAAATTACTACTACATTGTTGTTGTGAATGGCTTCCATGATCTTCTGCTCCTCGGCTACCACCGGTAGCTTAAGCCGCGCATCTTGTATCTCAGATGTCCTCTGGACTGGAACGCTAAACGCCTTTCTCCCGCTGTCTTTTGTCGGAAGTAATTCCATGGGTAATGGGTCTTGCTCCAGCGGCCGTGGCTTAAAATCCTTAGGGACCGTGATATTCAAAACCGAATTGTTATTGTCGACAGGCTCATATCCAAGAGCTGCATTACGCTGTTCATGGGCCCAGGATTTAAAGGCCGAAGATCTCTCCTTCCTCTTCGAAACGTCTTCCTCTTCTTCAGATGATTCATCATCGCTGCTCGACTCTTGATCTGTAGATTCATCTTCCTCGGACTCGTCCTCTGAGGATTCTTGAGACTTGGCTGAATCGTGGGCGGACACGTCGGAGCTAAATCCATTCCACTCGTCATCGCTAGCGTCATCCTCGTCCATGCGTTCTTCCGCACTCTCGGGTGATATTTCAGGCAGTATGATTTGTGCCTTCGCATGCACCTTCGACTTTACGCCACCACGCTTCTGTCTTTTTTGTATAACTGGTCGCCCCTCGTCGTCTAATTCCAGGGGACGTTTTAATCCAGACCCCACAGTGACCGCTGACTTTTCCGGTAAGGCAATTTTAGCATCGCTGGTGGTAGGGCCATTGGCTGTCGACGCAGCATTCTGAGAAAATCCGCTTTCTCGACCTTGAGAGCGACCGGTTTTTGAATGCACTTCAAAATCATCTTCTGATTCATCGCTTGCGAGAGTATCCTTGGTTTCGAAGAGGACATCATCATCGTCCTCACCAATGCCTGCTCTTCGTTCTCTCAAAGCGCGACTAAATGCCTGGCGCTTCGTCTCTTTCCCCTGGCCGAGACTCCGACTACTCGAAAATAAGCTTGTGTCAATCTTATTCTTAGCTAATTCAGCTAGGAGAACGCGATTCTCATCCTTTTTGAGCTTGGTGTCGATATATTTCTCAAGGCGCTTGGCCTTTTTGCCGCTGACCTTAACCTCGCCCTTCAGTTCATTTCTCAACTGAGCTCTTCTAGCTTCACGGTCTGCTTTCTGAGCGTCTGGGAGAATTTCCAGCGCATTGCTGTCCGTCTGCGGGGGTGCATCTCCACCATCTTGGATGCCATTTTGTAGCGCTTTCTCACGCGCAAGGACCTTATGTTTCCTCTGACGCGGCACGAATTTTGGCATTTTTACTGTTGTCGATGATGAAAACTGAGTGATGTACTAGGAAGAGAAACGATATTGAAATTTTGACCGCCTGGCAGAATTTCTTCTAAAGATTGAATCGAGTTAGCGTGGGGTGCATTAGGTCGTTTTAATGGTAGCGGGCCCACTTTATAAGCTGTAGACCCGCTCTAGTGGATATCCAACAGCGCAAGCTATAAGAACACTGTCCCTGAATGTCCTAATGCTAGCCACAGTTCCTATCATCATAACCCATAACCCTTGTTTGACTGCTATCCAAATTACGTACATCTCACAACCCGAGTGTCTTTCAGTTACGCATTTCGAACATAGGTACCTATGGATGCCTCACAAGTAGTCGAAGCGCCGTTCCCGGCTCAGTCAAAAGCTGCTACTGGACCTATTGACGGAATAGCAACCGAAGCTTCTGCTCTGCACTTTTCGGACAAGATACTTGTTACTCTATCTCAAGAGGGCAGATTATCACAATGGGTAAATTACTACTATACTAAATAAATATCCCAAACGGCAGTGTTAATTTAATGATAGATTCAAGTACCATTGTCGGCACCGTCACCAGCCAGCGTAGACATGGCCTTAGCAAATTCTAGCTTGCTGCCCTTGTCTCACTTAACACCCAAAACACTACTTGGCGGAGGTGGTGAAGAGCGTGAATCCTTAGCGCAGCTGTATGCTGTTCAAATCGCTAGTCACATCGTAAGGAGAAACTCGGATGAGAATCGTACCCTCGTCGTTGGACTTGGTCTTAAAACGCTTAAGCCCGAACGCGAAGCCTTCTTTGACGTCCTTGAACTCATTCAAAAGGTCTTGTAAATGGCCGAGAAATCCGGCAAGCAAAATCACAACCCCGCCTCGAATAGAATCAGGTGAAATGAAGCGAAATATCCTATCTACATAGCTACCACAGTAGCACTTGGTGCCACTGCCTTTTTCGCTTCTTGATTCTTGAGAAATTCATCTCTCTCAATCTTGAATCTCATCTGACACCCTAGAGTTCATCAATTAGGGTTATCCTCGGGCTGGATGTGGAAACTTACAGTCACCGCAAGAGATGGGTTTGTATTTGGCCGGATTCTTCTCCGAGGTACACGATGGAACAACGCCCTCGACGCAGTTGAAGTTGAGACCTAGTGAGCGAGTGAGCGAACATCTCAAGGAAAGCAACGGTATAGTGACATACCAAAGAAAAATGGTAGAGAGACCCGTTCTCCGTTAGACTCATTTGTGACTCTATGGACAGTGGATTTATAAATGTCATTGCAGAGCCGCATCATGAAGTCGCCGATATTGACAACAAGAGTTCCTTCAATCGGGGGTGCCTTCAGAAACTGTCAGCATTGGTTGACACTCCACACCGTTCGCATCTTACCCTCAGCCACTGTCCCTCTTTAGACAGCACCTGCAGACCACCCACGCCGTCTTGCCATAAGAGCGTAAACAACTGCAGGTCTGTATGACTTCCTAGACCAACAAACTTGTTTTCGACTTCTTCTACAGTCCTTGGCGGATAGTAATTGAAAACGCCATCTGCTCCTGGATGTGTGACTTTGTCATCCCAATAATCTTCTTCTAGGTCTAGCGAAAGAGCAAATACTCTAACTAGTCTTCTAGCTAGAGTTAAGCAGCTCCTCCAATATGCGAGAGAGTCCTCCTTAAAGTTTGGCAAATGCTTTGTGCCCTCCCACTTTAACGCCAAAATCAGCCAACTCGGTACCACTCAAAGTAGATAAATAGAGGTCAAATATACGCACCACGAAGTCTTCTGCGCGGATCCATGATCTCACCTCGTCAGGAAGCTCAGAAACGTTCATTGGATGATCTGGATCGAGCTCTGGGCTATACCGAAATGAAAATGACTCTCTGACGTCGACACTCTCAGTTCGAGAGATCTGGGCCTTCCGGTTTCCAAGGTATCCGTTATAATACTTGCTATGTATCCTAGAGTCCACTAGCATCTTCTTCTCTAGTGGCTGTCTCATAAAGTTGATCACTTGCTTCTTGCATTGAGCAATGACTTCTTCCGGTATGCCATGATTCTTGATATAGAAGAAGCCGTTATTAGTGGCAGCCGATCTGATATTATCGGCGACACTTTTACGGTCGGAGAGCTTCTCGGAAAACATAAGTGCCAAGTCGATAATTGGGATCTCATCAGTCGTACAGTCTCGAGGAGGATTCGGTAGTACATCTCGATAGACCGGGCCAAGAGCCGTCCGAAGTTCAAGTTTCGTAATTCCAGCCATTATGATTCTTATGAACGTCGCAAACTTAAAGTAAACATGAAGAAGCGGGTTGTGTATAGGATTAAGTTTAATTCAACGGCTCGCGAGCTTCTTATATCTTTAAAGTCTTAACGTCAATTACCTCAGCAAGCAGCAGTGAGATAGATAATTGAGTGGGGGGTCATATGCAGAAACTTGCAGATTATCCAATAACTAACAAGACACAAGCTCTTTGCAGTTCATCAACATGCACAACATCTGTAATCGATGGTGTCCAATACTTATGTAGGTAGCTAATCGGGTTTCTAGTTATTCATGCTCTCTTCCTATACATTGTCTCAGTGGCATGTTTAGTCGAACCCAAAAGCTTGGAATAAGTAGTTGAGCCGATCTCCTCCGGCCACCGGCGGGCCAAGTCTAGCTTAAACGAACAAAGCCATTAAACCCCGGCGGGAGTAACCGGTTCCCAATCTCGCATCTTACTTGGTACTTGGTCCAATACCGAATGCAAAATACAAGCTGCCGGGCATTCACAGCTAACCACACACAATCTATAAATCCAATTCATTCATCACTTTATCCTAGTTAATTTAGTTATGGTGGCGGCGAATCAAAATGAGGGTCCAGGACTGATCTCTGGGGTCGGTTCTCAGACCCTTCCCCCAATTCGGGCGTGCCTGTTTGACATGGATGGTCTCCTCATTAACACCGAAGACTTATACACCCTCTGTGCCGACATAGTCTTGACCAAATACGGACGGCCCCGTCTCCCCTGGTCCATCAAGGCTCAGCTCATGGGCGTCCCTGGCGCATCCCACGGCGACACCTTTCACAGCTGGGCTCAGCTACCAATTTCAAGAGAGCAGTTCAAAGAGGAACAAGCCGAGCAACACCGGATCCATTTCCCCGAGTGCAAGCCTCTCCCCGGGGTAGAAAAGCTTCTCAAGGATCTCAGGAGCGCGAAGACTACACAGGGCTTGCCGGTTGAAATTGCCCTCGCTACCAGTAGCCATAAAGCGAACTACGAGCTAAAGACTTCGCGGCCAGAAACGAAGGCTGTTCTAGATCTAATTCCGGAGGAACATCGAGTCCTAGGAGACGATCCCAGGATTCAACGTGGCAAGCCGGCTCCTGATATCTACCTGCTTGCCCTGCAGATAATTAATTCATCACTACCTGAGGGCATTCCAAAGATCACGCCCAACGAGTGCCTGGTCTTCGAGGACAGCGTCCTAGGCGTAGAGGCAGGGCGGAGGGCAGGTATGAGGGCCGTATGGGTTCCTCATACCGGCCTCGCCGCCGAGTACAAGGGCAAGGAGAAAGAGGTGCTTGCTGGGAGGACGGCGTTATATCCCATTGGCAATGACGAGCAGCTCGGCGCGATCGACGATGGCCGAGCTGAACAGCTTGTTAGCCTGGAGAATTTCCCTTATGATAAGTTTGGCATTGTTGTTCCCCGAGACAACTAATTCAATAGGTAGAGGTAAATAAGCAAGTAGATGAATATTTATCAGATCAGACACGCCACTGCGCTAAAGCTACTAATTCCACGGATGGGAAGGGTTCGCTACGTATTAACCCGCCAAGCGAACCAGCTCCCATTGTGGGGTCACATAACAGCAATCGAGATGGTGCTATACTCCAAGACAGAGGCGTAAAGATCTGGGTTAACCTCAACCTGCATCTCAACCGTGGAACGTATCCGAGTGCGGGGAGATGGATGACCTGCGATCGGCATCATGTCTTTTCCCGACGCGACACGACATTGAAAGAGAAGATAAAAGGAGGGGATAGCGTCATTTTGTCATGATAGACTTATTGTTGCTAACTACCTATACTACTACCTAATGAATAGAACACATTTATTCTGTATACAAAACATATTATAAGGTTAACAGTTTACTAATCTATCTGGGTATTCATTTCAAGAAACACCCTTATACATACACACACAATCATGGCCCCGCCGGTCTCCGAATTCAAGCTCAACAATAACGGGATCCCGAACTTCGAGGACCTCCCCTTACGGCAGACAGACCCGCACTACTCGGCATGGGGCTTATACGGCGACAAGGACGAGCTAGGAACACTCAACCGACTAACAGACGAGCGGGTAGCCGCCGCAGCCAAGAACGAGATCAAGACTGGTCGCAGGTACGCATGACCAGACCAGACCGATCCAGTCCAGTCCCTATCCTTTCCTCTCCCCCATTCCGCTCCCATAGTCCCAACTAACTAACCACCTACCTAACCTAACTTAACCTAAACTAACCCATATCTCCCCCCTCCAGGATCTCCCTAAACTGGCCTCTCAACGCGCAGCCCCAAAAATCCTTCTTCTCCCGCCACGTATTCACGCAATCCCTCATCCGCAAGTCCCCGCGCGTCGTCAACGACGACGTCTGGACTTTCAACTCCCAGGTATCCACGCAGTGGGACGGCCTGCGACACTATGCGTACCAGCGCGAGGCGCGGTTTTACAACGGCGTGACTATGGAGGATATACACGGCGTCGGCGGGGATGGTGGGAAGACTACGGTTAATGGGATACATGGTGCGTTTACTTTCCGGAGAAGTGTTTGGGGGGGCTTGGTATATATATGTATGTGTGTGTGTGTGGCACGATGAGCTTACAAGCCAACAGCATGGGCGGAGCAGGGTATCGTAGGTCGCGGCGTCTTAGTCGATTACCACAGCTGGCGGCTCGCGCAACCTGCTGCTAACCTTAAGCCCTACGACCCGTTTAAGAGCGATGCGATCCCGCTTGAGGACCTTCAGGCGTGTCTAGCTGCGCAAGGGACTGAGGTTAAATTCGGTGATATCTTGTTCATCCGCTCAGGCACGTATTTCCTCCTATCCTATCCCATCCTACCCCATCCTAACCTATCCTCCTTACTTCAACCTCCTGCCCCTTAACTTCATCTCAGACGTGTACCCAGGCAATATACTAACAACACCCATAGGCTTCACAGCAACCTACCCCCAGAAAACCGCCGCCGAGCTCAGCGCCTACCAAGCCGTAGTCCCGCACCACTTCGGCGGCGTCGAGCGGTCGGAATCCATGCTGCGCTGGATCTGGGAGCACTTCTCGGCCGTGGCAGGGGACCAACCCTCTTGTACGTAGCCTCTAACCCCTAATTTTCTCCCGACCCTTCTCTCTTACCACTAACACCCATCCCGTAGTCGAGAGCTGGCCCGCACCCCCCGACTCCCCGCACATCCTGCACGAAGTCCTTCTTTCTGGTTGGGGGTGTCCGATCGGCGAGCTATTTGACCTAGAAAAGCTCGCCGCATACTGCGAGGCGCAGCAGCGCTGGTCCTTCTTCGTCGTCAGCGAGCCGTGTAATGTCCCCGGCGGCGTCGCCAGTCCGCCCAATATACTCGCTATTTTCTAGGTTATACGACCAATGTAGATACATATGTGAGCGGGTTTGGAATTGGGCGTTGTTGTGTATAGGTGGGATAAGGGAAGCTTCTACCGCTGTCAAAGGAATGTGAGAGGCCAATTAAAAGGATGGGTGGATAGCTTCGCTTTAGCCACGCTATCCACTAACCACCTACCACCTAAGCCGTTGACGTAGGGGCGAGACGAGACTCTTTGGGAGTCGAAAAATCTAGGAGGCATACCTCGTCAGTATCATGATTAGCCGTCCCATGCGCCAAGTATTTGTCTAATTCAGTAATCACATGTCTAAGCGCTTTAATATAATGTTAAATCGGTTCTACGGATAATAGTAGATCAAGGTCAGATATTCGTAGGGCTAGTACCGTCCTACGGCTCTAGCACAGTTCCAAGATTTTCATTAACTCGCCAAGTATCGTAAGACATCCTTTTCCCAACACCGTGTTCGTCTCAATTCTGCGTCAGTCACATGAAACTGTATCGTCCAGCTTGTCTCATTAGAGCCCCTTGAATCCTCGCCATTGTGCTATTAGAGCGATAATCCAGGCAAGGCTTCACTAGTATCATTCTAAGGATTACCAAAAGTACTACCTCGATAGGATGTTCTAATCTGCTAAGCCAAGATATGCATCAAGCGCAACCACTATAAACGTGAACACCGAAGTGACGTTCACCCACTATCTCAACGATTAGCTGATATATACTTGCACTGGATCATCGCTTGCGATCCCTGCTTGATTGTCAGCGGATGCTGATAGGATGATAACAAATTAGTACTTACGTGCTCAACCTCCTGGAAAGAGTCTGTAGTTTCTTATCATTATCAGCCTCCCGGGAGGCCCTCTCCAATGCCTGCTGTCGTTCCTCATCTTGGTGCTTCTGAACTTCCTCATGACTAGGCGGCAACCTCTCGTTCTGGAGATCGACTTTCCTAGCATCCTCAAAGGTATTAATAGCATTCTTGATCCCTTCTGCGCCAAGCATGAGTGTACCCGCAGGTAGTCGTCCGCCGGATACGGTCTTGAGTTCCGTAACCCTCTCGGATTCCTCCCGAAGTACCTGGAACACTCGTGATAGTCGACCAATGGCCAAGATTTTGTTCTTAATGGCCCGTCTCTTGTACTCAATCGAATCCGGATCTGATAAAGGACCCCCGAGTGGAGGCGACTGCGGGCCAGGAGACGACGACAGAGGTGTTTCCTCTTTAAGCTCCTCCTCTGAGCAGGTATGCAGGATGGCAATCAGCATATCGGTAATCTTCTCACCAACAAACGGTAAAGACCAAGTAAATACGTCCATAAAGTTAGGAAGCCAATACGGATGCGGTGTGCAATTGAACTGCCGAATGTTCATAACGTTGTTCTCGTATTTCAATACCGCCGCCTTGTTGTTGTAAACGTCGAGGTAGTTGGGCGCGGAGAATATAGTCATAACGCTTGGGAATCCAGTTGTTCTAGTCTTACGGTACATACGATAACCGGCGTCTTGAGCCTCGTGTGCTCGAATTATGGAGAGCAGGTTGTTCTTCTCTAAGAACGCGCATGCTGCAGGGTAGGAGAAAAAATACGAACAACCGCGCACATGATTGTGCATGAAGTATTCGCTAGTCTTCTCCTGACCAAAATCCTCTAGGGGATCAGCCCATAGGATATCGCACATCAATCCTTGGGTAGGCGGTTCTCGGAAGCGGTCAATCTATCGCAGGTCAGCAACAGACCGTATCTTACACTAGAGATAAGGCTAAGGGGAATATTCGAGGACCTACGTTTCTCAGATCATCCAAAGTATGCAGCTCGGGGCTGAGCCCTCCATGGATGCAGAGAAATTGTTTATTCATGACAGCGGCAAGCGGAAGGGAGCAGAAGGATTCCATACAAGCTTCGTAGATAGCCTCGGAGTACTTGTGCTTGCACTCAAGCTTGAAGGTAAAGTAGTCGGTCAAATGGCGACACTCGTGGTTCCCGCGTAGCAACCAAAGAGTTTTTGGGTAATGTATCTTCAGGCACCACAGGTATAGAACACACTCGATGCTGAAGTAGCCTCGATCGACGTAATCGCCAAGGAAGAGATACCGAGTCTCAGCCGGGTCACCACCGACTTCGAAAAGTTTCATCAAATCGTAGTATTGGCCGTGAACGTCACCGCAGACTGTTATAGGGGCATCCATCTCCAGTAGGTTGGGCTCGCTACGTAGGAGCTCAGTGCCAGTCTTGATGATCCATAAGGCTTGCTCATCGGTCAATCGACCCTCGCGATAAAAGTGCTGCTTCAAAAAAGTAATGTTGGGTTTCGTATGGGTATCATCCTCGAAAAACTGCTCGTCGGTGGGCTTGAATGTGGCAGGCGCTTGAACATCTAGATACCCAGTCGGTCAGTCAATCAGCATTTTGTCTTCGTGGCGGGGTAGTTCCTAAGAATTTGGTTTTGAGCAGCCTACCTTTGCAGACCCGTTCCATAGTGCTAACTTGTGTACCATCTTCCATAGTATGGATACTGAAGTCGATCTCGGGGAGAGGCTTCTTCTCCTGAATAGCGCGAATGGCATTGTCGACCTGAGCATTGCGTTGTTCTGGCGCCGAGCCCGCAGGGGGGGAGAAAGGCGGCTGGCCCTCTCCAGCGTCCATAGTGAAATGTAGGTGATGAACGATAATGCGCCTTTGGCTACGAGGGTCGGATAGTAGCAGCGCTTCACGCAGCAAAAGTGTATAGAGAAATGGAGAATAAAATTAAGTCAACTTGGAGATCTATTGGGCCGCTGAAGGTAGTGGATATGTTGAATGTTGAAGAAGAAGTGGAAAAGAGCACGAGGGCTGAAACTGGAGAATAATAATGAAAATGATGAGTTAGCAAGTTAGGCGGCGGAAGGCAGGCAGGATTGGCAAGGCACGAAAACCGATCTAAGTGGGAGGTATCAGGGTGTGTGTTACTTCTTCGTTACGTGCTGTGTGCTGTGTGCTGTGTGCTACGCTAAAGATTATGTGTACCTGCTCTTGCACCTCCTGAAAGCTGGAGCTTTGCTGTATTGGCTAATGTATATGTAAGTCCTCTCTTGGTACCTTTTAATCTATTATAGATACATATACTTCGTAGTGCACGATAAGATATGTACAATGCGGTGTAATACGCGGTGAGTGGGGTAAGGGGTACAAGACAGGTACTTCGATTCTAGGCCTTCAGGCTGAGCTACGTACCTTAGGTACATGTGTACATGTGTACCTACCTTGTGTGACTTCAAATAGGCCTCCCCGAAAAAGTGATATGACATAAGAGGTAAAGAAGGCCCAACTGGATGTGGTTGGTTTATGCGATTCTCGGTGTGAATTAAGAGTAGACTTCTCGTATCTGCCTAGGAGATCTGATAATACATTTTCCGAGCATGTGCATTTTAGATATTTAACCCATGTCCAGGGCAGAAAGGCGTCAAAAAAGCTAGCGCACCTTTACTAACAATTATCCTGGTAGGTGCGCCACCTTTTTTGACGTCCTTCTGCCAGGGGTCAATACCTCTCAATGCTCTTATCTACGCCACAATACAGGTGCGATAAGAGTTTAGCTATTCGGCTATTCGAATACCAGCCTAGGTACATATGTCTAAATACATAGTTCGATACAGGCAGCTGCTCTACATATCTGCTATAATGTACACTTATATAAAGGGCTCACCGGTCGACAGAAGGCATCTGTCGTGTCTTTCGAAACGTTGTTACACCAGAAGGAGCCTTCCATAATGCGTAATAACATATGCTCAGCCCTGACAATGACTTCATCCGCGATAAACGCATAAATTACACTTAACTAGTACTTCGTACTTACACGTGATGCTTAGCTAAGGCGGGTTATAAAGTACCTCCTAACCTTTTGTCAGAATGGAATTCGACAACCAAACGCAGCTCTTTAATATGTACATCTTGTCGGGTTACATATCAAACGATAAACGGAATAACTCCAAGTCAAATATAAAATAATTCCATAAGGGTATCCTGACAAGCTTCAAGAATCTAGACGCCTACCTTCTCTATAAAATAACGACGGAGAAACGCCTCTACACCAAGAGTCTAGTGCTATGGAAGTTCCCATATATCCCAAAAAAAAAAGTCAACCGAGATCTCAATGTTTCGTTCACGGCGCGCAGTAACCGCCGTCAACAATGATATCGATACCGGTCGTATACGAGGAGGCGTCAGAAGCCAGGTACAGATAGGTGCCCTTCAATTCCTCGGGTTCGCCCTCCCGTCTGCAGGCAGAGTTAGATGGTGAAGTTAGGATGGCGGCAAAAGAAGAACCTACCCCATCGGAATCTTGTCCTTAATGACTTTCTTAGTCTCGGGAGAAATGAAGGCGGAAAGATCCGTCTTAATGTAACCAGGGGAAACTGAGTTGGCACGCGCAAAGCCAACCCACTCGACCGCTAATGACTTGCCTGTGACTAGTGTAAGTATACAATCTTAAGGTCATATGGATAAGTTGAACCTACAGGCATGGGTGATGGCGGCTTTAGACGCGTTGTATACGGTCTGCTGCTGGGGAATATTGACGATGTGAGCGCTCATGCTGGCGGTGCTGATGAAACTGCCATAGCTGAAGTTTTCTAGCGGTTGTCCGTCGACAGTGGTGCCCTCCTTCTTCTGCCGCCTCCAGTGTAAGGCGGCAGCTCGTGCGCAAAACAAGGTGCCCTCAATATTTACCTTCAACACTTTTTGCATCGTCTCGAGTGGGCCATCGATGAAGGGACCATCCTCCCATGCAATACCCGAGTTGGCGACGAAGATATCAAGTCTACCGTTAAACTCATTGACGATTTCGTCAACGGCGGCCTGGACCGTTTCCCATGTCGATACGTTGACCTGGTAGGCCTTGCCTATTTATCGAAGTTCAGATCAGGTACATTGGAGTTTCGAGGTCCAAGATTATATACTCACACTTAACGCCATAAGTTTTCTCGACATTGGCAGCCTCCTCTAAGGCCTTCTTGTTGGAGTTGTACCATATCGCAACATTAGCTCCCGCTTCAGCCTAGTACGAGTTAGTCTACCACGGTAGAACAAATTGTGAGTACCGTTAGAAGCCTTTCGGTTTTTAACGGAGCCTGTGTCTTGCGCTCTATCACTGGGGTCGATTGTAAGGGTCGGGGCTCTTATGGAAGCACTGAGATAACAATGCGTCGTCCACTTACTGTTTTTTATTAGTGTATTTTCAATACCATAGATAAAATAGCATAGGAAACATGAAGGCGGATATAGAAACATGGACTGCGAGATAGGGGGTGTCGTTCATACCAAACGCATGAGCTATCGAGAGGCCAATTCCAGCGCCCGCACCAGATACGATAGCCGTCTTTCCTTTAAGGGAAAATAACGGCAAAACTAGATTAGATTTGGGAGGTTCTGTGATGTCATGTTTGAAAGTGCCAGTGTTCATATCAGCCATCTTGACGGTTGGGTATGTATAAGACGGTCTAGAGAATCAGAAAAACGGGAAGGCGTAGTAAACCGAGAATGAGTACCGAGAGTTGGTATTCTTTGTTCTAGACAATGAAAGAGGAACGAGATGAATTTAAATAGCAGGCGACGCATGGCGGGAAAAAGCAAACATTGGAATTAATTGTTAAGTGTATATAAAGACGTGGTATAAAGACGTGGTATCCCGCAAACTACAGGCCCTCTACGATAACCACCGAATTGCGCCGATGTGATGGGCCCGGGCCGAAGATGACGTCCAAGTGCAGTAAAGGGTCGCCTACTAAGATCTATACCCTGCAAGAAAACTGCGGAGTAGTAACCGCCTAAAGCGAATTGTGAAAGCTGGTTTGCTAGGACGCCTGACTACTGCAGCTCTTATTTAAGTGACCATCCAAAACAGCGTGGGATTGATGCGCTAAATGCAAGCTCGTGAACTCGTGGGCTCGTCTTGCATTAACACATGGAGGGTATCGAGATAAGCGCAAACTAGATTCCAGCTTTCGTTCTATGTATAGGGCGTGGACCGTTTTGGTCGTTTCCCCCAGACATTAGGCAATAGGGCAATGAGGGGGGGGTCACTTGATATCCGCCAGGCATGTTGGAGAAGTTAAGGAATAACGACGTTGCTGTACAAATATGTATAACGTAAGAACAAGGTGAGCCAAGTTAACGGAATGCCAAATAAGGCAAATAAAATACCTAGCTCTGCATAAGTACACCGGTGTTACTTATATCGTCTCTTAGCCTCCAAAAACCTTAGGTCTGAACCTGACAGCCAAGGGATATTTCTACCCGAGCATGTTATGCCGAGTACGGCCGGTAGGTAGCGCCAGGGATAAAGGTTAGCCTATAATTCGCTTTAGGATCTCGTCCCGTGGGTAATTAGTGTTTCTCCATCTCGAGATAAAATCATCCCGATTAACTGGGGGGAATGTTAGTTAGTATTTTATAGCTATTACGATGCATATGAAAGGAACATCAGACTCACTATATCCACCGCATATCCTTCGCACTCCAGTAAAGGCGCTTCTGCCGTGTAAAACCCTCCAGTTATCGAAGACTATAGGTCCATATAAGTAGGAATTCTAATTCAGATCGTGCAGACTCACCTAGAAGATTGCCCGGCTTGAGCTGAAACCAATACTCGATAGACTCTCTTCTCAGGATGTCGTGCCACTTCCTTGCGGCCCTATACCACTCAGCTGGAGAGTATTCGCTGTCGAAGGGGACGACTCCACGATCGTCATTGTTCCATCTAACTCGATGCGTCTTGCCACTGCTCTCATCTACCTCGAGAACAGGATACAGTTTGTCAGGTGATATAGTGATCCCCTTATTACCGCTAGCATGCCACGGAAGCTTGACCTGGCTCAGCACCTCAAACGACTTTGGGTCCTCTTTCTTGAGAATATCCGCTGCATAGAATCCATCAACAAGTAGCGATTGGCCTCCGAGGTTTGTTTCTGGATTGGCTTCGGTGCTAGGGCCGGTGTGGGAAAGGAGATGGAACGCTTGCAGTCCAGCAGGATCGGTGAAGTAAGTCGTGTCAGTATGAGCTCCCAATGCTATGTTGGTGTAAGCGGTGTCGGCAAGGGCGAGGTCCGGTATGAAGTCGTAAAAGCCACCGTAATGTGTCTGTCTTATAAAGGCAATCTTCTCCAGTAGCTTCTCAGTTGGTTCTGCCGAGTCAACTGGCACTCCGGTAACAAATGCAAAACCGTTGCGCCTCTAAAGATAATCGTAAGTATGGGCCCCTTTTAACTAGACTGAGTAAGAGGGACTTACGATATAATCCGTCAAACGGCCGACGGCCTTAGTTTCGTTTGCCGAAAAATCCCGGTATTTCAAAGATGGGGGCCAGTTTCGTGAACCCTGTGGTCCTTGTGCTCCGAAATACTCTAATCTATAACGTGTTGGTCAATTTCTGAGTTATTTTTCAATTAAGGTAAGGCGTACTCAATAGGCTCCGGTGCTCTTTTATCGGAGTTCAGGTAGAATTCAAGAAAGTCCCATGGATAGAAACTTTCGTGTGCATCTCCTAACCCTACAAAAATGAGCATGGTATTATTTTAAAGATATTAGGTGCAATGGTACTAAGCTCTTACACTGTATCTTGACTCCATCTTGGCCTACTTCAATCTGAGAGGGCTCAATATCTTCGGGTATCTGAGTACACTTTAGAATGCTTGCAAGTTATACTGGGGAAGACAAGCATACGTCGAACGTATTGAAATTCCTCTGCATAGTATCCTGGTTAACGCAGCTAGTGCATCGGCAATTATCCCTTAAAAGATGAGTTATATAGCTCTATGACATCTATCATGGAGGGTTTACATACCGTAACCATATATTTGGCCTTCGCAAGTGTTACCATAATAGATACGCTAGTATTTGTGGTTGAACAAAGCCAATTACTTACAGCGAGGCCCGTCCCAAGGCTCTAACGGTATTAGGGTATGCAAAAAAGAGATGGCCACTCGAACTTGACACAAAAGGCTTCTCGGAAGTCGTTGCCAGTGTTCTGGCTTGCAAGTGGTATAAAGGCGATAGGCTACGGCGAGTTCCGGCCGCCCAACTACAAACAAGTATTGTCAGCTTTGACTTATCTCAAGCTGGAAATCTCAATTATTACGAACCTCACCATATGTCGACTGCATCTTATCGTTCTGAAATTAAAACTCATCTTGACCTCTAATAAAATGTGTATAGATGAGTGTGGGTATAGGGGTAGGGTGTAGCTGCTAAATTAAGCCACTCCTTCGAACTTCGAAAGGAGTCTAAGATGATTGAAATGGGGTCATCGTAGTGGAGGCCATAATAACTAAAACCAACCTATCAGCCCTATTACCTATAACATATTAACTAACTAGTAGATGTGGCTAAACTTTAGTTCTTACTGCGCCACAAGTAAGCCGGTCTCTTAGACAGGTTACATGTACATCTTCTATTACTCCTTGTTCCCGAGTAACTAGATGCATAGATAGAATCTATAGCACATCTAAGCTCAGTTTATCACAATAGTTTTAATACTCCGTACTACGAGCGCAAAACACTAAAATTATATCAACGAGACATATTATTAGGGGAAGTCAGGTATGTTTCACTTATCCATGCATGTGCATCGACTATTATTATCCTGGTATCTTCCGTCTAACACCTGGACACTCGAGAACAAACCAACACATTAATGCATATCAAGATGCTCTTTGGAATCACCATTCCTATCATGTACTAATTTTTCGTTGGCTTATAATTGTAGACAGTTATATAATATTTAGCGTTTTATAAGCGCGTAACTTTTTAACACGGAGTAATTAGGACATCAACTTAATTCAATGCATTTAACTATAAAACCCAACCAATATTATAACTACCTATTCTTAAGGTCACACGTTCTATTGTTCTCTCGAGTCTTTTGTAATGCATCTTTGTTAACTATATCAAATTAACAACCAACCCAGAACCTTCTCATAGGTAGAATATGCACAGTCGTTCGAGATATATCTACCATTTATTTCATTGCCTATTCAAATATGGCAGAGGTGACTCGAGGCTGCTGATTCATGAAATATCCCCCAACACCAACTACCATGGCCACAGTTGTAACAGCAAATGAATCCCCAGGTGACTTAGAAGGGGGTCAGGCCAGGCTTAAAAGCACTCGCAGAGTCAGCTGTGTGCGAGATATCACTTACAAAGTTATACCATGCTGCATTGTGAGCCTTATCTTGGTCTCTGCCGGTGGCGTCCTCATCGCAACTCTTGCCTATAACAAGCCCGTACCTCAGAAGCCAGTAATTGTGATATCTATCATGCTTGCAATATTCTTCTTCATCTTCGGTATAGGGGGATGTTATCTCTATCGCATGAAGCACTACCCTCCTCTGACAGAAGGTCCTGATGCTCCAGACCGCCCACCGGTAAAAACTTGGAAAGATAAAATTAAAAGGTGCTGTGAATTAATAATAGAAAAACTCAGTGACGACAAAGCCGCCAATGATCCACCGGCAAACGCTCTTCCTCCTCCTCCTCCTCCTCCTCCTCCTCCTCCTCCTTGCCCTCCCCCACCAGAGACGTTGAACGACCCGGCTGAACTGTCCGGGTTTAATGATCAAGAATCACCGCGGCAGGAGGGCATAGAGCAACCATGTAACGCACAGCCATCCAATGCAGCTGAAAGCCAGAATCCTGTTAATCGCCGCCAGAGAAACTACGACGGATCAACGCAACCAACCAATCGGATATCTCGCCGTCCAGTGCCTAATTCTCATTACAATTCAATGCAAGCAAGTCATACAATACCTAGGAGGCCGGGAAGCAACCCTACTTATAGTCCTGATTCCCAAGCAGATGGCTTCCCTATGGATGGGCCATCTTATTGTCACGGCTATCCTTATACTCCGTCCCCGGGACGTCCGGGACCGAGACCGAAAGGGCCAAGGCCGAAACCACCACAGCCGGGTATACCTAGATTTCTATGGCCAGGTCAGCAGGCCGCACCACATGTAGGCCCTCAGATATATTTCACATATATCTCGGACAGCATCAACAGACAAGCATTTGCAGAGATATTTCCTAAACCTGTTCAAGGCAGACTTTACATATTTGAGGATCTCCCGGTCTCGGCAGCTTATGGTCCAGAAGCGGTTGAGCCCGAGCAACGAAGTCGGCAGCATAGGAAGGAACCAAGTGAGCAACAAGGAAATACCAGCATACCAATCAGCCCTGCTACCGAGTCCGAGGATTCGGAAGACATGGTCTCGCCAATAAGCACACCATCACCATCGCCCAGGCAAAAATCAAGTTTGCAGAGACCAGCAGAGCAAGACTCCGACGTAACTGTGATCTCCCATCAAGCCGAGGAGAGGACAGACAAAAAGGGCAAAATGAAGGACACAGGCTCCAAATCCTCGCCAAAATCCCCGCATCATCGCACTAAATCAGAGCAGCAGGAGGCGATCAAAAAGGGGCTACACCCTCGTACGGCTATAGACAGCAACGGAGAAGAGGAGCAGGAACACCATGGCCCTAGAGCCCTAGCCGACATAAAGAAAGACATTGAAGAACTAAGCGAGAGGTGGCTGCGACTACTTCACGAAGCGCGCCTGTCAGGAGAGCTACTGAGGGGACAAACATGGCTCAATGGTACATGGGCCGGGTATTCCGATTTTTCGGATCAGAGGCACTCGAGAACATCAACGGGGGGCCGTAGCTCAAGATCCAGCAGCACCCCGCCCATGGCGGTCTCTGAGTGTAGCACTACAAGGTCTTCTGACTAGTAGTTCTAGGGTTGAGATGATTGGCACGGTGTTTAAGGCAGTTGTGGGGTGGAAAGATAGACTGTAAATATAACTAGCTGGAATAAAAGATAAAGGTATCACGTTTAGCATCTTGCACCTATGACAATTGCGTCGTTTTGCATTAAAAACTATAGTCTATTCATCTGCCCAGCAAATTCGATGCTCAACCGAGAGCATGTAAGCGAGCACATAGCTAGCTGTGTATTATGTGAGATTACCTATATTGGGATCAAATTCCCCTAAGTCTGTCCCAGAAAGAGCCTCCTGTCTTCGCCGGATGTAACGATTCCGGCGATAATATCATGGTGTTCCACCTCTCCTCGCCGTCGATATAGACTGTGTACTTCAAGCTGCTCTGCTCGCCCTCTGCAAACTTTTCGATGGTGATCGCGCCAAACTTAGAGTTGCCCGCGTTTATATATCTACTATTGTTAACGTACTGCTAATTTAGGGGGGTTATTGCGTAACTTACTTGAGCTCGACGTCTTCATCGTCTGTCTGTCTGTAGGTAGGGATAGGCGAAAAGAACTGATTAAGAGGGCTTGCTGAGAACTCATGAACAGTTGTACTCTCTGACCATGTGCTGTTCTTCGGCGGCGGGAAGGCTGTCGCACCGAACTCATGGCGATCTCCGGATAGGATCACAAAGCCTACTCCATGGCTACTAGCATCCCACATAGCCTCGAGAATCTTTCGACGCTCGGAAAGGAAGCCACCCCAGGTGTCCTTGGTGTTCACTCTCCAGTTCTTCGTGAATGGGACAGAACTGGCAACAATCTTCCATTTAACTCCCTTGGGTTCTGGGCGGCGCACCCAGTCAAGGAAATCTTCGAGTTGCGTGTCCCCAAGCATCGTCTTGTTTTCACTATCGAACGGCTCTGAGTTCTTGGATCGATAACTTCTGGTGTCAAGCATGAAGAAGCTAGCAGGTCCTTGAATGAATGAGAAGTATGTAGCCTCTTTGCGCGATACGATGCCTTGACCTCCAGCCTTCTTAGCCACCGGAGGGTTGACCGCGGTCTGATAATGGTGCCAGGGGTCCACGGCCGTTTCATATACACCAGTTGACTTCGAATCCCAGTCATTAGAGATTTCATGATCATCAAGAACATGAATCCAGCTAAGATTTTGGCCCACGGCTGGCCAGTCGGGTGAAGCATAGACTTGACGATACTTCTGTCGATAATTCTCAACGGAGTCGCCAAATCGCTGAGGTACTTCGATGTAAATGAAATCACCAAGGAACAACATGAACTGTGCGCCCAAGTTCGGTAGTACTTTCGCCAAATGTTTCATGCCTGGGAAAGCTAAGGGGTGATCAAACGGAGAATAGGGAAGACGCGGAACAATGCACGAGGTAGATAGGAAGGTGAATTTGCCATCAAAAAGCTCCGGTAGGGAACCCGGCTTAGGGGCAGATGTGAATTCACCCGAGTGATTGTTCGAAGTGGTCCATTCGTACACCCGCTGCTTAGAGTGGCTCAGGGGAATATTAACCACCGCGGTAAAGTCGGTCTCGTTAGTCGTCGAAAGAATACTGCCAGCTGTCTGCCATAGAGGGTTGTCAAATGGCGGCTGTGCATCTTTGATATGAACTTGAACAGTGATAGGCATTTTGGTCTGATCTGGCTCCCGGATCAGTAGTTTCGCCTGGCTGTCTGAGACATATCCAACACGAGCAAAAGAAAGGTCATGACTGGGATAGAACCACCGGGGTGTGTATACCATGTCAGTGACCATCGCGACGCAGGCAACATTGAGCAAGAATGTTAACGCCGTCAAGAAAAAGCTATTCGGGTTCGGGGTCCCTTTTAAGAGGGTGCTAAGGGGACTTAGAGGCTTCTTCACGATTTCTGCTGTTTCTTCAACATCAATCTCCTCAACTACGATGGCTTCATTGGTTGTTCCATTGGCAACGTCATCTTTATTCAAGATGTCCTCCTTAAGGACTATATCGACTTCGTCAATAAGTTCGTATTTAGATTCGGTCGCGTAAGTCGAGATGAAGGATGGAAGATATATTGCAAATAGTGTATAAATTATCGGAAGAAAAGGCTGAAGTTGTCAGTAAGTTTAAGTAGGGGCAACATTGCGTAGACGGCGCATTAATTAGGTAACTTACGGGTAAAGCGACCTGCTGTCGTTAGTAGAATTCATATTAGGGGGTAGGGGGTGAAGCTCTTACCCATCGTAGAAAGATGATTGAGGCGATTCTAATCCCCGTGGACGCGATCGCCGCTGTCCTCTTAGTGTGTTCCCCCATCATTAACAGCGTAATAAATTCGGGGGCCGAAAAGGGAGACAAGTCGAGCTCGACTTATATGGCGAATGATTCGCTGGACTACCTAGGTAGTTGAGGACTTTAGATGAGTAGAAATCCAATATATGTGAATGAGAGGAAGAAATGGTATATATTTGAGATAAAAAATAAACTCCTCAGATGGAGGCCTATGATGGCGTCACGAACGGATGGTAGGGAAAGGCCATCTAAAAGTTGTAGATGCAAAGTTGAAAAGTAGGGCGAAGGTAGGGTTTCCGTCGCAAGTTGCCGAACCTCCTGTCGCAATGTTAGCCTACTACAAGGTGCGTAGCTGTGACGACAGTGGAGTGATAGAGTTCCATATGTACATATATCCCTGTACATGTGGCTGAAGCTCTCCACTATCCCCGCCGGTATGCTTTATCTGGGACCAATCGAGTTTAACTGATTACCTAAAACTCTGTATGTACAAAGTACAAGCTATTAAGTAAGGGGTGAAGTATGTATTAAAGTACCTAAGTACATAGGTACTTACGTAGCATGAAAGACGGTCGGGCCAAGTAATAACCCGACCCCTGACGGCCCGTTGGCCATTGGATTCAATGTTCAGGCGTGGCAGCTAAAGCAATTATCGCTTGCGACAAGTTGTCCAGAAGGTCTCCCGAGCTTTCGACCAACTTCATATCCTCCGACTGCGCACAACAACACAACATGAAGTTGACATTATTTTCGGCTGGGCTATTCGCCTGCCTTTTCTCTCTGGTCTCAGCAACCGCTTTAACTTATAAAATTGGTGCTAACGAGCAGGCTTGCTTTTACGCAGCAGCTGAAAAGAAGGGCTCCAAGATTGCCTTCTACTTCGCTGTATGTTTTATGCGCATTGCATTGCTAACTGCCCCGCTGACTAGCTGTTATCGCAGGTCCAATCTGGAGGCTCGTTCGATATTAACTATAAAGTAACTGGTCCCGGAGGCAAGGTCATTTTGGATGGAGAGAAGGAGCGTCAGGGCGATTTCGTCTTCACGGCCAATGAGGTTGGCGAGTATAAGTTCTGCTTCGATAATGATATGAGCACATATTCGGAGAAGTTTGTTGATTTCGAGATCTCTGTGAGTAGAGTCCTCGTTGCCGGACAATGTGTACAGGTTCTAACCCATTTTCATCTAGGTTGAGGACGAAGTACGGGCTCAGCTTCCCTCTAAGCAAGGATCGACTCCAGAACAGACAACAGCCCTCGAAGAATCCATATACAAAGTGTCAGGTCAACTGTCCACAATTGCGCGAAACCAAAAGTACTTCCGCACTCGAGAAAACCGAAACTTTAGCACCGTCCGAAGCACGGAGTCACGAATCGTCAACTTCAGCTTGATCCAGTGTCTAATGGTTGTCTGCATGGGTGCCTTGCAGGTCTTTGTCGTCCGATTCTTCTTCCAGGTATGCAACTTATCTATGGACCACTACGCTTCTGCTAATAATATCCTAGGGCGCACGGAAGGGTTACGTGTAAATGAAGAACTTGAAGCATTAAGATTAAGACTGGTTTTGCGGCGTATTGGAACACCGGTTGGCATTGGCACCTCATGCGTTATGTATCATAGTCAAAATGGAGTGAGAATTGTCGGCATAATCGGATGAGAAGTCTTTTGGTCAAGATAGGGGAATGACAGATATTCTAGAGTTCGAAATACGTGTTACAGTGACTTATACACGCATATAGTGTGTATGCATTTCCCGTATAAGTGGTAAGTGACATGCACTACATTCTCGAGTGTTTGCTATCTTGATTCTTATACCATATCATTTTATACGTATCCAATTAGATGCCTTTCTGTAGTAGCTTGTACTCCATAAGCAGTCCTAAGCTTACCTATTCGTTACATGTAGTCAAATACGTACTACTAAGAATCTTGGAATACAACACCAAGTGTCGGTACGAGTCGTTAGATGCATATACTTCTTAACTACCTTGTACCTAGGAGGTATACAATTTTCCAGCCACAATCAGGTTGTTCTCCACTTTAATTAGTAGGTCGTCTTGCAGAACCGCGACGCATCTACGAACTTTAAACTTGCCAGGTGCTGCAAACTTGGCCAGCCAATTTTTCAACAACATTAAAAATATATTACAATCAGTCCTCACGATGGCGGCATCACTTACAGCTGCATTACCGAAGCCGAAGTACACCGGCGAGGATGAAGATATCCCAGCGCACGCCCAGCAGCGTGGTCCTCGAATTGTTGGTGTCGGTCAAATAGACGAATCGCAAATTGTCATTCGAAGAACTGGCCCGCCGCCGTACGGCCAGCGAGCAGGATGGCGGCCAAGAGGTCAGGAGGATTTCGGCGACGGAGGTGCTTTCCCAGAGATTCCGATCGCGCAATATCCCTTATCGATGGGTAAAGAGTCGGGTACAAGCAATGCTCTAGCAATCCAAGTCGATGCCGCCGGAAAAGTCAAGTACGATGCCATCGCGAGACAGGGCCACGGTGAAGGGAGGATAGTTCACTCATCGTTTAAGGATCTCATTCCTCTTCGACAACGCGCAGATGCAGGCGAGATCAATCTGGAGAGACCCAGCGAGCAAGAGGTGGAGGAGACCAAAGAACGAACAGCAAAAGCCCTCGCTACGCTTGTTAGCGGTGCCGTTGCAGCCCAGAAGCCGAAGAATGTCAATGTTGGGGCGCGAAAGAATCCTACATTCGTACGCTACACACCCGCGAATCAGATGGGGGACAACTCGAAGAAGCAGGATAGAATTATGAAAATTGTAGAGAGGCAAAAGGATCCTAGTACGTGCATCCCTTTTCTTTTCTATTATCAATTCCTTTTACATTCGTATATCATCGATACTAACCTAATACTATAGTGGAACCACCAAAGTTCAAGCATAAGAAGATCCCGCGTGGACCTCCCAGCCCTCCGCCGCCCATCATGCACTCACCACCACGGAAGTTGACCGCCGAAGACCAAGAAATGTGGAAAATCCCGCCCCCAGTGTCAAATTGGAAGAACCCGAAGGGTTTCACAGTTCCTCTTGACAAGCGATTAGCGGCGGATGGTAGAGGTTTGCAAGATGTTACGATCAACGACAAGTTCGCACAATTTTCAGAGGCACTCTTCATGGCAGATCGACACGCTCGAGAGGAAGTTCGCCAGAGAGCACTTATGCAACAAAGACTCGCAGAAAAGGAGAAGGCACAGAAGGAAGAGAACCTACGTATGCTTGCGCAGAAAGCTCGAGAAGAGCGTGGTGGCGCTTCAAAACGTCGCGACTCTAGAACCTCCCGCGATTCCCGGTCACGGTCACGATCACGCAGCTACAGTTATTCGGATTCTGGCTCGGAGAGTGACGGCTCAGATGTCCGCGAAAGAGAAAAGGCCCGTCAAGAGAGACGGCGGGAAGAGGAACGCAAACTTCGCCAGTCCCGCATGGGTGCGGAGAGGCGGATTCAGGTCATGGCAAGAGAGCAGGGCCGTGACATATCCGAAAAGATTGCTCTCGGCCTGGCAAAGCCTACACAACAAGCCGAGTCTATGTACGATTCGCGTTTATTCAACCAGTCCAGCGGTTTCGATAGTGGTATCAACGAAGATAACCCGTACGATAAACCGCTCTTCGCAGCACAGGATGCCATCAGTAGTATTTATCGACCAAGCCAGAACATGGACGAGTACGAGGACGAAGGTGCCGGGGATCGAGAAATGGCTAAAATTCAGAAGACCAGCCGATTCGGTGAAGTGCTGGGTAAGGGAACCTTTAAGGGGGCTGGAGATGCCGAGGTTAGTACTCCAAGATATCATCCATTGTTGACTCCTACTAATTGTGTGGGAATCAGGTACGAGAAGGGCCTGTTCAGTTCGAGAAGGACACAGCTGGCAACGACCCCTTTCAAATGGACAAGTTCATGGCCGAGGTGGATCAGAGTTCTTCATCCAAGAGAGGCTATGGGTTACAAGAGGGAGAGTCGAGGCAACCAAAACGTGCTCGGGTGGACGAAGACGACTGAAGTACCAGTATACCTTAATATTTACCACACATTGTTTTCATGTGCATACCTACCTAGCATATGGTTGGAGAAGCTGGGGAATTGCCAGATAGCGTGCATCTATATAATCCAATGGTTTTCCTCCTCATCAAGACCATTCCTTTCTTCCCAGTTCACCGGTGACAGTGTTGCGCCCTATGTACCAAATCAGCGTCAATGCCTGAATGGCTAGACCGGCTAATTCTGAAGTCAATGGCATTGCAATGGGTGGGTGTCATAGTGTATAAATAGGATAAGGCGTATTGGGCGAGTGAGATTCTAGTATACGATCTACTTAAAGAGTAACCAACGTATTAAACTACGTTCTTTGGGGTATCTGTGGCCTAAACAAGGCGTCTTATAAGTCAATTTTATCTTAGCTTAAGAATCTTCTTATGCTATCTTAGTTATTATTCATATGCCGTAATATTGCCCTATTATCGGTCGGCTAGGCAGTTGAGGGATGAGTGCAACATCTATTTGCACTCATCTATTTTCACGAGATAGTGAGAATAGGTTGTAATAGGATCTCTTCACCTTGGTCTTTATATACAGGAAACTACAATTGAATAGATCTTCAATAGTATCTCAACATAAACTACCACAGCACTTCTAACCCCTTAACCAGATGCAATAGGTACTCTCGTCGTACTCTCCCCCATCTCCAGAGTCCACTTCCCTACTCCCTGCTCCCTAGGCTTCACATACATTTCCACATCCTTAGCCGGGTTGAAAACCGAAACCAGCTCGCCATAGTTCAAAGCAGGGCTCTGTTCCCACTGACCGCTCCTCGCCGCGGGTATTAGATCGACCCGCATCGCAAGCAGCGCCACTATAATCAGGATCTCTGTAGATGCGAACTGCCGCGCCGGACAGAGGTATGGCGGTGCTCCCCAGGAGAGAAAGCCGCTGGTAGGGGGTACGGCATCGGCTGAGACGACGCTGCTCGTCTTAGGTACAAAGCGGTAGGGGTTGAATGTACCGGCGGACTGTCCCCATACGCTTACGTCGCGGTGGATGGGAGGCCCGGGCATCATTAAGCAGTTCCCCTTACGTAGGAGATACCGCCCGTCGTCGAGGAGTGTATCTTCTAAGACAAACCGGATGTTGGCGTGTGCATGGTGCGTGCGCTGACTCTCCTAGAAGACAGACAGGAGGAGGGGGCATCGGGTCTTGAGAGCAGCAATGTCGAGCAGGAAATCAGCATCAGCATCATGTGCCTCCTTCTCCTCCTCCCCTGGCTTCTGAGAAACAACAGCCCGAGTTCCTATTTCCTCCCTGACCTCCGCCAGGACCTCGGGCCGCGAGAAAAGCTCCCAGATCGTCCAGTACAGCGTCGGCGCCGTACTTCCAAACATAGCCATGCACATAGTCGTTTCCTGCCTAGCGGCGTCCTCAAGACTCATTCCTGCTTCCCTTAGCACGCGCTGCCGCTCGAGTAGAGTGCGTGCGGCGTCGGCGGGCGGTGCCGCACAGTACTTCAGGAGAGCTTTATGGATCACCCTGCGTGGTTCGATGGCTTTTGCCAAGAAATCTAGGCTTGCCATGTGCACGGGTATGTGGGTTTCGAGTTTCCTATACCTATCTGTTGGCTTTGAGGGAATGGACTGGGCAGGTATGTATGGCTGCTTGAAAGGATAGGAGTGATAGGCACGCGATTTTGCTGAATAGTGTATCGAAAGCCAACTTACCAAAACGCCTTTTCGACCTCTAGATCCAGAAAGGGATGTTCTTTGCCAAAAACACCACAGCTATTGGCCTGTACAACTATATGCCTGACCCATTCCAGTAGCCAAATCTTATCTTCTTTCCCATCGGTGATTAGAGCGTCTACCTGCGTAGCATTACCCTGTCCCATGCGTAGATTCTGCTCATCTAGCCAGGGGCCGGGTGCCAGTGTCGCCCTTAAACTATGACCATATTCATCCATAAGAGGCCCGTCGCGTAAGTCAGCGCCTGCCGCCGAACCGCCAGATATCTTTTGTACAGGTGTTTTATGGAACGGCGGGAACGAGAGCGTCTTTGAAGCCTTTTGGATCAAGGGGATCAGACGCAGCGAATTGCTCACCTAGATCTTGGTGTTGAATATGGCGAGCGTGTATATCTCGTCGTTGGTTCTTATGCTAGTTATTAATCGTGTTAAAAGTTTAGCTTTAAAGAAAACCTAGTATCTTCAGCTCTCTTCAAGGTATGTATACCTAGAATGATCTCTATATACGTATCGTGGGTTATTTAACAGACCTACCCCATGTGCGTAAAATACGACCCTCCATATTTCACCATCACAAGGAGATGGCCGATGAGAGGAACCCTTGGTTCCACACGCTCTGGTTCCCGCGCATCGTTTGCGAAACCGATCGTATAGTCTAGGGCGTAGGCCAAAAGCACCAGACCGATAGAGCTGTAAATAAGTTCGCGTAACATTGTTAACCTTTGGGTAGGTAATTGAACTTTCTGGGAGGTAGGCTAGAGCAAACCCAGTGTATATAAACATATGGTATGTAGGAGCTCGCTAGCAGGCAATGAATCGGTAAAGAGGTTATTTAACTTGATAATTTGAATCTTGATTTCCTTCTGGTTCTAGGCTACGCAGATGGAATTATCTGGATTGAGTAAGGTAAGTAAAATGAGCTGGATAGAGTTAGAGATATTAGGTATGAGATAAAAGTAAAGATGCTGCTCAAAATCTCCTTCTACGAAAAGATGGTTCTATTTTGTTGGTTTTCATAGAATTATTTGGTGTCACACTTTAAGTTATATTACACTCCCACAAAACCTGTATATCGTAGACACTTTCAAAGAGTCCATTCAGGAGTTCAGTAGCAAGGCTCTGATTGACCTTTTCTACTAGGTAGACATAAAGAGACGCTCACCCAAACCGGCTTTAACGGGTTGATATGTCACTTAAATAAAAATGTACAGAGTCAGCGCTAAGGTAGCATCCTATAAACATTAGACGACAGAAAGACGTCATTTACTTCAGCAAGCTAGAAGCTCTCGATGATAGTCGTGTCGGTTTAGAGTATATTTGAGAGAAGTTACTGCATTAGATCAAAACTATGGATCCTGGATGATATTGTAAATAAAGCCTATAAGTAATAAGATAGTTTATGACAATAGGTAAAGCTGTGGCTTTAGTTTAAAATAGTTATATCTATCATAAGTTGTCTCCTAGAATAACATGCTATATGTACTTACTTCAAGAGCGAGTATAAAAGGTAATAATGCGTAACCATATATCCATAAGGCTGAATTACTTGATGCTCTGAACAATTAGCCTTTTTATACTAGATTGGAAATCTCGTGAAGGTATCATTGAAACATTAAATCGGACAAGACTTCCTTCAAGAGTAGACGTTCTAGAACGCGGGCCCTACCTTGGCGCGTTGTTTCATTCGCTGTAGCTTCGCGGAACTGTACCGAAAACAGTTCTATCGATTAGGTTAGCCGCACGTCATCGGGGGGCTGTGCTCGATCGTAGCGCGGATCAGATTGCAGTGAAACAAGTGCGTAAGGACCCGCAACTCTAGGTACAAAATGTACTAATTGAGAAGGCGCCAGGCAACCGGATTCTTTGGCGTGGAAAGTACCTAAGCGAAGAGTAGTGCGATATGTCGTATCGAACCTTGGCACAACCTACGTAGCAATACGTAGCGATATGTAGCAATATGTATACACTACAGCAACCATTGGGACCGGAAGGTAGACCGGCTTCATCGGCGCCAAACTTGGAACTTCCAACGCGTCAGACCTTTTTTTCTCCAGTCTTTCATTTGTGGTACGATATATGCAACCTCTCCATTGGTGGATGTTAAACCATTGCTGCATTGTTGCATTACTGCATTGTTGTAGTACTTTAGGGCTAAGCTGTCCGAAGTAAACGAGAAGTTGGATGGTCTTATCTCGTATTGTCGACTGCTCTTTGGGTGAGTGGGTGACAGCATTTGTCTTTATTATCATCTACCTTCGTCACATTAATCACATATAACACATAATAAACTTCCAGGCTTAGAGTCAATTCAGTGAAACAATAACAACTTTATACGCCACATCAAGCAACCCTACTAAACTTCCATCTACTAAACTTCCATGCCAACCACCTCCTCCTAACCAGTATAATTCTAATAGCCGCGGCTAGAACCCTCGCAGTCTTTTAAACATTGCGGCGCAGTAGGCAACAGCATTCGGCGTCGGACGGTCACTAAGCGAAGTTCGCCGCAACCTTCTTCACGAGCTTATCTTGCAGGCCAAGTAAAAATCCGACTACAAATATGGGTTGGGAGAACACGCCCGCTCAGCCCAAGGCTGGTCCTACTTCATTTCACGTTAGAGATACCGACGGCCCTGTTGAAATGGTAACCGGACCACCACCCTACTATTCGGCAGAACTACAGGATTATCCGCGACGGAATATGCGTAGCCAACCAGCTTTACCTTGGTGGAATCCAAGGTCTTGGAGGAAAAGAACCTGGGCTATTGTTGTGGTAGCTTTTATTATCATTATCATCATCGCCGTAGTCACTCCGGTTGAGGTCGCCAAGGCAAATCGATACCCGAATTATACCAAACTCAATTACGCCTTGGCAGATGAATGTAAGCTTCTCGATTCGCATTTCGTATTCGCATTTTGTACAAAACCCGACTGACCACATTTTTTAGATTCCGGGACGACTTTCTTCGACAAGTTCAATTATTTCGTAGGATACGACCCGGCGCAGGGATTCGTTCATTATGTCCCCGAAGCACAAGCTACGCAACTAGTAAGTGCTTACTTTTTCTCGGCGCTCTAACACTACGCTAATAATTGCCTATTTAAGAACCTTACCTATGCTTCTGAGGACTCGGCCGTCATAAGAGTCGATACCAGCGTCGGTCCCCAGTCCAAACCTGATGCATCGACGGGCCGCTTCTCCGTACGACTCGAGTCTCAAGCCCAGTATGACAACGGCCTTTTCATCTTCGATGTAAAGCACACGCCGTTCGGATGCGGAACCTGGCCCGCCTTGTGGCTCGTCGATCCCGCCAACTGGCCGGACCACGGCGAGATTGACGTGATGGAGGCTGCGAACAAAGCTACCGACGGCAACCAGATGACGCTGCACACGACAGATGGTTGCTCGATGGACGCGAAGCGTATAATGAGCGACTCGGGTCTTTCAAACGACTGCTACAATGCCACCGGCAACAACGCCGGATGCGGAGTTAGAGGCGACGCCGCTACTTACGGCAGCGCGTACAACGACGCACAGGGCGGCATCATCGCGATGGAGTGGCGTAACGAGGGTATCCGGCTGTGGCAGTTCGGCAGGAAGAGCATCCCTACCGATATCACCGCCAAGAACCCGGATCCGAGCAGCTGGGGCTCAGCCTCTGCGGACTTCCCGAACACGAACTGTGACATCGGCTCGCACTTTAAGAACCAGAGTATCATTGCCAACATCGATCTCTGCGGACAGTATGCCAGCGCTTTGTACGCTTCGAGCGGCTGTAAGTTATTGTTTCGTATTCTATAAGACGTGTTTTAGGAGTTTGATTGCTAACTATTTACAGGCCCGAGCAACTGCACCGACTATGTTGCTAACAACCCCGAAGCCTTTACTGATGCCTTTTGGGAGTTCGGCAAATTCGAGGTCTACAAGGCTACTTAGTCGAAGGTCTATATTACTTAATGGATAGTACCTTTTGGAGTTGGCGGTTATTCGATGATTATTTCAGACGGGAAACATGGTTAGGACATCTGACGAAGCAAAGCCATGAAAGGCCGGTAGGGTGGGTATGGAGGCTTATGGATGTTTTTGTACTCTGCAGGGAAATGGATTATGGGAGGTGTTCTACGCGAAGGAGAAATAAACCTATATGACATTGTCATTATGGCATATCAAATGGGCTTGCTATATTTATTTGGCTTGGAACAAAAGCCGGTAATATATAATTTGACGCAACCTATTTTCCCTCCCTTCTGTCTCTTCATTATGAGCCTCCTTGTTCATACGATGAATCAGTGAATTCGACATTGGTATTTGAATAAAGTTTATAGACGGCCTATTATAAGCCACCACAACTGTAGTTTGGAGTTAATGCGTTAGAAGGGTTGTTGCTGAGGGTTAGAATAAATTTTGAATCGGAGATACCATGAAGTGGATAGGATTAACACAAGGTTAGCCGTAGATCCGAACATCCGCCAAGATCGATAAGCTGATGATCGTTATTGACATTACTCTATCATGGACGACTATAGCTCATCCTTCATCAAGCGGTATCAGCAACCGCTCTATCATATCTTCTATACATGTCAAGACCCTAAGTGGAGAATGTATGCCCCCTTTCTACCCATGTATGCATGTATGTATGTATGCATAGATCCGCGTAAACCATAACGCCGTGAATCCTATGCACCCGACCCAACGCCATACCACGGAACCGATTTTCACAATTACACTGCACTACACAACACCCCATTTTCATTTTCATATCTTTCCCGCGTGCGTAAAGACGTCCTGGTTTGCTTGTTTATTTATTCGTCGTCCTTGGGCGCCCTCAACCACGCATCGATCGCGGCGCTAAACGCCGCGAACGCAGCGCACCCGCCGGCCACGGCCGTCGGGCCCCCGCCCCGCGCTAGGATGCCGCCCGTCAGACACCCGGCCGCCGTGCCGTTGTACATGTCGTTCTTGGCGCGGTACCCCTCGATGCCGCACTCGATGCCCGCGAACATCAGGCCCACCAGCCCGAAGTTCTTGGCCGTGCTGTAGGATCGCGATCCCATGTCTTTGAACCCGACTTTGAGCTGCTGGCGCCAGGGCAGGGACGCGATGGGCGTTGGGGCGGCGCCCGCGGAGCCGGGCGTGTGGAAGGGCGTGTCGTAGGCCATCTGTGGGAGGAGGGGGTGGGTTAGTTGGGGTTGCTGTGTAGATATATGTATGGATGGATGGATAGATGTAAGTAGGGCTGAGGCGGCGATGCTACGTACAGAAGCCATGAACATTCCAAACAGACCGCCCATACCGAAACCCATAACACCGGAGACAGCAGCCTTGCCAAAGCACGACTCCATCATGGCGTTTAACTGGCCGCGCACAAGTTAGCGATCGCTACGTCTCGCGCAGTAACCCGGAAGGATAGACGAACCCTCTTAATATTAGGATCATTTGGATCGACGCCTCCGGCAGCGCCGGCTCCGGCTCCGGCTCCGGCTCCAGGAAGACCGTTCATCGTGCGCGGGATATAAATGACAGACTAAGCAGGCACGTAACCTTTAGAGCAACGATACCTATCGAGATGCGACGGGCACATGTAGAGCTAGCTGGTTGGTTTGTACTTGCGAACTGATAACGATTGGAGAAGAATCGATAATAATTATTTTTCTGCCAGGTACGACCGCCCCGACCGCCCCGATCAGATGGGATTATCCCCCATCCCATGCCCATGGAAATCTAAGTTTGCCTCCCCCCCACCTTCTATAATGGTCTAGCTTGTCGGGACCTGCATTATTTTTTTCTCATTGCTTTAACGAGTCGACGGTAGGTCAACTTTAAAACTTTGGGTCGGGAATGTTGGCCTATCTTTCTTTGAAGGGTTAATATATTTCTCAAACTTGTTCTAGTAAAAGTATGTACAAGTTAAACTTTATCTGTTTTATTTCTTTCGCTGTGTCTCACTTAATGTATCATCAGATGTATGAAGTCTTAGGTACACGATACATAGGGTAAGAATAAATAAATAAATAACTAGCTTATTGAAAAAATATCTTTTCCTTATTAGGAAGGATGAGTGCGAATTCTAGTGGTAAGTAGACCCTTGCCAAGAAAGACCCCCACTTCATCACTGCCCTGACCGTGACAACCGTCCATTCGCTAACAACTGTTGACCAATGACGGATTTTAGTTGATCGACGAGAATTTTTTTTTCACATAGCATAAGTTAGCCTAACCTAGTGTTTTTGCGTATAAAAGATCCTGGTGCGAGCCTGACTTGGACTTTCTTTCAAGATATCTCAATTTTTAAAGCTCCCCCATCATCTTTCAAACATCACCAACCCGAATTACTTCAGCCATGGCGACGTCAGAACAGATCGATTTGGCCATTGCCACTTATGAGGAGTTGATGGATTTGGACAAGGACTTTGAGGATGTCGAAACAGAAATAAGTAAGTACATCTTCTCACTCTCAGACCCAAACTCGATTATTTGAGTCCGCTTCATCATGCCAGGTTATAGCGTATATAAATAAGGACTTGGGCCCGTGAATACAAGAAAAGTAAATTTCATACTTACATGTTGATTAGTTCGCCAACAGGTCGCTCTTACCAAGTCTCTGTATGAGAAGAGAGAAGCGCTGGTTAAGAACATCCCCAACTTTTGGGCGTTAGTTTTTGAGCAGGCACCGCCTGATCTAGACCAATATATTCAACCTAGCGACTCTGCCGTGCTCTTGTCCGCACTGACCTCGGTCTCCGTCTCTCACTTCGAGATCGAAAATGGCGGCAATGGAGATCCCCGTAGCGTTTCTATCAAGATGGAGTTTGGTGAGAACGAATGGTTCGAAGACAAGGTCCTCGAGAAGAAGTTCTACTACCGTGTCGGTAAGGAGGGTGATGAGGGCCTCGTCAGCGACCCAGTCCCCATCAAGTGGAAGTCATCGGACAAGGATCTCACCCAGGGAATGCTTGACCTCGTCGTGAAGGTCTGGGAGAATGACAAGAAGAATCCCGTTACCGACAGCACCAAGTTAAAGAAGGAGAAGGACTACACTCCCGACGAGAAGGCCTTGAAGGAGAAGATCGAGGCTACCGGCCTAGGTGCAGTCTCTTTCTTCGGCTTTTTCGGATACCGGGGCCTGAACATCTCTGCTGAAGAGAGCCGCCTCGCTATTGAGGAAGAGAAGAAGAGGAAGGCCGAAAGGGCCGCAGGCAAGATCCCTGAACTCAAGGCGGCCGAGGAGGAAGAGGACGAGGAGGAAGACGAGGAGGAGGACCCCCTGTCCCTCGAGATCTTCCCGGATGGCGAAGAAGTGGCGCTTGCCATCAGCGACGACCTTTGGGTTAACGCCATCAAGTACTTTAGTAAGTCTCGTACTAATAATGGGATAAAAAGTGAGAGTTGCTGACGCGTTTCGAAGGCCAAGCCCAGGAAGCTGATATTAGCGAGGTCGACTTCGAGGACGATGACGAGGACGAGGAGATGGCAGATGATGACGATGAGAAGCCCAAAGCTAACGGTGCCCAACCCCCATCTAAGAAGCGGAAAGCTTGAACACGTTTTGGATGAAGTGACGTTTTCTAATATGATTATCTTTGCAGCGCGGAAGTGAATAAAATAAAACCAGGGGTCAGGATTCTCACAGTGAGCGGTGAGCGGTTATGATGGACGGCGAGTTGCCGTCAAGTGCACTCAGGATTTCGATACCAAAAGATATTTTCTCCTTAGACTATCAATAGATATCAAGACCTGATAGAACGCCGGATGTGCGTCTCAGGTAACTTGACTTGCATACAACTTTTTGTTTGGTTCCTCGAGTAATTATAAAGAATTTACTTGAACTGTCTGCCGTGTTTAAGCATTTTGTAGTTGCAATTAGTTGGTGCTGCTGATGGGTTACGACAGCTTGGTATAAACAAATATGAGGAAGGCGCTTCTAAATCGAATTTACAGCGGAAAGCGCTAAATGTAAGCAGTACTGAAATGTAAGAAGCTACGAACGGGTATTGTGATACCGGGACAGCAATGTTTTAGTAATACCCCTGTTTGGGTACCTGAGTCCAGCCAGGTCCTTGATACAGGGGTAAGCTTCCCCACAACTTTGTTCGTTTACTTTAACTTCAACTTCTTCAACTTCAAGATGAACATGTTTTAATCCCTACGGGGAAGATAATTGAAATTAATAGACTCCTTCATTTTGAGCCACCGCACGTACGTTCATCAATAGAATGATCTACGAACTAATATGATTTGCAATGATATTGAACAAACAGTCTCATGTCATATGCATTTTCATACCCCGGTCTCTTCTCCTTTGAGACGCGCTCCGCACAGATCCAACCTGAACGGTTTCAGCATGCCGATTCATCTGACATAGCCTCACGGGTAGAGATGGAACTGCATGCACACGAAATAATTACCTAGGTAGGGACTAAGCTTTGGACGATCGGAGATGATTGACGTACCTATTCCCCTTCTATGTTCGTGAATCCCCTCCGACAGGGGCAATACGTTATGGACTGGCCCACCTTGTCTTCCTAAACTTGCTCTTAGGAGCTCGTGTCTTTTCTCGTCTTCAACTATTCACTTCTCTTCGTATTGGCTTCTAGATCGGAGCATCTTTTTTTTTGTTTCGTTTCGCCGTGCGATTCCTTCTTTACCATTCCTTTTCATACCTTCTTTTCGTGCTCGCTACCGGCCGAGTCTTTTTATCTTGCTTTCGTTCCGTCCTAGCGACTTATTTCTTAGCGTGTGGATTTTGGGTGGCTGCTTGGAGGTTTGGTCCATTGAGAGCAGTGATAACGATTTGGATACCGATACTCGAGGTCACAGTTGAGGCCTTTTACTCTTCGACTCGTAACTCCTTTGAGGACATGAGGTCATCTTGAGCAAATACGATTCCATTTCAGCTCGAAAGCTAGACCTTTCGTGGGCAAGACCCATCACCTTCCTTTCTTCGCCTATATTTATATTTATTTCATAATGCAATTGTCACTTCGTGTAGCAGGCATCGTAAGCCTGCTGGCAGGTGCAACTAGAGCCTTACAAATCGACTGGAATAGCGATGGTACGTGATTGATGGTAATATTTTCATACATAGAGCTAACACCTATTAGATTCGATAAAAGATGCAGCAAGTACCGTTGCTTTCGGGTTGGTGAAATACTACACGGGAAATAACACAGGCGATACTCCTGGTAACTTACCAGACCCGTATTTCTGTACGTAACCCTACTCCCTCTAGCAAAATCGTTGCTTATAAGATATTAGGGTGGGAAGCGGGAGCTATGTTTGGTACGCTAGTTGACTATTGGTTTTATACTGGCGACGAAACGTACAACGATATAACAACGCAAGCACTACAGCATCAAGCAGGTGAAGACAGCGATTACATGCCCCAGAATCAGACAAGGTCACTGGGAAACGACGATCAAGGATTTTGGGCTATGGCCGCCATGACCGCCGCTGAGAACAACTTCCCGAACCCGCCGGAAGACCAGCCACAGTGGTTAGCACTAGTTCAAGCTGTCTTTAATGAGTATATAACTCGATGGGATGCCGATACCTGTGGTGGTGGTTTGCGGTGGCAGGTGTTTACGTTCAACAATGGATTTAGCTACAAGAACTCCATATCCAACGGCTGCTTTTTCAATATCGCTTCCCGACTAGCTAGGTATACAGGGAATCAAACGTACGGCGACTGGGCCGAGAAAGTATGGGATTGGATGGCAGACGTTCAATTCATCGACGCCGACTTTAACGTTTACGACGGAGCAGGCGCGGATAAAGGCTGTGTCGACATCAACAAAGCGCAATGGACCTACAACGCAGGTATCTTCCTACAGGGAGCAGCAATGATGTTAGGAAATTTCCCATCTCCATCAGTAAAACCGGCTAACCAAGCATTGCTATCTATAGGTACAATTTCACAGAGGGCCAGGATATCTGGAAGCAGCGAGTAGAGGGTCTAGTGAAAAGGACAAACGAATATTTCTTCGACGATAATATCGTGGTTGAGCGGCCGTGTGAGGGCTTCAACTCTTGCGACTACGACCAGCAAAGTTTCAAGGGCTACCTTATGCGATGGATGACTTCGGCGTCGCAGATGGCCCCTTTTACCTTTGATACTCTAATGCCGTTACTTAAAACCAACGCGGCGGCAGCGGCGCAGCAGTGCTCTGGCTCGCCGTCAACTGACCTGTATAAAGGCCCGGCTGGTACAGCGTGCGGCTTCAAGTGGACGGAAAAGGAAAAGTTCGACGGCCTTGCTGGTGTCGGCGAGCAAATGAGCGCGTTGTCTGCCATACAATATACGTTAGTCAAGAAGCAGACGCCAGCACCGTTGACTGCAACTACGGGTGGAACATCTGTCGGCAATCCCGATGCTGGGCGGCCGGTGGAGGCATATATGCCTAGTTTGACGCCAATATCAACGGGAGAAAAGGTAGCGGCTGGCTTCGTGACGAGTGCGATTGCGTTCAGCGTCCTGGGCGCGTGCTTCTTCGTGATGAGAGATTAAGAAGTCCGTATTACCCGCTGACGATGAAATGAGGATATTTATTAGGCTTTAACTACTCGAGCGCTATATATATATATTCAGGTATGAGGATAGATAGGCAAGACGGCCGGCAAGATCATGGCATCGGCGGCGTTCTGGAAATATATTCGGTATATACCTGCTTTGAAAGCATTTTTTTTGTAATACCCCAATGGTAAAATACTATTACCAGCTTTATACTATTCAAGTCCCAATATCAGTACTTGTGACTGCAGAATATGGTGGTTAATTCTACTATACACGACCCCTTTTAAGCCGTATTTTCTCTTATAATGACGTACATCTGTCTAGCTATATGAACCGCTCTTAGATTCATATTTCTATCAGCACGTTAGATGCTTCGCAGGTATCTTCGCCAAGCTACCTAAGCAGCGTATTCCGCGCCGACTCTAGCCAAGCCATATTTATGAAGTTCACCCTTCGTATATAATACACCACTAGTTGTAGCAACCAGAACTCCCGTCAAGCTAATACAACTCCCGTTCACTTCTCCTATCCACTCTCCTCCTTCTCCTGCTGCTCTAAATCCTTCTTCTTCCGCCTCTTCTTCTCACTCGGCCCCTCAAAATACAACCTCACCACACCCCCCACATTCCCATCCATCTTCCTCACCTCCTTCGCCCCGTCAACCAACGTCAGCGCGCCCCTAACCGCTTCCAGAACCGCCTCGGCGGTCTCCGTCGGAACAGGTTTCGCATGCCGCTTTTTCGCCAGTATGACTTCTACATTCAATCCCAGGTCGAGAAACTGCCGCAGGCGCCGCAGCTTGTGGCCCATGTCGTGCGCTGATATGCCCCAGGAGATCTCGAGCTCCTTCGTGTCGACGGCTTTGCGGCGGGCGCGCTGCTCGGCTTCCTGGGCGGCGGCTTTGGAGGCGGCGTTGTCGACGATGCGGCATATGGCGGCGTTGGCTTCGGGCGCGTGGGGGTCGGCGGAGGAGGAGGGCGGCGCGACCATGACTAGGGTGTGGGTTTTGGGGTTGAGGGAGGCTAGGACCGAGTCGATGGGTTTGGCGGGCGAGAGCGCGTTGTCGGGGGCTGGCCCGACTACGCGCACGTAGTCGTATGGGATCTTGCCGTTGGTCGGTCGTTTTTGGGATAGGTCGATGCGGCGGAGGACAGAGGTTGTGGAGAGCGTGCGGGTGTGTCGCGGTATGGGTGGTGGTAGTGGTAGGGCTGTGGCGTTGGGTTTTGTAATCAAGTGACTAGAGGAGAAGAGCCGTGGCGGAAGGAGGTAGGAAGATGTTGTGCGCGGTGCGAGGGAGGTTGTCCTGCTACGGCTGAGGAGGTCCGAGACGAGAACTCTGTGTAGAGCTCGTGCGGGTGAGGAGCTGGCGAGACAGCGTGGTTGTGCCATTTTGCTTGGTGTTTCTCCGTTTTATGGCTCTAGAGAATGCAATTGGGACGGTAGAATTGGCATCTATAGCACGGTGCTGCCGCGCTTTAGGATAACGCCTTGTAAAGTTGAAGTTTGTCTTGCAGCAAGAATTGAGTTTGGATTTGGAACTACAAGCACATCCCACTTCTAGGTACTATGTACCATCTAGGGCTGGAGCTTAACAGCCAATCATGTCATGCTTTCTCGCCGGCGGCTTATGATGTACATATGTAGTACCGCGCCAAGACTAGTACATGTACTGTACCTCACAGCCATTCATTCATTCATTTATTGAGATTGTATGAACCTCATGTTGAATCCAGAAACTTATACTCATCGCCTTATACAATATCCACCCATACCTAACTAATATAGGCTCACTTTAAATTCTCATACCTAGATACCTACCTACCTATACAAACCCTACGAAACCATGCAAGCCACCAAACCGCCGCATAACCCTTCGTAAAAGCACCATATCCGAAAGGCAACAGCACCCACACCCAAACTCACACTTACACAACCCTCCCCCAACCGCCACGCCACACCACAATGCCGTCCCTCCTAGGCCACCCCTTCCGCGTGCTCATCTACACGACCAAAGCGCTCGCCCTAGGCCACCTCCTCGTGACCTACGGATACAGCACGGGGTACGGGTGGGGCCCATCCATGCTACCGACGTTCCTGACGATGAACGAGTGGTTCGTGACGGACCGATCGCACCGCCGGGGCCGCGGCGTGCGCGTCGGCGACTGCGTCGTGTACAGCATCCCCGTCGAGCCCGGCGAGGAGGGCATCAAGCGCGTGCTGGGCCTGCCCGGGGACTACGTCCTGTTGAATTCGCCCGGCGTCGGCGCTGATACTATGATACAGGTATGATAATTGACTGATTGATTTATCTGCTTACTTACTCTGCTTGGGTCTTATACACTTGTGAGGAGAAGTGGGAATATGGTATTGACTTAAGTTCTACTTCAGATACCCAAAGGTCACTGCTACATAGTCGGAGACAACCTCCCCTGGTCTAGGGATAGTCGCGACTTTGGCCCTATTCCCATGGGTCTCATCAAGGGTAAAGTGGTTGCCAAAGTGGTCGTGAACGGTTGGTGGCCGTTTAATTGGTTCACTAAGGTGGAAAGCGGTCTTCAACCTGTATTGGATTCGCCTAAAACATGACCACTTCCATCCCTGCTATGAGTATAGCTATATTGCGGAAAGCTCATGAGCGTATCATATTTGTATTACAATTTGCATTGCATAGAGGCGTCTCGGAAGCATTGTTTACCGGATATCATTTTTGATGAGGAAGGGCAATCTAATTACAAGAGTTAAACTCCGCGCATGAGGCTCACAAGAGTAACTCATGACTTACCGGGAGTGCTTGGTCAAGTAGTCATCTTTTCAACCGGCTACGCCGCCGCGTACAAATGAGATCGAGTGTGTTCCACTAAGTTAGCTTCCGGGGCAAATGCGACCAGCAATACACACACACCCGCGACTCGAACCACCCAATGAGAATATGCGTTCCTAATAAAATATCGAAGCAGCCTTATCGTTGACGAAATACACATGCATGCTTATATAACATACGCCTCAAACACCGGGAACCAACCACATCCGTGTGAATGCCCGCTTGAACAACAGGGAGTCTGACAGTATCGATAATTAAAACAAAAAAGAAATGCGGTAGTCTGTCACTTCATCCTTCTATGTGCGCCTTCGACATACTCTGGCCAAGCAGCTCTAGGCAGCGCTGCGCAAGGTTGATCACTTCGCCCTCGTCGTCTTCCTCGTATTCGTTATCTGACTCGACTTGTCGGTTCGCGATTTGTTTAATCATCTCCACAATTGTATCCGACTTCCCAATATGTGAAATCAAGGTCTTATCTTCAGATTCCAACAATTGGAGGAGAGTCCAAATAGCAATGTGCTGAAACGTGGCATCGCCGCTGGCCAGGAACCTACTCAAGTAACCGTGAATGCCACCGTTTGGTTCTGTCCAGTCCTGAATAAAGATCGAATAATCGCCAACTACGTCACATTAATAACTAGGAGATCAATAGAATTAGAATCAAGACTTACCCTTCGAGGACAGGTTGCCGAGGGCTGCGGCGCTATTGCCTTGAACTTCAATGCTTGGCGAGTGTGTTAGAGGGATAAGCACGTCGAACACGCCGAGATTTAACAAGTGCGTTTTGAGGTCATCAGATAGCGCAAGGACTGCGATTGCAGCCGTCATCTCCGACTGGACGGTCACCGGAACGTCCAAGACAAGCTGCTTGCATTTCTGTACCGCACCAGCTTCGAGGACCAGCGCTTTGTTACGGTCAGAGCTCGCGGCAAGGTTTCGGAGGGTCGATATGGCATGGCACTGGATTTCTTCGTTATCGGTGGAACCTAGAAGGTCGACTAGGGGCTTCAAGAATCCAGCTTCGATAATGGGAGACTCGTTTAAGGGGTGGATGGATATGTTACGTATGCAAGCAACCGCGGAGAGGATTAGAGGTAGATAAGAGGACTGAAGCAAGCGTAGCAGCGGGTTAAGACCTTGCGCTCGGACGATATCTAGCTGATATTTCTCGTCCGAAGCGAGGTTTCGAAGTGCTAATGCGGCTTGGCATTGCACCTTGGGAGAGGAAGAGTCCATTAGGTTAACGAGGGACTGGACAAGTTTAGTCTCCGACGCAGCTAACTTCCGGCGGTTGTTGCCGTCGACGGCAATGTTGCTAAGCGCTGTCGTGCAATAATATTGAACATCGACATCGGGAGACGACAGAAGTTGGACCAGTACGGGGATGGCGCCTGCATTTACGAGTTGTTGTCGATTCTCATCTATGTAAATACTATTAGAAAATTTCAGCGAATCAGTTGCTAGGAGCTGAACGCGTACCTGAATGTGTCATGTTGAGAAGGGCGCCGGTTGCGTTCCGTTGAACCCTCATATCTCTTGACTTAGCCAGCCGAGTAAGCGGACCCAAGGCTCCTGATCGTGCAATCTTTGCCTTATTTTCCTCGTGGGTAGCCAAATTGGTAATGCATCCTACGGCATTGCACTGTACTTCGACGTTGGGAGAAAGCATCTGACGTATAAGCGGAGTTAAGCCGCCTAGTTGGACAATCAAGACTTTGTTCTCGGCTGCGTAGCTTGGTAAGACAAGAGGCTAAATAACAGCGCGGAGTCTTACTTACTATTAACGGCAAGGTTCCCTAACGCAGCACTGGCTGCTCTTTGTACTTCAATATCGGGACTCTGAAGTAGGAAAAGAATGGGTTCTAGCGTATCGCGGTCGACCTCGCGAACATCTAGGGGGCGGTCAGCCACAGCTCGTAATTCGGTGAAGATTAGAGCGGTAGAGCCATATCACTCGACAGCTCTGCAATACAGCGCCTCTTTTGTCAGGGCGCTAAGAATATTACATTACGTACCTCGCTCCGTGATCTCAGCAAACGTTAAGCTTGCACTCCTTTGAAGATCAATATTGTCAGAAAATACGAGGGTGCTCAGAGCTCGAAGAGGCTCGCCCGAAAAGAAATCCGTCTCGCCGCGCTGGGATGAAAGGTTAGCTTTGAGCAGTCTAAGGGTTGGTCGGTCGTAACACACGTTCTCGAGGTATTGGAGTAAATCGGCGACAGCTTCTCGTTCGCTATCGGCCAATACTGGTTCGTAGAGACCATCGCGAGATTTGCCTGTATGGTGTTCAGCACTTGAAAGTGTCTTCTTGATAGGAGAATGGACTTGTGTTACCTCCGCAGCATGATTGGCAGGCCCCCATTGCTATGGGTAGAGCTAGAAACCGTGATGTGATTGATTTGGACTCAGTCGACGATACGAGAAACAAAAAGAGATGATGCTAATAAGCAGGTGCTCTCAGTTTCAGGTTGCTCGAATTATCAAAACCTGGCTGGTAGAGTACGGTCAGTACTGGTGTCAGGTCCAAATAATAAGCCTGCTCTCCGGAGATGGTCCTGTGATGGTCCTGTGATGTATCCTCGTGAGAGACTAGGGCAGGCGGATAATCTCGTCCAAGTCGACGCGGCGAAAATAGTGCCAGATTGCATGCATCGACGGAACGGGACGATGAGGAGAAGGTCGATCTTGACCGGAATGTGTGTGTTGTGGTAGAGGGAGAGGTGAAGTTAAAGAACTTTATTACTGGGGTAATGTTTACGAAGTTGCAGTTGCACCAAAAGGCTCAAAAAGGTTGTTGCGTAGGTAGCAGAGGTTTTGACAAGTCCCGACATTGGGCAACCCTTGTTCCTTCCCCCCCAGTTGCTCCAGTTGCTGACTTCCTACCTTTTTTACCTTTACGTCGATAGCGATTGCTGCGCTATTGCCGCCTCTGCAGCAGGTGGGCCGGGTCGCGCTGTGTGGTTGCGTACAGAGAAGGAATGGCGCAGGCGCAGTTGGTGGGTTTTGATGGGGGGGGAGGTTAATCCTTTTCTGCTTCAATCTTTCTTAATCTCATCTCATAGGGGTGCTCACTGCTGTCATGGCTGTCATGGAGCTGGGACCGGAAGGTTTCGGCTGGGAAGCTCGCCTAAGCTTTCGATAGTGGGTACCTCTTCAAGTACCTGAAAAGTACTCAGTCTGCTTCGAGGCTTACCTAGGTACTTTCGATAGCAACTAGTTGTACTTGCATTGTACCTCAAATTGCACATCTTCATGCGCTTTAACTTATCTCGCTTTTATATGCAATATGTACACGCATGTTAATACATATGTAACATAAATAGAAGCTCGATAAAGCATGCAAAGAGGTGTTTACAAAACTTAACTTGATGCAGTTTTATTATATTAATTGAATCAAATAATTAACTAAAATAAATCTTTAGATAACCCGTGCGGTACACAATACATACCCCAATGGTATAAGTGCCAGATGATAGGCCGTCTTTTTCTTAAAGGTTAAAGCTGTTAATGGATGAAACAAAGTGCAAGTTGACGTAGTGTACGTAAAACCGCTACTTACGAAAGAACAGGACCCCGATTATCACTCTATTACCTTTTTTGGACAGCTTTTCTGCATTACAGCAGCCACAAAGCCAACCCGCTCTGCCCAGCTCTAAGCTAATAGGTACCTAAAGCTTAGCACAAGCAGTTCAAACAGCACAAGTTATTGCCGCCGTTAGGTAGCTTGCTATTTAGCTTGTGAAAAAGAGTATGCACCCTCTGTCTCGAAGATATGACGTTCCATCCATCCACCATGCAGCTTTCCGTCTGATAGTAACCAAGATCAGGCAAATCTTTGTCTTGAAATTGCAATATCTTGTCGAATTGAAGCTATTCCCAATCCTAAGCAGCCAATCACCCCTTGACTCTGCAGGATAGTGGAATACTTCTACTTATGGCTACTGGCATTGCTTAAAATGAATCACAAGATCATACCCTCTTGAGAAGCCAAGGCCAGAAGGATAAAGATTTGAGTACTCACACAAGTTTCCATAATTTTATCTGATTAATTCAACACCTCTGGCTGCGTTCCCTACCACAATAATATGTCCTTCTCGTCACTAGTCGTACTACTGGATGACGACAATCTTCGCCTCCAATATTTCACTGCGTAGGTTCTTATTCCACACCAATACTGAGTGAATATGGTAGGCTAGACAAGAATAAGACATTCCTTATCCTTCAATAAGTTGCCTTTATGGTATTATGCCCTAGGCTGATGGTTGCGATTAGACAAGCAGCTATCTATCTTTGCGTTCTTTTATCCAGCTTGGTGATTGAATAATATCCCCTAGTCCTCGATCAAGCAGAGACATCTTCTTAGATGATACCCCTTGTGTCTCCTCGGTGTTGCATCACATCTTTAATACGATATGATAGGTCACTTGATTGTTTATCTTCTTCCTACGCCTCGATTTAAAGATGCCGAATATGTTTTCTTCCGGCAGTCTAGAGGTTAGCATGACATAGGAGGGGAGGGTCTCGGCTTTATACCTACTAGCATGTGCATGCAGTCTGTTACACTGCTAATATGTATGTAGTTCATAAGTGGGTGATCCTGTCTTATTATTGCTCCGTTGAAGTCGAAAGAGAAGCGACTAATTGCCTAGTTATCTCCATACAAGTCTATATCATTGAGCCGGCTCAGATTTTAAAATCTCACTTCAATCATTTACATACCTGTATATAATAACTTTCACACCTAACATATTACTCCAACTTCGTCTTGCATACATATATGCAGCTCAATATAATAACAGATCTAATTATACAATTACATACCTAAGATATGGTGGGTAGGTCAAGTTTACTTAAGAGGTATGTTGACCAACACGAGACAAGGTTTCCGATTTGATTCAGAGACTAAAATAAAAAGTTAAGCATCCTTATAGGCCTACACACAGCTGGTGTACCCCCCATATGTAGCCGCGCTTATCGGCAGCACTAGCACCACCCAAAGCTGCAGTTGCCCTCCTACAATAACTGCACTAGCCCCGTCAGATCTCCGAGTATCAATGTACCTTCCATTTGAACCCCCATCAAATTTGAACCTCAATCCACATATTCGTTTTTAAGTTAGGTACCTAACGTATCTGTATAAGTAAGATAGGTACCTAGATTACCTATCAATCAGTGATAGCCAGTACCAATTGCCCGTTCAGTCGCGGCCCGGTCTGGACCATTCAATAGAGAAACTACCTCTGAGGCTATTTATGTCTATCATTATCCATTATCAACAACCTTTGTTCTTATCGCCGTTGAACCTCACCATCATCACCTATTCAATTTTCCATATCCATGTCCCATGTCTTCATCTCCTGTCTCAGTTAGCAACTCTCAAGCTGCTTTCAGTCTAGAGCTAGTAGTTCTCCAATCGTCGAGTAGCCCTACCCGATAATAGAAACCCTTTTTTTTACTCTCCCCACCCCCTCCCCCTCTTCTCCCCCCAGCCCCAGCAAAGAAGCGCCTCCTACACCGAACCTTTTCCCAAGCTCACACCTACTGCAAACTTTCAGTTGCACGCCTCTCGGGAAGACGGGTGTCCCGCCAATAGCCTCCGCCTGACCTGGCTTAAACCCCAACGACCCCCAAGAAGAAGGATAAGGGGAAAAAAGGAGATAATGGATGACCCTTCGAGCCGTGAGTCTAACAATGCACCAGCCGACGAGCCACAGTGCGCGCCAAACGCTCCAGCCCCCGCCATGTCGTCGGACTTGCCCTCCTACATACCGTCGCTACCTCAAGGTCACGAGCTTCCATTTGTGCGGCCATCATCGTATCTCAGACCCAAATTTCGGAGTCGTACAACGCCTGTTCCCACGACGCCAATGAGTCCCATTGATGAAGAACAGTTGCAAGGCCTAGTAAGTCGTCAGCATATAAAGTCTCCGGGTGCCATATCGCCTCGTCTCTACCCGAGTCCGATCCTCGGACCTTGCGTCTTGGTGACTTACTACTGACTTTCCGTTCTTATAGAAAGGCTTGCGCAACTTTCTTCGGGTTAGAACTAGCTACGACGTGCTCCCGTTATCCTTCCGCCTCATCGTACTCGACAATGATCTACTAATCAAAAAGAGCTTGGATATTTTGATCCAGAATGGTACTTCAAATACACGCATGTACATCCCGCGACGGCCCGAACAGCCCCTAACGTGAGCTATTAGGAATCGTGTCCGCGCCTCTTTGGGATTCGCAGCAGTCTAGATTCGCCGGTCTACTTACCGCGACCGATTATATAAATCTGATACAATATTACTGCCAATTCCCTGAACATATCGACGATGTAGAGAAGTTTAGGTTGAGTAGCCTCCGCGGTACGTTGCACCCGAATTGCGAATGTGCGGGGGCATGTGGATTGAATTGGTTGTAGCTGACGCTTCAGCTACTTAAAGACATCGAAAAAGCAATCGGCGTGCTTCCGCTCGAGACCGTGTCCGTCCACCCGTCGAAACCACTCTACGAAGCCTGCAGTCGTATGCTTAAGAGCCGCGCTCGTCGTATTCCTCTCGTCGATATCGACCACGAAACCGAGAGGGAGACGGTCGTGAGCGTGATTACGCAGTACCGAATACTCAAGTTCATCGCCGTCAACACGGAACAGCATACTATGCTTCTCAAGCAGCCGGTACGGGAGATCGGGCTAGGGACATACAGCAATCTCGCGACGGCTAAGATGACGGACTCGGTCCTAGAGGTGATCAATTTGATGGTGGTGCATAACATCTCTGCTGTGCCTATTATTGATAAAAACAATGTCGTGCTCAACGTGTTCGAGGCGGTCGATGTTATACCTTGTATCAAAGGAGGCGCATATGACGAGTTAAAATCAACAGTAGGAGAAGCGTTGACAAAGAGACCGGAAGATTTCCAAGGTATCTACACTTGCCAAGAGGATGACAGGCTTGATTCGATATTCGTTACGCTACGCCAGTCTCGAGTCCATAGGCTAGTAGTCATTGATGACAATTGGCATTTGAAGGGCATTATCTCGCTGTCCGACATCCTTAAGTACGTCTTATTTACCGGCGTTACTAGCGACGAGGGCGAATATTTCCCACCGCCGTAACAAGTCGATGGTAACTCGACGCTTTTTGTAATGACGGTACGATACCTTGGAAACTGGAAACGGCGGAATACGAGGATCATGGAGTCATAGTGTGTTATTGGTAGGCATTACAGAGGAGTCTGGCGTTCGAAAGACTAAAGTGGTTTATAAGGATCAGTCCTTTTGAGCCCGCATAGGTTTTCATTATCTCCATATCCTCACGCTGATCTATCTAATCGAGTACGACTACCTTGGGTTAAGGGGGGATTATAAGGATCAGATTTGGGGGGGCACGGCTTGGTAGAAGACGAAAATGTCCGGATTTACTACCTACTATGAGTATGACACGTCTTAAGAGTACACTAGATTTTTAGTATTCAAAGGCTAGGTTTATGATATAACCATTTATCTAGCTAGCCGCCTTAGCTAACCTATATATAGAGGATGTATATGTTTGTTATTCTACAATCGCCTCACTATACGTAATTCCTATATGATGATATGTTACGTGAGTACCTTATTTAGGTACCTTAGGTATTCATCACTAGGAGTTGCTACATGTATCTTACTATAGAAGGTACATATGTAGGTACCTACCCTCACTTGTTACAACTTCCAAGTCGCTTCCTCTAAGGTCTCCTAATTAAAACACGGAAGGATAGATGGATGTACTTCCTACGTGTGGAGGCTCTGAGTTATAGGTACATGAATCTGGTTTATTGATTTCTTTCCTGTTGCCAAACTACATGGACCATTCCCTTATCCAACATATTCCTCGTCTTCTATAGGTATCAAGAATTTACCCATTATCCAATAGACCAGATGCAGTCTTACCATGATGATACAGCTACGGCTTCAATTCCTATTAAAGGAAAAGAGCCCGCACCCGCTAGCTGTTCTATGTCTTCTTATCATTTCCCTTACCAACGAAGACGCCCGCTCTCGCAGTCGACATTTATTAAACCATGTCCAGCGCTGACTACATCGCGATCACTCGGCGCCCTAAATACTCATTACGACCGCGAAACTAATACTTGGACGTCTTCTAGTGGCGAACCCGGACTTCTCTCTGAAAGTGAGGAGGCAGATGGCAGGGAGGAGTTTGTCGACGAATATAATCGACTCGCAAAGAGGGTGGTGCATTCCGTTCAGTGCTCATCTTGCGACGGATGCTGACTGAGAGATTCTAGTACGGTATTCGGCTACTCGTGACTAGAGACTTTCCCGTAGACGCTGTAAGTGAGATTGAACATCTTATAATAAGGCCAATTATAATGACAACAATTAGTCCGTTCCAACCCGGAGACCAAGTTGGCTTTCCAAAGCCCTACGGCGAACATCATCTGGTCAATCAACACAGACCGTAATCATCCGGTCAGAGCCACGACAGCTAAGGCATCGACGAAGCGTCAGCGATGTTGCTCTGAATCTTGTACACCACGTGAAAAAGGTCGAATTGAAGGGCGAAAATCTCCAGGATTTAGTACGATTATGTGGGAAGAGTATATTCTACTTACCTACTGAATATGCTCCGTGCTCTTTGGTATTACCTACGTGCTTCCGTGCGCTCGCGCAAGCTCTTGTACAACACGGTAGGAGGTTTGCAGTAATTTCTATAAGTCCTTCAGCTAATGCGTACTCATCATAGCTGATACAAGAGGGATTTTTCGGGTACCGGGCTCTGCTCGAGTTGTGAGCATACTCTATGACTATTACTGCCCTGATAGGGACGCAAGGGACGCAAATGCCATCTCAATTACAACTCGATGCCCGAACCTTCCTACGCATATCAAATGCAGTGCTCATGATATCGCTTCCGCTTTCAAAAAATTTATAGCTGGGCTGCCCGGTGGCATTCTAGGCTCGTTGTCCCTTTTCGACGCCTTCGTTGCAATTCACAGTCAGTTGCATGCTGATCCCGAGCTCACTAAGACTAGAGAAACCAAACTTCGCGCACGGTTGATTGCACTCGCCATTGGGACCGTGAGATCACAGTATCAGAGGGAGCTAATATGTGCAGTATTTGGCTTATTATGTTTCGTCGGCCGAGCTGCTGAGAATGCCCCTCGAGAAGATGAAGACGGGAGACCGCTTCCGACGGCTGACTTGATGGGATACAATGCTTTAAGCATAGTATTTGGCCCTCTCTTGATCAATGATCTGATCGACTCTTACAGCATGAAATTGGCAGACCCCGCAGCTGGACTAATACTGCTCCCAGTGTCTGCTCCGAAGTCCCGAAAAGAGAAGCACAAGCACAGGAAATCTAAATCTCGTGCTGAAGATTCGGCCTCTCTCTACACGGTGGACAAGATATATGTCGCCAATAATATCACGGAGATGTTAATAGTACATTGGAGGGAGGTGGTTCAGCAAATGCGGAGCCTGGGCACCCTGAAGATCAGCAGACGTGAAAATATCGCCCAACATAGGACGAATAGGGCTAAGTTAGGTTCTTCAGCCTCAGACTCATTCCCATTAAGAAGGCCACCTAAATGGAGTAGCCCTACACCATCGCATAAGCAGAAAGGCAGAAATGTTTCCCCCTTAGCCAGAAGTCCAACTCCATTACCTAGTAAGTAGATGTGCCAACGATTCACGGTGTTATGTGTTAATTATCAGAAACAGAGATCAGCTTATCCAAGCCACGAGATACTACAGGGGGTGAACTTGAGCCTGTATCTACCAAGAGACAGCGAGCACGACCGTCTAGTTCTTGTACTTCATATAAAACCCAAAGCAGGATTTCAGAAAGTTGTCTCTCGCCCACAGCTGAAGAAAGTCCACCAGCTAGCCAACATGTAGTAAGTGATGAAGCAATTGTAGGCCAAACGTCTCATCCAGCAATACCGTCTGCTGCGCGAACTTCGCCCAGTGATAGTCTTGGGAGCGTATTGGAAAATCAAAGTTTGGACAGAGTGTCGGATGGCGGTGAGAGCGAGACCGGAGGCCGGACCAGGGAGCGGCCATTTCGTATTGATGTGCACGAGGATCCTTCGATTCTCCACAACAGAAGCTCATCAAGTCATATACTGTCTGGAAGTGAGTTAACCTTTCATAGCGTCAAGTCATCCATCGTCGAAATTGGCAACAATGAAGGATATTCGTCACGACAAGGCTATGCCACACCAAGAGCCAAAGAGCTTGGCATACTTAAGAAATCGCCGTCAAAGAAAACAATAACCCCGGTCAGGTCGTCCCTTTCAACCGAAGAGTACCATAGCAGTTACGCTGGAGATTATCTCTATACCCCGGCGCGGAATGTTGACTATTCTGAAAAGTGGAAAGCTTTAAGTTTAGCCAGTAAGACCAGCACGGAATCTCTAGCAAGAGCTGCAAAGGAAAGGCGTTTAAGACGTAGTCCAGGCAATAGTAGCTTTCGACGGAGCGAGGAACTATCGATCCAGCGAAACGAAATACCATCCACCCCAGAATGGAAACAGCAACTGATGGACACGCGAAGTGAAGGAAGACGGAAACCAGCTAAGCTTTCACCCGAGAAAAAAAGCGTATTCGAGAAATCTCCTCAATCTGTACCCCTAAGAGAATCAGCTTTACATAAACCAAGATTATCGCCAGGCGGAAGTGTCTTCGAGGGGGGAAGTAGGCCTATTTTATATCGTTCAAGCTCCAAACCGACGCAAGGTGCAGTGAAGGCCATAGCTGCGCTATTTGACAATACTATCAGTAATTCTCCTATTAGCACGGCAACTATACTTCCCAGAAAGATCGGACGTGACTCTAGCAGCGTACTATCTCCGTATTCTATAAGCAACTCGCCGTCGAAAACAGCTAGGTCTAAAAATACAGCAACAACCAGCACGCCGTCAAATACCTTTGATGGCACTAAAGGAAGATTCCAACCACCGGAGACACCAACGCGAAGCAGAGAGTCGAGGTTATCAATAGATGACGGCATTTGTGGCCCAGGTTGTTCGGGTGCAAATGTTGGGAATACACCAACTAAATTTCCTAGTGTTTTGTTACGTCCTATTGATAATACATTAGTCGCTTCGAAAAAAGTATCACTGAGTTCGATGACTCGGCCAGTTCCTACGCGCGATCGAGAGCTTAACCAGCCGCCGAGCTTAGGAACTATGGTCCCTCCTCTTGAAGAGCCTCCGATTGCTCAACACATCAATTTCACTCGACCGTATCCATCCTCTCCCCCATCTTGTGATGGGAGCTATGGTAGAGCATCAACCGGGAGTCCTCGGCCTGGAAGCGGTAATTCGATGCTTCATGCCCAGATTCGCCACCTACAGAAGCATCTAGAGCACCGAGCGGAAGAAAACACTCAGCTACGGCGACAGTTGGAAGCCCGAGAGAACATGGATATCGGCAAGCTGTGCGAGCAGCTTAGGGCGGCAAGACGCGAGTCCAAAATGTGGAGAGAAAGAGCAGAAGCGGCGGAGAAGCGAGTGGCTGTCTTTAAGCAATTTACAGCGCGTGTTCGAGGGCTTCGCGAGACTGTTACTCTCGAAGACACCGAGGGTGATATATTCGACAAGGGACAAGTTGATGGGCCAAGTCAACGTGGTGATGAACGGAAAGGATGGTGCAACCCATGCTGCTTGGAAGTAACTGAAGAGCGGGAGGGCATTGAAGAACGAATACGCCAATATATGAAGAAGCAAGTCGGCCCGGAAATTAACGATGAATACTGTATTAAGGACGGCGGGCTTTGGAGCGCTGGGGCACGAAATCGAGGCCCACGGATGAATGCCCATGCCAACAGGACAGCGCAACTATGGGATATTACCGACGAGTTATTAATGTTTGATGGTAATACGAAGCGCGAGAACTATTAGATCGTAAGAAAATATTTGGTGGATGGAGGGGATAGGGGGGTTTGTTATGCGTTACGAGGGCAATGCTCAGTTAGTGTTGGTCACAATAGGATTGTAATAGATGAGAAGCTGTGGGAGACTCGTCACCATTGCTTGCTTCTCAACGAGATGCTACCGTCTGAATAGATAGTACTCAGTAAATAGAATATGGGGAAATATGGTTGGTCCTGTTTTTGTTTCTTGTGATTCCTTTCATCACTCTTCTACGTACTTGGTCTTGACATCGGTGAGGCTTGTCCTGAGCCTTGGATTAAGGTATGTTGTGGGATACCAAATGGTCGTGGTTTTTATAGATTCAACTTGTATAAGCTGTAGATAGGTAACCTAGGTAGATGTGTATATAAGTACAATACTTCTAAGGAAGGGTTCCGATTGGTTATGATGAAGAGGTATTTACGCCCGATGCTTACTCAATCCTCTTTATTCGTCTAGTATACTACATGAGGTATGTAATAACATGCTGCTCCTAGTTGCTTACTCTGCCTTTGTCTATTCACCTACCTGCCTATCGCGTCAATGTGCATGCAGACTTGTACAACGTAGTAGGCAGATGTTTATTGGTAAACTTCAAGGCCTAGATTCTTCCATCTGATATATTAAATATTTACATAAAAGCAGTGAATGCTGTTGATTCGGCGAAGATTGTGGTGAGCTGTCATATGAATGGCCTTAGCTCCAACGTTCGCTGAATATACATGTGCATAAGGATAAGGAGAGGTGCATGTGCCCGTTTGGTACTTTGGCGTCAAGTATATATAGTAAGTGTCTAATACAAGATTATACATTTAATTGAGGTACTGGAGGCTAGATCCGGGAAGGGATAGACATATCTTGGCGTGAATTGGTCGCGATTCCCCAGATTATCGGGAATACTTGGACCGGGGTCTGAATTTCTCCTTCCCAGTTGTCGTAGCTTTTTAGCTTTTTAGCTTTAGGTACATACCGACATACCGACATACGACATACGTACAACCTTGGGTTGCTTTAACAACTTTCTTTTCAACACCACATATTGACCACATATTCGCCACATATTAATATACATGAAATGACAGAGCATTAAACATTATACTGCTCAGGATATTCTCCAATCTTTCCTACCGACGACTTTGCAAAGTTGAAGGTCTGAACATATATTATTTAGATGCGCACGGCTGAAGATGATTGGCCCCTGGCGTCCATCACTACGACATCGCTACTGTGCTAACACACCGTATCTACCTGAGTCTAACCGACCTTATCCATATCAAACATCATGACGCGACGGATAGTAAGTTGCCTCTATGTAGATGAGCTGCTCACCGCATGTCTGTCTAGATAGGTACCCGTCTAGAAGGCTAACGATACCGGTTTTGACTAGGTGCGCACCATAACCCAGCTCGCTGCTGCCGCCGTATTCGCATTCTTCGTCATTTTCCTCTTAGATCGAAATTTCCGACTTCTACCTAATTCCGTCCATGAGTACATGCCTCAGCACCATCATGGCCAAGTCGTCACCGATATAACAATTACGCAATGTTCCAAAGTTAACCTGTTTTCATCCTGCAAGCTCGACCCTGAATCATGGCATCGGGTCGAGAAGAATCTCTATTTAGACAAATCATGGGTCTCCAAGGCCTACATTCATGTCCAGAGAAAGAAAGAGGAGGAGCTGAAAGCGGAAGACAAGGTAGTCGTGGGTGTCACAGTGGGTCGACTAGACCCTTCGACGGGAGCCAAGGGGCAGACGGGTGAAAAGTGGGAGTCTCGTCCAGCGGGCCTATGGGTACTACGGTCATCTAAGCCGACGGCGAGTGATTCTAAGAAAGCTGTTACGGCGATAGATGTTCTCTTCGGTGACGACGCTGTCGAGGTTCGAGACGGGTGGCAGTTCCAGAATACGCCCTTGTTACTTGACGTCGGGCCAGATATACCGAGTGCCCATATCACCGTCCGACAGGGAAGTCAGGTTGAGCCTATAAAACCCCAACCACGAGTGAGGGACAATGGAAAATTCAAGATAATGCAGCTGGCAGATCTTCATTTGAGCACGGGCGTCGGTCATTGCAGAGATGCCGTTCCAGACGAGTATGAAGGTGGACCCTGTCTGGCAGATCTGCGGACTCTAGATTTCGTATCCAAGTTGCTGGACGAAGAAAAGCCTGATCTGGTTGTCCTTAGCGGTGACCAGGTGAATGGTGATACCGCTCCCGATGCGCAATCGGCTATCTTCAAATATGCGCAATTACTCATCAAGCGCAAGATCCCTTACGTATCCATATTCGGTAACCATGACGATGAAGGGTCGTTACCCAGAGCTGGGCAGATGGCGCTGATTGAACAATTACCGTACTCGTTGTCTGTCGCCGGACCAGACGATATCGACGGGGTTGGTAACTACTTTATCGAGGTCCTTGCCCAAGGGAGCTCGAAGCATTCCGCTCTTACGGTATACTTGCTTGATTCTCACTCATATTCTCCGGATGAGCGGCAGTGGAGCGGCTACGACTGGATCAAAAAGAACCAAATCGATTGGTTTAGACAGACTTCGGAGAGCCTGAAGAAGAAGCATAAGGAGTATACTCATATCCACATGGATATCGCCTTTATCCACATTCCTCTCCCGGAATACAGGGATCAGGAGTCGCAGTACGTAGGCGAATTGAGGGAAGGTGTCACGGCCCCCAAGTTCAACTCCGGATTCCGCGATGCCTTAGTTGAGCAAGGTGTCGTCATGGTTAGTTGTGGACAGTATGTATTCCCCATACCCCTTTTTTCTACTACTGACTAACGTTTAATCCTTAAGCGATCATGCAAATGAGTATTGCATGCTATCATCCAATAAGGAGACGAAGAAGCCCGAGCTGTGGATGTGTTATGGTGGCGGTGCCGGATTCGGAGGATACGGCGGTTATGGCGACTTCGTCCGCCGGGTTCGTTTCTTCGACATCGACATGAACGAAGCCCGAATCACAACATACAAGAGACTTGAATACGGCGATACCGTAACTCGTGTCGATGAACAAATCATCGTCGACGGAGGCAGCGTCATATCACCTAAGAATCAGAGCTGAGTACATAAATCATGGGAGGATTTCGAAATTTCAAGTTTAACTTCACGACGTGATGCTATCTCACTCTACCCGCTCTTCGCGCGACGGAGAGCTTGGATGACTACTAACTCACGATTTTGGACTACTTTGGATCGGGATGGTATTCTACGACGTAGCGACGGCGATGACTTTACGTCAGCGCACGAAAAAGAAAAGGGATGCACAGGGCGTTTTGGTGCGACGATAGAGATGGTCGGTAGGCAGGCTATAGTGTTCGCATAGTTCGTGTATTATACGAGACGAGGCGGACGGGTAGCGTATATAACGAGCGGACACCAAAATTAACGGTTGCGGATTTCTACTCCTACGCCTTGGTAGAGTGCTCTCTAGCTTAAGTGCATATATTCGCCCCCTCTCCTGATTAGATATCAAGGCTCGTGGTTAACGTAAATACAGTAACATAGCAAAGAAACTACGGCGCCATCGTGCGGTAATGATATACTAACATATAAGTAGTCCTAGAGGGGGACCTATTCTATGAGGACATGCCACATTAAATCATAGCATCACCATACTAAAATAAAGGGTTAAATTACATCAAGGCTAAGCAATTTCCAATGGCTTCTAGGTGACTTTAAGTAAGTATAGTGGCGTGTAATAAGCGAACAAACGAACAGGCACAGAGGAATTGCATGCATAGGTAATAGGGGGCTTATGTGTGAGGTGAGATTTTCATTATCAGTTCCTAGGTGCCTTGGCTATGTGGCAGAGACACGTTACTTTCGTCTCTTGCTATGGGCGTAAGTAGACTAACTGACTGGCTGGCTGGCTGGCTGGCTACTCTAGGTAAAGGTAAGGAAATAAACTGCTGGGTGTTGGGGGGTGATATGAGAGCGGTTCTTAGTAGTACTTCTATCTTTTTTCTTTTTCCACTTATAATCTTTCTATCTAGATGAGTGAGAGCCGTAGTTAGTATCGCGTGGTGGTGAGTGTATATGTAAGTGGGTGAAGTACTACTGACCTTTTCTTCATCTTTTTTCATTTCAACTCATTTCAACTCATCTCATCTCATCTCATCTCTCTCGCCCCCTCCCCTTTCCTACTCATTCATTCCCTCCTCTCCTCAGTCCAATACTCCAGATCGCTCACCGCATTCTCGATTCCCCGCCGCACCACGCGCAAGCGCACAAACCGAACCGCGAACCGGCGGCAAGGCAGATCCTCCATCTCGTCCGAGACGCCCTCGGCCGCTACCACCCTCATCGAGTCCCAGAACTCATCGTCAAGCGGGTCCAGGCAGTCGGCGCCCTGGATCCGCGCCTGCATGAACAGCGTGATCATGTACTCTGCGCGCGGGCAGCGCAGGGAGTACACGGGCTCCGGGGAGCGGTGGCAGATGGGCGATAGGGCGCCGGGGGGCAGGGCGCGCACGTTCAGGAGGAGCTTGTCGACGAGGGCTTTGCATTCTTGCGCCTGGGCGCGCTCGCTCCGGCGGGTCGGCAGCCCGGGGATGGGGGGGGCGGAGCTTGGTTTGGGGCTGTCCGGGGTGTCGGATCCGGATCCGGAGCTCTCGCTGATGGACTTGTAGTTGACGGTGCTGGAGCCGGGGACGACGACGTAGCTAGATCGCCAGCAGATGGACATTTTGGCGGTTGTAATAATGGAAGCTTGATGCGAGGTTCTTGAAAGAAGGGGGCGGAAAAAAGGGGGTAGGTAAGGTACCTAGTTATGTGTTATTTCTTTGAGACAGGCCTTGGGAAGAATGATTGATTGATTATCTGACTTTGCTTTTACCCTTGGCATCGTCTTAAGGAAGAAGACAGACACTAAAAACCTCTTCTTGTCTGACGGTGAGTAAGAGTAGGAAAGAAAAGGGACAGAAGTCAGGGAACTGGCCTTGTTTATATACTATTCCTGAGGGTAATTCCCCCCCCCCCTCAAGGGACTCGCATCACGAACATTAACAGCGGAGCACAGCCCATAGTCTGCAGGTGTGAACGAGCAGAGACTTTTACTAGCTCCGTGTTCAGGCCCCGATTTTTTTAAACTACATTTCGGAGCTTGTTTGCACCCACCTCCGGAGGAAGGGGCCCGGGGCTGGCACGGAGCTCCGTGGTCTATTATTGGTTGGAAATGTGCTTAGACCGGGCCCGTCTCCGCATACCTACCTAAGGTAAGTATTTCTATTCACATAAACAGCTTGTTTGCTAGGTGCTGTTTCCTTCCCAAGGTAGGAATAGTTTAGTTATTACTCGAGTTTGATGCTCAGCAGTAAGGCGGAGTTTTCAAGGGGTCCGCTTCTTTAAGGGTGAATAGGATTTGAGGGGAAACAACCCCCCTATTTAACGAGATCTAGACTCTCATGGATAGACACATGGTTGGAAAGCACCATTGTGTTACTGGTAGCACATTCCTCAAATAATTACTTGTATTCCTCAAGTCACATTAAGCTCAGTCATTCTCGAAGCCATAAGGTATCTAACAGGTAGGCAACAGTTGGTACCTTAGGTAACCTTCTCACTCTGTGAAAGGCAACTCAAGACATACCTACCTGATGTTACTCTAAAAGGTATCCAATATATTTCGTGTAGGTGTTACATACATAATACTTATAAACTTAATTCTGTCGTCCCTCGCGTTTTCCCGTCCCGGGTCCTCCCGTCCTTGGGAGCTGAGGCTGACTGACACGCGGCCATTTAAAGGGCCTAGCTATTTCATGCAACTAATTTAGTTTCGACGTCAATTTCTAGCAAGATCCTTACTCAATATCCTAGAGGTAGTTATAAAGGCGCTTATTATATTTATTCCGACAAGCATCACTTATATATCATAGAGAATGGCTACGTATTATCTAACTCTTAAGGTACGTAAGTATGCTATTCTACCTACGTATATATTCGGTGCTTGAATTGCCTCTAAATCACTTTATAGAATAAGTCGATGACCAAGTCTTCCTTTTGGTTGGTTTTACTGATTTATTTATTCTAATTGGTGCTGAACGCTTTCAAGGCAGTCTAAGGAACTCTTGAGCGGCGGAGGCTCGAACGAACCGCCGCTTCCTCTGTCTGTCTACAATAGCTAGTGTCTATGAGTTCTTTCTTTCCAAGAGCATTTCCCCTACGACCTCGTCATACATAACACCGTTATAGGTTTGAGGATATATATAAGGTAGTTAGGGGGTGGTTGGTATTGCGTTTAAGCACCGAAGACCTTGAGGCGGTCCTCGATGGGGAGCTGGTCCTTGGGGCCGGGCTCGCCGGCGCGGCCGCCGAAGACGAGCTGGGCGTTGAGCTGCCAGTTGTCGGGGATGCCCCATTCGCTGGCGACCTTGGCGTCGATCAGAGGGTTGTAGTGCTGAAGGTTAGCACCGAGACCCTCGGCGGTGAAAGCGGTCCAGATCGCGAATTGGATCATGGCGTCGGACTGTAGCGCCCAGATGGGGAACTTGTCGCTGTACAGAGAGAACTGGGTCTGCATCTTGTTGACAACCTCCTGGTCCTCGAAGAATAGGACCTATTTGTGTTGTTAGCGACCCCTGTTATGCTAACATATTGGGGAATACCAAGAAGGGAGGGACTTACGGTTCCAGCACCAGCCTTGAATCCGTTCATACGCTGAGCGGTGTGTTCCCAGGCGTCAGCGGGGACGATGGTCTTGAGGATCTCGGAGGTGATATCCCATAGCTTGTCGTGGTCGGCGCCGAAGAGGACGACAACACGGTTGGACTGGGAGTTGAAAGATGAGGGAACCTCCAAGATGGTCTGCTTGACGATCTCCTGGATGCGTTCCTTGGAGGTAGGCAGCTCCTTGTTAAGAGCGTAGTAGGTGCGGCGGTTCTTGATGAGGTCCAGGAAGGACTCGGACTTGGTAGGAGCAGCCATTTTAGGGGTAGTACTGAAGCGTGCCGAGGGCGTGTGGGTGGTCTTGGCTTGGGACTTGGGAGGTTGGCACTGGGAGGCGCTGGAGGTGAACAATGATCTCTGGGAACAGGTTGCTGCGAGAGTCTTGAGGGCTAGACTTGATGTTTTAGGTGTGGTGGCCGAGGTTGTGCTGGTGCTGATGCTGAGTCTAGAGAAGGATAAAACAGCTGAGGTGACAATATGCGGGCGCATCGTGGTCTATTTATTATACGGGAGAGTGGCTTCCTTACTCCCTACTTATATGCTTTGGGTAAGTGCTTCAGGTAAACATATGTTTATGCTAATGATCTAAAACAGAAAGCCCGAGGCGTGCTAATGTATGATGCACTGACAGAATGTACTAACAGAATGTACTAACAGAATGTACTAACAGAATGTACTAACAGAATGTACTAACAGAATGTACTAGAGGGCGAATGGCTGCATGAACAAAGAGGAAGGAAGTGTCCAGAAGCAACGCTATGGTGCCCCCAATATGTATCCCTACCTCCTTAGCATGTGTCGCATGCCCCGCCGACGCAATCGAAATCCTATCGCATAGTAAAAATCGACAGAGGGGTAGAGGTTGAGGTACATTACTTGCAAGGGTGCGAGGTATGGTACTAAGTATTACACACAGCATGTCAGATCGACCCCACCAGAGTTGATCATTTCTACTGCTGTATTTCTAATTACTTTTTGGTAAACTGTCAAGTCTCAGAGGGAGTAATAGTATCAGATTGATGAGGCATACTTATGAGTAGTATAAAGTATACTTTACAATATATAACGTTATACCTTTTTATATAACACTGAGAAAAGCTATAGAAGCACGTCTCAAATTGTATGTTCATTATCTCTTTTGTCTGGTATCTTACGAATCTGCGAATCTACTAAACCGGTATCCACCTCGGACATACCTAGGTTAGGTAAAATCCTTACTACAAAGTTGTGCTTACCCGTAGTTATATGTATCGATGTAGCGTAGCGCAGCGCATATAAGTGGGCGTTATAGGCAGTAAACTACAGGTCAAGTTTCGGTAAGCGCTACGGGGTGGGGCCAACCTGCTGATGATACAACGCCGAACCTGAACTATCTCTGCTTACACATCTATTCATAATCCTCTTCACTGGTTTTAGTCTTGATTTCCAAATCATTTGAAATCCATTTCTAACAAACCTCGAGTCCTTTTCGAGTCAAGCACAGCCCATTTTCGAATCCATGCATCCCGGCTTCTTGTCATTCCCAGCTACTTGATTCGACAGAAAATGGCGATACCGCAGATTTATTTTGTCCCATCCCATTTCCAACAAAAACTTACTACTCCCCCCTCTTTTTTATTTATTTGCTTCCGTTCTTTTCTTAGTAAAATGTGAGGCTCTTTTCTTATAACGTGCTGCACCAAAAAAGGCGATGTTCCACGCGATTTTACCCCGCGCTTCATCTAAAGTCGACTATTATCGCCTTATTAGCCGCCTTCGCGCGTTCGGCACTCGCTTGACGTCGCAACTTGTGTAAGGTATTGGCTATCGGCGCTTAGTTCGATACTACTCGGCTTGTTTTATCTCCATTGCTCTACATTGGTCTTGTCGCTAAAACAATATATTCTTAATTTCTGCTGGGCTTCGTCGGCGTCTCGGCGGTGAGTGCGGCCGCGAACATCGTGGTCTAAGTATATATACTATCCACGCGGCAGTGCTGCTAACCTATAGGCACACAATTCGGCATTAACACGCCAAAACACAAATGCATTTTCTGTAATACGGCCCGTATATTCACACGACATAGTACCTGGTTAATATATACCTTATAGACTGCCGCCTACTTTTGCGGCAGAATTAACGCGGTTATAAGGCTTTGCAAACAAACTCCCGCGTATTACTTCGTACTTAGCCGAGCAATTACTTTGAAGAGCCTATCCGAGATGCATCAGCATGTCAGGAGGCTTCTTTCTAGACGCCTAATCGCGGCGTGGTCAGGAAGCACAGCGACCCCACGGCACGGCACGAGGCACGAGGCACAACCGGTTTCCGAATCGGGCAATTTTCCTTGCCTCTGACCTATCCCGCGTCGAGTTGGCTCATGTCTCTGGTATCACAAGGATTTGCGGATATCAAGCGTCTTACTAATACCCGCCATGCATTGAAGCTTTTATAAGGCTAACCCATCGAATCGTGACAAGGTGAATGTTACTAGTTATTCGGTATCGTAATTTATTCATATTTATATACTCTATATACAGTTTAATTCTCCACGGGCAAAAAACGCATCGTGTAAAGCATCGCATTATCTTGCAGCTTTTACCTAGGTAGGTACATATCGAGGTCCTAGCATCCTTTCATGCAGACTCCCAAGCCGCCAAGCCGCCAACTAGTAAAGAAATGCCCTCCCTGTAAATCGAACCTAACCAGCCTAGTCTTGCCCAGCTCGCGCAAACGCCCAGCCTCTAGGCATCTTATAACACCGCATGCTATGAACAATAAAAACTTTTGTAGGCCCCTAGATTTTATGGGACCTGCCGAGCGACCGTAAGTCTATCCCCATTATAAGCTCACTCCCCCAAGTCTACCAATAGAGCCAATAGAGTCAGTCATTGCCATTACCACGTCTCGGTAATGTACTGTCCGACGTCTCTTTTCAACTCCCAGAATTTCTTTGCCTCGTCATACTTCAAGTTGCCCTTCTTCACGGCCACTTTAATAAGCGCCTCCTCGACACCTTCGCCCATGCCCTTGGAGCTGCCGCAAACGAAGACGCGTCCGTCAACCGAGTTGATGATAGACCATACAAGGTCTGCTTGATGGCTGACCTCATCCTGGACATAACGGCTCTCGCCGCGTCGGCTCTGCACAACCTTCTTCACTCTATCCTCGTGGACACCCCACTCTCCACCGTATAGCTCATCCACGAGAGAATCTCGGACACCCTGAAGTACCCATACCTTGTTGGCACAGTTAGCATTCTTCAGGCGGTGCTGAACAAAGCCACGGAATGGCGCGATGCCGACGCCGGCCCCAATAAGGAGCATCGGACCATCAGACACGAATTCCTTGGCTAACGGGTTCGCCATAAGCCCCTTGAACATCGGGACGTACAGCTGAGGAGCGCTTTCCCCTGCGCGTTGGAGCTCCAAAAATTTGCGACATTGGCGTTCGAAGAAGCCAGAACCGACGCCCGTTCGGCAGCCCGCCCGCCAGTCAGGCGTCTCTTGGATGGTGACGGCTAGCTCAATAAGGCGGTGCTGCTTTCCATCGCGAATCCCATAGGACTCATGGGGGTCATTAGAAAGGGAGTAAAACCGCGGCATCAACTGCTGGAGCACCGAGAACAGCAAATCTAGAGGTGGCTTAGCAGAAGGGAAAGCACTCAAAAGTTGAGCAAGAGAGATGTGCGGGCCAGTGCGCAAGTCGCAAAAGACACCCTGTCCCTGACTAGAGCAGAGGAACATGAGGATCTTCTTCTCGTTAGGGTCGAGAGCGTGCTCAGCTAGAATTCGCAAAAGAGGCTTGGTGGGTGGGTAGGACTGGATATCGGAGCACCACGTAAGCAAATCCCGCCGGGTGGTAACCAACTCGCGGGCCTGATCCTCGCCCCAGACAGTGGGCCATCGGCCACGAGTAGTGCGCAGCAGGACGGGCTTGTCCCGCAAGTAACGCGGAACCAAAAGCAAGTCGAAAACCTGATCCACGGCAGCCGTATCGTTTGGCGCAGAGACACCAATGGCACCTCCGACCTTGAAGTCTACGCCTTCTCCGTGGGGATAGTCGGTAATGTCAAGATCGAAGTGATACGTGCGTTTCTCAGCTCCAGGCCGCGTCAACTCACGGGTGTTGTGAATTTTGGCAGGGAAGACATTGAAGGGGTGGTGTGGCTGGACGAAGGAAGGAGGCTGTATCGAAGTATCGAGGTTCTCGAGGCTAAGGTTTTGGAGTTTGGTCTCGAGGGTGGGAGAGCTGCCTTGGCTTCCCAAAGACACGGCCGAGTCGGTTGGCGATGGAGTGCCCGAGACACGTCGAATGGACTGAAGGAAAGTGATCTGCTCCGGCATGTCCGCAATCTTAGTTAAGACAGTAGGTATCTCATCAATCTTCAAGCCCAAAGAGCGAAAGGCATCATTGTCGGGAAGGGGGACTCGTTCGTACTCGATTCCCTGCTCTTTCTTCTGTTCATTCATGCAACATCCGCCACCACAGCATCGATTAAGCAATTGCTGTGTAGATTCGCCTGTGATTCTCTGCACGTCTGCTGGGCTCTGTGCAATTAGTCTTGTCGAGGCACGCCGCCTTCGAGGAGTCTCCTCTGGTGCCTGGAGCTCATCTTGATCTTCAGAGTCCTCAGAATATGTGAGGGACGGCGCGATAGAAGGAGTGAGAGTCTCCTCCTCGGACACGTAGCCGGATGTCGAGTCGACGGGCTGTTCGACTCCAACCGACATAGTCACCGAATTATATCAATCCCGTAAAGCTTTTTCAAGAGGACTACCCGTCGATCAAATTGGCCGCAACTAGAGTAATAAAGCGAAACTATGACAGATAGAATCAACCACCTTGACGGCGTTCGTCGGGAAATTGATTGGTGGGGGAGGGGTCAAGAAATTGGAGATGACCGTCTTTTTTTCTTCTTTCCCTCTTTACGCGTCGTGTTGCCGAGGAATTATCGACGTCCGTTTTTTTTGGAGAATATGTTCTGGGGTGTCTCTCGAAGCAAGGTGGAAAATGTGGGGGTTCCCAGAGGTGTGGTGATATTTAAATGCACCACAAAGAACAGCAAAGACACCTTCTGTTTTATAATTATATCGAGGTTGTGTGGCCAACCAAATTAACAATGTGAATAGCGAACAGTAGGAAAAAGGACAGACTCGTAATCGAACCGTGAAAAGGGGTAGAAAAGGAGAGTTGTACGATAATATCGTGACACTAATGAGGTCGTTTGTGGAATTAGACCGGTTAGTAAGTAAATTTCTTCAGAAGGTGTCGATCTGTTATATTTCAATTATTTTTGTTGAAGTGATGATGACAGGGGGGGGATCCCAAGGGGAAAGAAGGGGCAAAAGCGAAAAACCCTATCAGATGGTCAGATTGGCACCTGCAGCAATTAAAGGTGGGACGGTAAATGCTGGCCGGGTTTCTTTGATACTGTGTACCTAGGTACTTAGTATTTTGCGAGGTCGCACAGGCTGACAGGCTGAAGGATAAACTCGGTGTCACTGTCGATTGTTAATCTATCAATTGTTAATTCGCGGCAGGCTTTGCCCCGTGAGTTAGTAAGTTACCTAAATATTAATAATACTTATTTAACTATCTCCTATTTTCATGTCAGATTAGGTATGCCTTCGTAGGTACCTATATTATTGCTTATTTGTCTATTATCTATTATCACTAATCTATCTACCTCGGGTATCACTTAACTACCGATTATGCCTAAACCTTCCCTCTTTGTTGGGTCGACATGCTTAGCGCTACGATGGCGACGGCGAACAATGATAGGAGAGGGGGAATGATATAGCGGCAATGCTCATCAACTTCTTTTTCTCGCGGCAGTATGATTGTCTTGCTCTCTTGCTCAATTATTAAAGCTACACTTTCCTGGTTGGTTCGTCAAGAATTGCACAATATTTCATCACTTGACCATCTGGCTCAATGGTATTGGTCTGAATCTGCTGCTGCCCGCTACCCCGGATCGTCTTCCTCCAAAAAATCGGGGCCTTCTCACACCGAAATATGCGAATACGGTGTCATCATTCGACATGATCTAGCCCAGTTTTCTTCCTCGGCTGCAATCCAAGCCAAAATAAGTGCAACACCGGCTGAGAGGCTTGGTGGAGTTGGCAACTGAACGCGACGGGGCCTGCGGGCGCACTCTGCCGACTGAGAACCGTTCTTCCGTGCCAAGTACATACGATACTAACCCTGTTATGGTGTGGTCATATAACCCGTAATCCTGGACAACGTTTTTCTCTTGCGATCGATGCTTTACTATGTAAATCTAGCTAAATACCGTCAAGTCGTATTAATTGGCATAATAGGAAACCGTTAACGCCTCTATCAATCGGTGAAACGACGCAATTGCAAATAGTGACGATATAATTATACAGTTGAGACATTTTGATCTATTAACGTAATGGGGGCTGTTGCACAGTCCCGCGTTTACACGGTTCTGGAAGCACAGTGCCTTTTTACTGTGAGATAACCGACACAAGCGATATGGGGAGCACAGCATTGCTTTGAAGGATTGGGGGATCGGGGGATCGGGCGGGCAGTAATCTAATCAATCAAACAACTAACTCACCACAGCACAGACAGCACAGACACAAACTCTTTATCAATCTGATCAACGTGTTTCGCCGATATCGGATCTTACAGCGTAGGTAAGCGTACCTAGGTAATCCACCTTTTTTTACTTTTCTAATGATCAAGGTTACATTACATACATAGGCGGCTTACCTAAAGTAATGTCTCAAAAGGAAGCAAGCAGTTTCGATCAGATAAGGAGCTTGGACCTGAGCCTCGTTTTTCAATTACCTCATATCCAATTCCCCGGAAATGAAGCCACGTACCGACAAAATTAAAATACTCCGTAGTCGTACCTAGGACCCGGCATCCGACCTGGGTTTGCATTGAGGCTCAATATCGTGTAGATTCAATACATATCATCAATCGACAGTGCCTTTTCAGGTGAGATGACATGAGCGCCTCGCTCCGTTTCGAAACATTCCATCTATCGTACCATACCCCTGGATTCGCCCACTGTTTCTACACCGCGAATCAAGGCTGAGGCTGACATGGAAATTTCCATCTTTCGCTTTTTTTCATTTGCTTTTCTCGCTTAAAGAAAATATCCCGGCCTCAACAATTCCGGATGCATTGGCTGCCGGTCACGCCACGACTGAGTACTGCAGCTACAACATGCATACATATGTATCATAAGCCTGACGAGAAATCCACTTGTTGGCTCTGTCCCAATCATCAGGGGGCTTTTGATCTGATAAGATTTCCGCAGATCATTGGCAGGCGTATGTATTTATTTTGGGAAACGCTTCATCGTCCACCATGTGGCATTGCTCCATATACATAACAACCGTAGTAGCTAAACTGGAGAATTCGGTTTCTCGAAGAGTCCTAAGCCACTGGTTCTATTTGTACATATGACACTAGAATCGTGACGAAGCTTACATTCGCATTTCCCCAACTAAACCCTCAGGCTAGCAAACGCCCTTTCACATGCCTAGAAGTCGTACAAGTCAACCCAAAATACCGGTTCACTACCTATCGGCAGAACGGAACGTATTTCTATGTGCAACAAGGTCTTATCTTAGGGGCCTTAACACGGTGCTACATATCCGGGTTAATCCGGATGCTCCGATGCACTAGGTGGTCTATTTCGAGGGGAAAGGGGCTCGTCCCTATATTCTTGAACTATCGAAATAATTCACAATACCTACTACCTATCCACGGTTCTAGAGGTTTTTTTACTTAGACAAGTCGAAGTAATAATGGCCGATATGCTTAAAGGGAATTAGACCAGTTATGAGATGTTATCTCATCTAACTCTCGGTGTCTATTACAGGTAGGCATCCTATCTACATTGTGTCACTCCCTTTTTGAGAGTCCCAGGACACAATAACTGCCTTAGGTATGGGCATATACCAGTTTAAGTATGTCTTCAGTATGCCCGAGTCTCGCAAGTTATCGCTATGTTTGGATCTGACAAGAGAGACCTAGTGACGTTGTTGCTTGCGCGTTCAGGTTATCTCACAAAGTTTAAATGGCTATTATATGTCAGCATCCCTTGATATTTGCGTGCCATGGCTGAATTCCATGGTTGCAATCATTATTCTAACAATGGCGAAGAACCGGATTCAAGTTGCAATTGTAGGAGGCGGCATCGCCGGCCTTGCTCTCGCGGCGGGCTTGGTTAAGAAACGGCATATTGATGTTCATGTCTATGAGTCGGTCTCGGCTTACAAAGATATTGGTGCGGGCCTAGCCCTTCACCTCAATGCTATTAAAGCCATGGCGCTTATCGGACCTGAAGTAAGACAGGCGTACTTTGATATGGCTCTGTCTATGGGCGACGAGAACCAGGAGATGGTAACCGAGGTAATTCTAGGTCAGGGGCCACATAAAGGCCAGCTGGTAGCGGAACTTGGTAGGGCGAAGGGAAGAAAGACAGTCAGCCGAGCTGACTTACTGGAGGGCTTTCTAGCACTAATTCCAAAGGAAACCATCAGCTTTGGTAAGAAACTCGTCGATGTTAAAGAGCAAAACTCCAGCAAGCCTAATGTCCATCTGACCTTCCAAGACGGAACCGAGGTCAAAGTTGACTGCCTCCTAGGGGCAGACGGAGTACACAGTGTGACCCGTAGCTACCTTCTCGGGGCAGACCATTCCGCTACGTCGCCTAAAAACCATGACAGGTGGCAGATTTACCGGACTATGGTGCCGACTGATGAGGCGAGGAAGCAGATCAACCCCAAGTGGACTACGAATGTTCCCATTCTCCTCGGACCAAGAGGCCACGTCAACTGCATCCCATTAAATAAGAACACACGTCTGAGCGCCGGCGTCGCTGTGCGTGGTGCCTTCTTCTCGACGATCGACGGCTGTGCTCCACCGCTCGACCCAGCCTTGTACGCCGACTACAGCGAAGAGGCCCAGCAGATAGTGCGGATGGTAGCCAAGGATACAAGCTCATCCTGGACGGTAGCAGACCACGACCACGCGCCCTACTACGCACGGGGCCGTGTCGCTATGCTCGGCGACGCAGCACATACCGCGATGCCGTTCTCCGGTAACGGTGCAGCCCAAGCTCTCGAAGACGCGGCTGTGCTCGATTACCTCCTCGCTCACGTCGAGCGTCCGGAGCAGATCGAGCATGCTCTTCGGGCCTTCGACGAGGTCCGAAGGCCTCGGAGCCAGGCGGTTGTGGATCTCGCGCGCAAGTTCGGGCGGGTGTATGCGTATGCTGAGGACGGCATGCATGAGGATCCGGCGAGGATGATGGAGTTTTTTGGCGAGATGGCGGCTTTTACGAATGAGTTTGATGTTAAGGGGCAGAACGAGGCGGCCTTAAAGGCGTTTGTGAGATTGGATATGGATAATGGGGAGACCGATGGGAAGGCGAACGGAGTTGCGAAGAGTTAACTGACTTCCCACCTAGACACATATTCGATATATTCTAGTTATAATACTACATGAGCACAATATGGGTAGGCATAGAAAGGAACCGAAAGAATGTCTAATGAATTATTCGGTTTGAATGTAAATATTATTTCATTGCGCTTACAAAAGATTTCCAACTACATTTATTCTCCCTTTTCTATACTAACCCAGCCCTATAACGCATGCAAAACCCAAACTAGAATCCCGAATAAAGATTATACAATACCCAAGGAACAACATCTCGCAATGACCAGCATATTCATTTTTCGTCCAATCGTACATCTAAATGTTCCGATGATCCTTTATTTTTTCTTAACCTTTTTTTTTTTTTTGTACAACTCGACACGATATACGAACAAGTTATATATATATATATATATATATACCTATATACCCATTAACCTTTATACCCTTATTCCGAATTAACCACCCCCATCCCATCCCAACCTAACCTAGGTATCCTAACCCCCCTAAGTCGCCGGCGCAAACCTCTCCCCCGCATCCGCCAACCCCCTAAGCTTGAACGCGCGCAGCGACGTTATAGATTGCATGGAGACGTGACCGTGAGTATGGTCGTGGCCCGCAACGCTTCTCGCGCTAGATCTTGACGTAGATCGGACACGCGAGTTTGTAGTAGACATAGACATAGACCTAGACACAGACACAGACGCCGACCTAGATATAGACGCCGGTGCGTCGCTGCGCGGACGTCGTGTGTTTAGCTGTCCCATCACGGAGCTTAGTGCCGCGTGGGCATTAGTCTTGGGGTGTCCGGGTACGGACGGTGTTGGGTAGCCGCCGATTACGGGGTAGTGCGGCAGGTGTTGCGGCTGCTCGTGATGCGGCGGCAGGTGTGGCGTGTGATGGGCCGTGGAAGCGCTCTGTCGGCTGTGAAGAGTTCGGGATTGGTTAAGCTTGCTGAGGAGCATCTCGGCTGATGACGACATGCTGTTGGATGGGCGGCGGACTAGGGATGTAGAACGGCTGGATCCGCGGCTAGACGGGGGTGTAGGGAGTCTGGTAACGTGGCCGGCTAGATCCTTGACGCTGAGACCTGCCATCATGGCGTTCATCTCGGGGGTGTCTGCTGGCGGCGTGTGGAGACCAGTGTGTCCTAGAGCGGACCTCTGTAGCTCTTCGAAGCTCATGGGCATCGGAGGCATCTTGCTGAGCCTACGAATTGCTTTATTATTCTTCTCTACGAAGCTATTCATAGCTAGTAAAGAACCTGCATTATCCCGCATTGCGACTGCGCTCGCGTCTCCCGAGCTCCTCCCTCGGGCCTGGTGTACGGCGTTTAACGTGAGAGGTTGCTGCGGCATGCTTGGCTGGAATTCGATTTGTGCCGAGCCTAAGGTTGCTCGTACTTGAGACATGACGCGGTCGAAATCGACGTTCTGGTTGGGATTAGCACGGGACACGTAGTATGACGATTGCTGTCCCGCTGTGAGAACATCGGCGGCGGCTTTATGTGCCATGATAAACAAACTTCCATCCCAAATGCACCGTCGCACGAGAGCCCATCGGGTTCTGGCGGGGTTGCGCTCGAGCTCTGGCCTGTATACTGAGCACTGGGCAAGCTGGGCATAGAAAATCCCTAGACGACGTGAAATTCGCTCGAGAATCTGGAGAAGGAAGCTTGAGAGAGCTGTGAGGCGATTGGCATCGAAATCCGGGTCCTGCATCTTGTCGGACGAGCTATATGTGCTCGCAATACTGTCAAAAGCGTCCATGCCAGTCCCTATTTCTTGGCGGAGATCCTCAAGCAATTCTATGTCTAGCTCTACACTCTTAGCTGCGTAAGCGAAGACACCACGCTCGTGGAAACGGAGGGCATCTGAGGTGCCGCAGATGAACTGGCCAACAAGTGCTACTTCGTTCGTACACTGTATAGCATCCGAACTAGTATTCGCACGTGCGACCGCTCCCAGCACGTCTGGTAGTTGGATATTTGCTCCAGAACCACCCGCATTAGCGAGGCTAAATGAGAGCTTGAGTACCAGTTCCTGTAGCTTAGCACCGAACAGGGCGGTAAACCCCCCTTGTAGTAATCTGCTCTGGTAACCATAAAAGGTGCGAATAGCGATGATGTTGGGTAGGTCTTCACGGAGCCAGATATTGGAAGACCCAGATGGGTCGTAAGCCGAGGATGATTTCGATGAAGCACCCTGAATTTCGTACATCTCGATTTGATGTGCCACCAGCGTTTCAACCGTGGTACGTAGATAACCTGCCCACAGATCATACAGAGCAGACATTTCTTCCTCGCCACCTTGGTAATCGGGTTTTGGTGTTAGGTGTCCGACGAAATACTTAGTCAAGAGACTAGAAACTTCAGGATTATTGGTATGAGCTAGATTGTCAAAGGACTTGGAACAGTCTACGCCAGCATTAGACTTGATCATTTGTATGCCTCCTGGGTGCATAGGGCCAAAGTCTGTGACGTCGTATACGCTCCCGTGAACTCCAATCCACATACGGGATCCCGGCCTATGACCAGTATGCTGGGCGAGTTGAGATAATGGAATTGTTGGTAGGTTGCAAGGGAGGGGCTTAGGGGTCATGAAAACGTCGAGCATGAATCGTCGCTCCGCGAAGGCTTTATTGATGATAAGGTCGACGTTTTCCATAGTTGCTGTGCAGTGAGTATAGATTGCTTTGCGGATTCCGTTCATCACGGAATCAAAGACAGCAACAGAGCCGCACACGTAGAGGTACCCGCCTAAACCTCCCTGCTTTTTCGACATGACGAGATCCGATATAGGGGCACCTTGCTCAACGATTAGAGTATCGATGTAGCGAGGAGGGATATGCTTCTCAACCAGGTCGTGTGTGTGCGGGTCGTAAGCGAGGCCGCGGGAATCCCTCGAGAAGGCTACGTGAACTTCCATAAAATCCGCATTCACGTACTCTCTCAGCTCATCCTCAAAGCAAAATTTCTCGCGCGACTGAACACCCAAGTATAAGTGATTCTTGCCTCCAGACAAGCCACTGGTATTCAAGCGATATTGCCAGAAGCTTCGGAATGGAGCGATTCCGCTGCCACCGGCGAAGAATGCACAGGGGGCCATATTATCCAAAGGCAGATGGAAAGCCAGAGGCCGGGATACACCGACAAGGATCTCGTCGTCAGATACCATATCGTCGGATGGGGGATGCGGGTTAAAGAAGCCACTTGAGACGCCAGCACGATTTATGTCATTCTGCTTGGAAAATGTAGAGCAAAGTTTGTACTCGGCACGCGAGATGGCCAAATCAACAGTGCTTGGGAGAAGCTCGTCTGTATAGCTGGCTATAGAGTATGTGCGAGGCACTTCGACCGGGATGAGATCGGCTAGCCATGAAAGGTTGTCGAGGTTGAATGCCTTATCCCATATTTGCGCTGGAGTATCCATAAGTGCGCCCTGCAGTAAATCACCTAGCGAGCCTCGGACGGGCCATTCGTCAGTGGCTAAGACTTGAAGGACGGTGTTCGAGGAAGCAGCAACGAGGCCATGGATTTTTAGGGCGAGCTTCTTTGTAATGGGTGCTAGATGACCTCGACGAAGTATATCGGCCACAGTCAGCTTCTTTGCTGTTGTTCTTCTGACAGACGCTAGATGCTGCTCGAATCGAGACCATGTCCCGGTAACATCAACCGGATCGTCGATACGGGTCTCCAATCCTAAAGCGGCGGCAACCTTAGCACATTCTTCCCAGCTGTTAAGGGGCATGACTGCGAGACGGTCTCCAGCCATGAAAGTGATTCCCGTATCTTGGATATCCAGAGTTACTAAGGCAATCGATCGCGTGGGGTCGGAGTCGACATGGGATCGATTCAGGACTCTGGTCACATAGCGGCATTCTTCGAAGGTACCTCTCATCTGATGTGGCTCGACCGGCAGACTCCCACCTACATATCACACACAGCGTTAGCTTCTGGGACGAAATTCTCTTTCTGAATTCATCCGTGACTTACGGTATGGTTCAAGACGTTCTTTCATAGCATCTGAAAACTGCTTGTGGGTCTCTTCCCATGGACGCGACGCATCTGCAGCGCCAGATAGGCCGTTCGTTTCAGTACGTCCTGTCTTCGCAGCGATCTCCAGAATACCGAAGACTTTGTAACGATGAGTGCCCATGAAACCCCGCTCGCCTGTGTATGCCTCGATAATGCCATCCAACACACCCATCAGTCGTGGATCGCCAGACTGCTGGACAAATTCGGGGATGCGGTAGTGATACTCAATGGCAGCAATAAAGGCTCGAAGGTTAGAAGGAAGCCAGGCCCTCAGATGTACGCCCTCTGCACCAAGGAAGGATGTGTATCTATTAAGAATGAGCAGCTGTACCTTTATATTATAAATTGAAAGGTGTGGGAATAAGTATTGAGACTAGTTATCCCAGTAGCAATATTACCCCTGGAGTCCTTTTCTCATGGTTGTCTAACTTACTTCTTCCGTCCTAGAAATGCATCCATGACCAGATAGGGCGGGAATTGCAGACCTGAAGAAGCTGGACATCTCCTGGATAAAGGCGCAGAAAATTTGGCCCAACGAACCCACTGGTGAACCGGGACGTAGTTCTCCCCCGAGTTCGGGTTAACATTGATAGAATGAAAAGCGTTGGGCATCCGTTCCAGAATTTCCTTCAGTCGAATCATCTCACGGAGAAGTCCTTCTACGTTCCTGTTCATGACGTGCTCTTGACACGCAGCAATTGCGTCTGGGCCATGTTGGAAGGACGCTATGAAAATCAATATTTGAACAGAAAATGGATAGGATGCTATGCTTACCTGACGTTTCAGCGCAACCTTTCAGGAAAGCTACCTCAGCTTTCTCACCAAACATAGGCCAACGAAGATCTATGTTCTCAGAGCGTGCAATATAGGGATAAGTTGAGGTAGGATCTCGGATCTTGATATTGTAAGAGGACTGGTCGGGGAAGGTAAGATGAGGGAGAGTCCGGCCCATGCGTCGTGAGATCTGGTAATACGGCAAAGCTACACACCGCGGGATACCAACCAACTCCTCACCAAACTCATCGCCCATTGGGACGTTAGGCCTCTTCTTCTTAGTACGCGTAGAAGTAATACCGTCGCTACCATCATATTTTTCTTCGAAACGATATATTGAGCATATCACTATGGAGTTCAATGTTAGTATTCATAGAGTATAAAAGAGGTAGGGATATGTGTAATGAAATGTAATCCACGAGTATATGGCCCTTTAAACCGTGCCAGTTTTTCGGTGTCTAAAGCAAGGAGTCAAGGGGTAACAAGCCACTATAACGCATACTTACTCCCTAAAGCTACTAGAGCTGCCCACAACGCTTGGTCCGGGATCACCTCTTTGATTCCTTCGACGAGGGGAAGCGCTGCAACGGATTCTTGGACACGCCCTCTTGCAACGCAACCGGGCATACGCTCGCAGAGATCGGCCCATACCCGACCGGGAGTCCTTGCTAATGCGCCGGCGGCCTCTTCGTAGTCCGGTGGGCAGAAACCGTGCTCTGCACTGAGATAGCCGTCTAACCAACCAGTTTTTGGGCCGATCTCCTCTGCTCTCAGCATAACCTGCCTTGCTGGCGCGCCTAACGCTACGGCTAGTAAATCTTGCTCTCGAACGTTGAAGGCATCGAGCTCTGCTTGAGTCTTGACCGCGTTAATTTCCTGGACCGATGGAATATTTGTATAAAGCAACTGATTTATCGATTTGCGTTCTCTACATAAGCTATTTTTAGCTGGTGTAAGTCAGTCAGTCTATTCTCAAATTCGTACCTCATCCGGAGCCATTCCCCGGCATCAACGCCCCGCGGAATCTATTGCCATTAGCTGATTATCGACGACTTTAGGCTTACAACTTAACTTACATCAAAGGCTGCATGAAGGTCTACTGGTTGGCTATATCCTGAAAAGGCACAACCTCGAGGTCCCATTCGACTATTACTTCTGCTTCTGCTTGAATCTGCGTGTCCTACAGGACATCTTCCTCCAACGGAGCCAGAGACTGGACACGAGTATTCTGACATGACTATTATATCGGAAATATGGGTATAAAACTTGTCAGTATCTTGATCCGGACTAAATTTGGAACGATCGTAAGGCCGCCAGGGCAAAAACAAAAACACCACCAGGGCAGGCTGAATAGAGAACGGTTATTCTTTTTCTCGTGGAAGAGAATATTAAGCACCAAGTGTGTAGTTGAAGCAAAGATACGGTGGGATTCAATGGAATTTCCGTAGACTTAACAAGATCTAGACTTTGACCTGGGTGGAGACATTTTACCGACTAGAGTAACCAGTAAGAAGCTTGATAGCTTGACGATACCTGGTAAGACGTAATGTATATTAGCGGCGGTGATGCCGGTGTCACATAAAAAGATAGACCAAGATCATCTCCGTGCGACGCGTAATCTCCTATACTCTAATAAGGGGACGATGCCATCAGTTAAGGACCAGTCGAAGCGAAACATGCCAAGATAGGAGTAACTTTTATGGGTTGAGGACTGGGATGAAACTTGGCGTCCCATAGCTATAAAAAAAAAATTTCCAGTCTTTACTGGAGAACGATATAGATCTGGGGTCTAGGAAGACACCTGAACAACACATTTCATTTGGACTTTGCGGCGGTTCAGCTGTAGTTGCCATCCTATCAATGTCCTGAGATTCTGCCATACGACGAGACTCGCGGCTTAAATTGCCTAATCCAGCTCCGTCGCGGATAGGCTGTTCGCAGTCTCTTCCAATATTCGAGTTCAAGGATGACAACATGATTTAAGGTTGATAAAGGTCGTATGTATGTTAGCGATATCTTGCTCAACTGACCTACTGGAGAACTGTATATCGTGTTAGGCACTTCAATTGGCCTTCAATTATACAGCCTAGCCTCTCCTAACTCCCTAGAGGATGCTAAGTTTGAAATGAAAGAGTTTTGAAGACGGCAGGTGTAATTCTAGAAGTTGAATACCAAGGCGCGGATCCTTCCTTTAAAAGAAGTAAGGCAATTACAGGGGTCAAAAACGTATGCCATGTAACTCCATTAATGAAACAGTGCTAGCCTCATTAAAGAGCCCCATTACCTAATGATTAATGGCATTTCTATGCTTATTATTGGCTTATTCTAGAGCTAGTACTGTGCACGGTTATTATTGCACATGGTACCTGAAATGTTTCGCGTCGTACTTGTGTTACTACCTTAAGGTTATGTAGCTTGCGGCTACATAATGATCTTCTGATCTTCGTCTAGTTATCATGAATACATACCTCATAAGTAGGTACCTACCTAATCTCATAATTTGAGGCGTGTAAATACACGAAATAACACGTCAAGAAGAGTGTAATAAGACTTATAATAAGCTTCAATGTTTACGTTATTCTGTATCAATATGGCAATGTCAAGGGTTCAGTAAAATCTAGAAAAAGTTGGATAGGTACATGCTAATATTAGCACCAGCTTGCCCCTTTCAGATGTTTTGGTTAAAATACTGCTTCACAACCTAGGTAGTGGCGATTTCGTGCAAAACTAGTCCATGTTGTCGATCAAGCCGCCTGGTGAAACGATATCAATCCCAAAAGCATCAATTGCCAAGCTTAAATTAGGTAACTTTTCATATAGGTAGGTATGTTTTAAATGCCTGATATACTTATCTATTAAATTCTTGTAACTTGTCGTGGCTGTCGTGATATTTCCAAGAAATCACACAAGGCGCCATTTAGAGTAAAGTCACAAGGTTTTACTCTTTAAAATATACAAGATCTTGTAAGTAGAGGTCTATACATATTAGAGCATATCGAGACAAGTATGAGTTCTTATCATATTGAAATAATGACCATATAGGCCGGGGTATCATATGCTTTATATATATATCTTAAATTTTCCACCTATGGCGTTTTACTCTTCTTTGGTAAAGGGCGCTCAGCTTCGGACCTGCTATCAGTATCCTTCTTCCTCTTCTTCCCCTGGAGTAATTCTCGCTTCTCTTGTTTCCGTGCTTCTTTATCTAATTTTCCGATGACCTTGCTCTCCTTGCCGCATGGCCAATTTTCAAAAGCTGCCGCTTCCTGTGCTTCTGTCCAGTCCTGCGGCAGCAGTGCGAAGACGAGATATGAAGTATGCGTCTTGATCTCCGGTTCTGTCCGATGAATCACTCTCCCTACCATCCAGGGTTTAACTGATTGAGCATTTTCGGTGCCATTGCCTAGCATAGATGTTTTATTGCCGTCGATAGGATTACTATCGGCCGTCGCCTCGTCATCTTCACCCATCTCAACATCGTCGTCACGAGATTGACCGCGAAAATTCTTGATTCGACCTTCGACTTCCTGTAATTTGGCGATAGCCTCTGCAACATTTGCTGCTGTCTGGCTCGCGTTTCGATCCCCCGCAGGCAAGTTTAAACCAATCCGCTCTCGCATGACATTTATCCTCCTATGTGCAACTTCAACCATTTCGATTTCCATCCAGCCTAAGCGGCGCATGACGTCAATAGTCCTAGTAACCTGTTCAATGCACGGGGAAAAAGTGCAAAGATAGGCAGTCCGATCCGAACGAAGCGGGGATTTCCATTCAGATCCAGCATCTTCAAGATTATCTAGCCCGCAGCTTGAGAGTTGAGACGGTGTTGGTCTGCTTCTCGCTAGATGGGGAAGTGCCTTCCAAGGTGCTGGTAGGTCGAGGAAGATACATTCAGCTCCGGGACTTTCGCCGTCGACAAGAAAGCCATCATTATAGACATCTCTGTGGGTAATCTGAACGATTCCATCTAAGCGATGATCCTCAATTTCCTTTTGCATCTTCTGATATCGATCTTGGTTAAACTCGAAACTGAAAACTTTGCCCTTCGCATCGTATGCGCCTTTGGGGTAACCATTATAAACGGCCCTAGCGGAAGCGTGCGTAAAACTGCCGCTCCCTGCTCCGGCCTCAATTATCTTCATACCAGGACGGGCGCGGATCCGGTGAAGAATGTAGCTGTAGTCAGGCGTATATACTACTTGAGTTCGATGTGGTAAACCCGTTGTCCATAACTCAGGGGTAGGAGGTAGAATGTGGATGAAACCACTCGGCGCCGTCTTGACGTCCTTGGTTTCCGCTGTGCTCGATACGACACCCTCTGTACGATTATCTAGCCCCTCACTATCTGCGCTACGTTCAAGTTTCAGCTTTCTACCTCTAGAACCGGTGTCCACAACCGAGGCGCGTATCTGCGAACCCCAAGGTTTATCGAGTAAAGTTGAATGTGGAAATGAGCCAAATCGCGTATTTAAAACTGGCCCTTCAACATATCCGTCAGTTGTACCAGAAGCCTCTCTTAAGTAAATAGGCTGAATGCTATCTCGAGATAGATGAGCTAGAACCAATGTATTTAATGTCGTCCGAGGACCAGGGTCGAGAAATGGCGAGACAGCCGACATATTAATGTATTTCGTTTCGAGTATGTAATAAACTAGCTCACAATTGACAAAAATGAGGTGTTGAGGTTGCGTATATGCATAGTAGACGAAGAATTGAATATCTGTTGAGTTTCGAGGCTAAGAAAAAAAAACCTGGGTAAGGCTGAGAGAACAAGGGATGGAGGGGCACTTTTGGTAATCGATAGCGTTATCTACTTTGCGGTATGAGATAACTAGAGGGGTAGCGGAACCTAGAATACCGATAATCTGTATGTACATAATGTACTGCGCATCAACACAAGCAGGGGAATAATGTTCCGAATAATGTTCCTAACTTCAACAAAAGTTGAATCTGAGAATTGATTTTCGTTTGGTAGATCCTAGACTAATTATATTTAGCTTAATAATAAACCATGTTTCAATTCTGTGCAACTAATAATATGCTTATTTCCTAAAAGGAAGGCGCTCTATGTGTGGCACTATCACATGGTGAAGGTACGAGGGCTTAATTTAGCTGAGGCATTGTGGCATGTACTTTTTCTGCAGTGCCAACCCAAATTGCGACATTGTCTCTGTGACTCAAAAATAGTCTTTTGCATCTTTTGCATAGCTGACTCCAAATTATTTATGACAAATCCCCCCCCTTTGCTTCTACTCTCATGTATGTTCGTCTTGATGAACTTCCTCTTCTTTAGAGTATCAAGGCGGCATATATTTAATACTCGTGCAACCCAATACTTAGCACGTAGAGGTTTTGCGACACACCCCACCATGTCTTCCACGATCCGGGTTCATAACTCCCTAAAGCCAGGAGGGCCAGTACCCTTCGTTCCAATTGAGAAGGGAAAAGTCTCCTGGTATGCCTGCGGTCCGACTGTCTACGACCAGAGCCATTTAGGTCATGCGCGCAATTATGTCTCGACCGACATTATACGACGTATCCTGTTGCACTACTTTGGGTTTGACGTCAAGTTCGTTATGAACTTTACAGATGTAGACGATAAGGTGCGAATACTATCTATCTAAGTAGTTGTTAAGGATATAATTACATGACTAACTCTATATAAGATTATAATAAAAGCCCGGAGACAACGTTTGCTCGACCTCGAGAAACAAAAGAACTACACAGACGCCGAGACCATAGAATTAGCGAAAGCTGCGTTCCGAGCATATGCGAAGAGCAATCTCCCTAAAATTCTCGAAGGCGAGGGTGAGCTAGATGTCAACAATTATATTCCGCGAAGAGATGCAGCGTATGGAAATGTATTGGCAGGGGGTACTCTGACAGGAGAAGGCAAGCCAGGGGACGCCGAGGCAAAGCTGAAGATGCATATAAGCAATATGACCACCGCAGTCATCGCTATCGGTGGTAACCAGGTATTCGGGGGTGCCGACGAGATCTTGCTGCCGTATCTGGATTCCCTATATAAGGAAACCATCGATACGAGCGATCAGTCAATCTTCACCGATCTAACCAAGTTTATGGAAGGCGAATTTACTGACGATATGGATGCTCTGAACGTGCTTCGCCCTGATGTAGTTACGCGAGTTACCGAATATGTACCCCAAATCGCTAAATTCGTTGAGAAGGTTGTCGAAAAGGGTTATGCGTACGAAGCTGAGGGATCCGTCTACTTCGATATTGCAGCGTTTGAGAAGGCGGGAAATACGTATGCGAGATTACGACCGGATAGTCGCAATGACAAGGCGCTACAAGAAGAAGGCGAGGGCTCCTTATCCAAGGGCCTCGGCGGGAAGAAGGGTGCCGGTGATTTTGCACTATGGAAGAAGTCCAAGCCAGGTGAACCGTACTGGCCAAGCAAATGGGGCAATGGACGGCCAGGATGGCATATTGAATGCTCAGTAATGGCGTCCGATGTCCTGGGTTCACGTATGGACCTCCATAGTGGTGGTATCGATCTGGCATTCCCGCATCACGACAATGAACTGGCCCAAAGCGAGGCGTATTTCTGCGAACACGGTCATGAACATACCTGGGTCAACTATTTCCTGCACATGGGCCACTTATCGATTTCCGGGTCGAAAATGTCCAAATCCCTCAAGAATTTCCAGACAATCAAGGATGCGTTGGCATCAACATATACAGCACGGTCAATGCGCATAGTATTCCTTCTCGGCAGATGGAACGACGGTGTTGAAATATCGCCGGACATGAGAACTCAAGCCGACAGCTGGGAAAGCCTGGTCAATGTAAGCTGCCTACTAGTTCCTCGACTGCAAATGCCTACTAATACCACTAGAACTTTTTCACGAACACAAAATCGCTTCTAGCCGAGGCAGCCGGCTCTTCGACGACCGTGGATGGTGGTATGAAGGCACTCTCGATAATTGACAAATCCCAAGAAGGCTTACGAGCCGATTTAGAACAAGCTAAAAAAGACGTTGAAGAAGCCTTTACTAACTCTTTTGATACGCCACAAGTCTTACGAGCAATAGCGGAAGTCATTCGGAAAGCCAACGTTCATATTAATACTCAGAAGTCTGATGTGGACCTGCCGGCAGTTGAAGCAATTGCAAGGTGGATTACCAAGATAGTTGGCATCCTTGGTCTCGACGCGAATGCGAGCCCTCCTTATGAAGGTCTCGGTTGGGTTTCTGCCGCCGCGGCGACTAACCAAGATCCGACAACGGCCGTGCAGCCATATAAGACTGCATATGAGACCATCTATTCCGACGTGCGGGCTCTGAAGCTCCCTCCATCTGAAACTATCACCAATCTTCTCTCTCAATCACCGGATCCGGAGTTTGATTCTTTAGCTAGTGCTGGAACTAGAGACCCAGAGCAATTGGCATTGCCATATCTACGGGCAGTGGCAAAACTACGTGATGAGCTCCGGCGTCTGGCTCCGACAGCATCACCGGAAGTAAAGAAGTCAATCCTAACCCTAAGTGACCGGGTGCGAGATTTTGATCTCACCAACCTTGGAGTCTACTTAGACGATCGGCCGGATCAGCCGTCATTAATCAAATTTGTTCCCGCAGCTGAGTTGATCGCAGCAAGAGAGGAAAAGGCAGCCAAGGAAGCAGAGAAAGCACGTGCGAAGGAAGAAGCAAGAATTGCTAGAGAAAAAGCTGAAGAAGAAAAATGGGAAAAGGCAAAAGTGGCGCCGGAGGAGATGTTTAGGAGTGACGATCGGTATAGTGAATGGGATGCCGAAGGATTACCTACGAAGACGAAGGACGGTAGCGAAGTTGCTAAGAGCCAACTGAAAAAGTTGAAGAAGGATTGGGATAGGCAAAAGAAGGCACACGGCGAATACAAGGCTAAGTTTGGAGGGGGTGCAGCGTAAGTCATGAGCGATCTATCTAAGTTAGACAGAAGGCATTAAAAGATACCAGTTTTTGAGTTGTGTTATTACCCAGGTATAAACTATCATATATTCCTTCTACAAGCATAAAAGCATTTCGATTGATCTAGGTATTTTGGTCTCCCTCACTTGTGATGGCTGTGTTTATTTCGTAAGCCTGATCATCTTAGAATAGACCAATAAACGAGCTAGATTCCCCATGTCCGAACCCCTGGCTTGCTCGACCCAGCAGTTATGAACAAGCTTTGCCAAGCCGGGTATCGGCTTGGCATCCTAGCTTAGCACCCTGTCGCTTTCAACCACACATGTGCTCCCAAGTTACATCGTACGTCCTAGTTGCAAACAAATTCAGCATCTCTAGATCCGACGCTAGCCCTCTCCAGCCCACCTCTTACGGCATAATGGTTGTACGTAAGTTCGGCGGGTAACAGCTTCACGACGAAACTAACATGATGTCAATGGTGGCTGGATTACGAGGCCCGTTTTCGATACGCAGAGTAAGGATATCCAATGATTCCAACCTTCGTAAGTTGGATACTAACTCGGTCTACCGCTAACCCTGAGGGCTACTTGGAATCGTGACCTTGTCGGATAGCCACCATTGCATTGGTTACGATATATAAATTGTTTCAGGCTTCATCCCTGCGTCCAATGGGTTTAGGTGAAGTGAGCATGTGCTACCTAGGTAAGCACGAGGTCGATTACAGTTACCTAACCATACGATGATTTGTTGGTGGAAGAGGGGTTTGAAAGGTAAGCATTCGGCTTAGGGGGTAAAGATACCTGAATACCTACCTACCTATATACATCGCTTTACTCAGCAACATGCGTTTTGCCTTGGAATTCAAAGCTATTACATACTTGTTAAGTTATTATTTTCCAGGATAAATAGGATGTTTACGAGATGTTACTCTCTTTGGCGGTATGCAGATATAAGGTGTGACATATTATCTGCCCATGGTGGAATACACGCAAATCACATCGCAGGAATGGCTAGAGACAACCTACTCCGCCTTTCCGTTATACCGGCATACCCCCGTATTTGTTACAAACAGAGGCGGAGGTGTAATACTTAATTTGCTCTGTCCTGCTCATTACGTGTTCCAGCCCCTAATGCGCGTGCCGGTCGAGCCGATCAGGTTTCAGCAGCGTTCCCGGTCCACATGAAGATGTCATGCTAGCTAAGTTCGTAATGAGGTAGCCTATAATGAAGCTAGGTAGGTACTCCATTAGGTAGGATAGACAGGTACCCCCTATATAAGCATGTGTCATCCGTCTTCCATTGAGTTTTGATTCCTAGCTGCACAACTTAACTTAACAACTTAGCAAATAAACAAGACGAACAAACCATTTTAACGACAATTTTATCATTATAAACTAGCAATCATGTTCGGATTTGGTATGTTTAGCGCTAAGAAGGGTTACCCACCGCTATGCTATGTATTGCAAAGCTAATTACAACCAGACGAAGCTAAGAACGCCCGCGACGAACTCTACGACGGCCAGCCTCACGAGTCCAAGCTGTCCCACGAGTTCATCGGCGGTGCTGCCTCCTTCGAGGCCATGAAGCTCTTCGAGGACCGCCAACGCAGAGAAGGTATGCTACCGCAACATCAAGTAGCTATAATTGGCACTTGGAATATATCCACGGACCACTAGTAACGTTTACCTAACCTCTACCCACCCACTCACAGGCAAGACAATCGACCACGCCTTCGCCAAGGAACTCCTTGCCGGCATCGCGGGCGCCGAAGTCGACAAGCTCGTCGAGACAAAGGGTCTAGACTTCGTAGACCGCGAGAAGGCTAAGCACCACGCCAAGAGGCAAGCTGAGGAGCTGTATGACCGCCAGTACGGCGACCAGGACCAGTACGACCCGTAAGTAGTCTTGGCCGATACTTTCCGTCGAGTATAAAGAGGAAGAATATAATGCTGACATGTTGGGCTACGTAGTAACAACAGCAGCCGCCACCCTACGATGGACTACTAGATCTGAGGATCTTACCTTGGTTCGTGTGCGGACACTGGGAATCGGTATGTAGCTAGGTAGATAGTAGCTATGAATGAATGGAATGAAATCAATATGAGTAAAGACTTTCCGAGGAATAGTGATAAGATGAATATGTTTATCTGCGCAAAGGTGATTGAATGTGAAGAGTGTTGTAGACTTCACTCGTAATGAGTGTTTCTATTTTAGAATTGTTCTATTTAGAGTAGCAACTGGTTTCTGATCAAGCAAGGAATTGCTGGAAATATTTTATTTTAACCTCCATGTCTCGAATGGTTAAAAGAGCGGTATATGTGCTGTATATGTGACTTGATTGCCTGATTGAGCTCATATGAGTGAAGGAAGAGCTTGACTTATACGTGTCTCATTAAGGTGTCTCGTATTGTACCTCACAGCAAACTCTTGACCACATATGTATATCAGCTCCGAGAACTCCAAGTCAAGCTTCTAAAGTGCCTAGTTTAGGTACCTACCTATATGTTAGTATGAACTTATCATGAGCCTGCGTCCTAGATCAATATTCAAGCCTCTTTCAGTAGTCAAGTAGTGCCACCTGTGAATTTATTATCTCTGAAAATTTACATACGCCAAGTGCTGACGGTAATTATCTTCGTTTCCCGCCCATATTTGTCACCTCAATCTATCGCAATGGTATCTCTCCAGACGGTGACACCGGCTATGTAGTGTTCAGCAGGGAGTTGAAAACGAGCAAGCGTCAGGTTGCCTACTTGAGAGTGGAAGAGGACGAGCCCCTAAATATAGCCCTGTATTCCCCAGCTATCCTTTTTCCAGCAGTGTAGTAAACAACGCCATCCACCGGTATCCAGTAGCACTCGATAACTGGCCGGCACATTGGTGTCTTAGACTTTTCCCATCTGTTCGTTCTCCTTAAAAACGCCGGTGAATATCGAAACGGCCAGCTTCCTAATCCGCACATGCTCATCGTCCTCCGCGTCCGCTCGCTCTCGCTCTACTAACGGTCGCTCGTCCTCTGGCTAGACCGACACCACGACCTCTCGCGTTGCGACTTCGGAACATAGGCGCATTCCTACGAGTAAATGTTAGTATCTAAAGTGCTTCTTCCTAAAAAAACGCGTGATGCATACTTCAACATGTCGGGTACGATAAAGAATCGCACGTGGCTGCCGCGGATATACACCTGATCCAAGTGGCTTACTCGTCCGTCGCGCGCCGTGACTGTGATGTCCTTGAGCTGTACGTTCATGTTGTCCTCGGCTACGCGTAGAGAAGTTAGCTTTAAGGGCTTCCGTGGAACATGTGCTAAGAAATAAAACGCGAATTTACCTTCGAGTAGCTTGCCGCGATACGTCTGGCCCGAGGTAATCTCCAAGGTCACGATATGGCCTTGCGCCTCGTTGAGAAGCTTGATGGGAATACCGATTGTCGACGTCATCTTGCTTGAATTGGAAGGACAGTGGTTGCGGAAGGCCTTCTGTGATTGGAGACGACGATAACGCAGAGTCGGGGTTCGTTATGTATCTGCGGTTCGCGACGCTTTAAAGGTATTGTGTGTATTGATGCATGGACAATTGGAATCTATGGAAGCAATCGAATTGCTAACCTTAGGCTAGAGGCTAGAGGCTGGAGGCTTGGAGCTTGAGGTGGGAGATTGGATTTTCCGCTCCGTTCTGTGGCTTAACTTGGACCCGCTCTGTGTAACTCACCGTATCCATCTTTGCTCACCTTTTCTCTTGGCAAGTTAGCAGGCAGGTTGGAAGTTGGAACCCTGCGTGCATCGGTACTTAGATACTTGCCCCTCCAAAAAAGCTACGGAGAGTCGAGAGTCGAGACTGCCCCTCCATTTGACTCACTTTGGCTGTTGCGACGCCGTAATCCTCAAGCTGTCCTCCTACTTGAGAAGCTGATTACTCTTACCATACTTTCCAATTGAAGGACTTTAAGCTGGCTCGGAGTTCTTGGAGTTCTTATTGATACCCACGACTAACGAATTAACTCGTACACTAAACATGGCCTCAGAGCTCGAGGCACCGGCCAAAGAGGTCCCGTCTGCTGCGGATCCTAATGTTCCGGCTTCTCATCCGTCAAAGCAGACAGTAGACCCGTGGAATGTGGCTGGTGAGGTTGGCGAGGATGGGAAAGTTAAGGCGATCGACTATAAGAAGTTGGTGGAGGAGTTCGGCACCAAGTTGATCGACAAGGAGATACTAGAAAGATTCGAAAGGGTTACTGGTCACAAGCCTCATCGCTTCTTGCGACGCCAAATCGTCTTTAGCGAACGCGACCTCGGTATAATCCTGGATCGTTACGAGAAGGTATAGCTTGAAAGACAGACAATTACTTATTGGCTATATCTAAGTAATGATCTTTAGGGTGAACCTTTCTTCTTATACACTGGTCGTGGTCCTAGTAGCGACAGCATGCACATCGGACATACACAGATCTTCGACTTTTGCAAGTTAGTATATATCCGTAACTTAATTTAATTATACAACATATAAAGAGAAGTAGACTAACGAAGTTGTTATAGGTGGTTACAGGATGTATTTGATGTGCCCCTAGTTATCATGCTTACGGATGGTTCGTGTTTTTATATCGTCTTGACGGACTACGATGGCTAATAGCGACGTTCAAATAGACGAAAAGTTCCTCTTCTCAGAAAAGAGAACAGTTGAGGAAGTCATTGGTTACTCGCGAACCAACTGTCAGGATATCATCGCCATAGGCTTTGACCCTAACAAGACCTTCATTTTCTCCGACTACGAATTCATGGGAGGGGCTTTCTATAGAAATGTCACTCGATTCGCCAAACTAGTTACCTATAACCAAGCAAAGGCTACGTTTGGTTTCGACGAAAGGTAACTTTCCATTATTCCGCCACCTCATTGAGATATTCTATTTGAGCGCACGTGACAACCATCAACTGACATCAGCATAGCTCAAATATTGGGAAGATTCACTTCACTAGTATACAGGGTGCTACTGCATTCGCGACTACTTTCCCGCACATATTCGGCGACGATGAAAAGAAGGCCGCGAGTATCCCATGTCTCATTCCCTGCGCCATCGACCAAGACCCTTATTTCCGTTTGACTAGAGATTGCGCTGCCAGGCTAAAGTACGCCAAACCCTCTTTAATTCATTCCCGGTTCCTCGACGCCCTACAGGGTCCGGGCTCGAAGATGTCTGCCAGCATCGATTCTTCTGCCATCTTCATGAAGGATACCCCTAAACAAATCAAAGACAAGGTCAACAAATATGCTTTCTCCGGTGGCCAAGTTAGCGCAGAAGAGCAAAGGGAGAAGGGTGGAAATCCTGACATAGATGTTTCCTACCAGTATCTGCAGTTTTTCATGGATGATGATGAAGTATGTTATCACTTTCACCCCTATTTACTCCTAATACTAATAAATATCTAGGAACTAGCAAAACTTGGACAGGATTATAGGGAAGGCAAGCTGCTAACCGGAGAAGTATGTATCCTTGCCTCCACATAAGTATCAAGTTGCTGACTTTTATTCTAGCTCAAAGCAATATGTATCAAGTATCTCCAGGATTACGTCGCTGCATTCCAAGAACGAAGAGCGAAGGCGACGGAGGAGACTGTCAAATTATTCATGTCTGTGCGGCCGTTGAAGTGGGGAGGTAATCCCAGAGCGCAGAGAACCGTCCCCGTTGTAGAAGCGGCAGAGGCAAAGCCCGAAGGTCAAGATGGAGAGGGTAAGCTCACGAAAAATCAGTTGAAGAAATTAGAAAAGGAGAAACAGATAGCTGCGAAGAAGGCTGCCAAGGCTGCGGAAAAGGAGGCTGCAAAGGCCGCCTCGTAACTCTAGTCAATATGAATCAACTTTTAAAAAGTGCATAGCAGATCTCCCACTCTTTTGTGGCTTTATTTGAGGGTCAAGTGGCTCGCTCTATTAACTACCTACCTAAGCATGTATGGATGAAGCTGTTAGTTTACGTCTTAGCTATCTCCATATAGCCACAACACTTATTTGAACGTAGCCGGCTGTCTCCGCCTACGATCAACTTTAAGCTCAAAGACATCTAACCTTTGATACCCACCCGCGAGATCATGGTACTGCTTCCCCTCTATACAGTCCTCCAAGTCAACATCAGCATACAGGATGCCTTCCTCCTTCTGAAGGAAATCCCTCTGTACTTTGTCTGAAGTCTTAGGATTCAACGTGAAGCCGGGAAGTAGGGTTCCTGTCGTATCCAGGAACATCGTGGCGCCTCTCGGTAAACGCTCTAGTCCCTGCGCCACTACCTCTGGCTCGCTGGAACCGGACGAAGATAGTGCGATGGCGTCTTCGCCGAGGACGCCAGCGCAGAGCACACCGAAACATTTCGCTTCGAAGCAGTGCGCTGCGGCGCGTGTTCTGTTTGCACTGACGTTGTCGTAGTCTGCTCCGCGGGCGACGCTTGAACGGGAGGTTTTTGCGTCGCTTTTATTGTTCTCTATGACGGGAGAGTCTGGTGCAGCACCGTGCGGTAACCGCGTAGGCCAGACCGCAGGCCAGGTACTGATATGGATCTGCTCGCCCTGTGCCGTCATTGTGTATAAGGCCAGGGGATTGGTATTTTCCCCACAGATCAGTACTCCAACCTTGCCAAATTTTGTCTCGGCAACTTGGAGGCCATGCCCGTCACCCGGAGCCCAGGTAAGCTTTTCGTAGAACGTGGGCATGAGCTTCCGATGATGGACTAGGATCTCGCCGTCGGATCCGATGAGCACGTTCGAGTTAAATAGAGTGGCGCTGCTGTAGCGGACTTTTTCGGAGAACCCGAGACTGACGAGCACGCCGAACTGCTTGGCCGCCGCACGGATTGCGTTTACTTCTTCGCCGTCGGCGTAGATGGACTCTGTCGCCATACGCTTGAAGAAGTCGTGGTTCTCGGTCGGGGCACGCAGCGCGCTCCAGATGGGAAACGCAGGAATATACGACTCGGGGAATACCACGAGATTCGCCTTATTCCCAGCTGCTTCGTGGATCAGCGATATCGCCTTAAGAGTCGTATCCTTGGCGGACAGGAAGACCGGCGAGACATGACATGCTGCAATCCGCGTTAGACTGATATCGTTGCCCATTGCTACTGATGAGCATTTAGTTTCCGAAGGAGAGATTTCAAACATCGGTGCTTAATTTCTTTATACGACGTATTATATATAGCCTTCTCCTCATATTGACGGTATAAGTGCTTCTAATAACCGATTGCTTCGGGCTCTGAACTCGGCACCCGGGATTTGCTCATTGGTGAACTTGCACGCAACGGCGCGGAGGTATGAGGGGAATCGCATGATGCTGGCCTATAGCCGGGTTTTTGGACTAAATACCGAGGGTTCGCATTTTTATGTGTTTGGATGTTATTATCGGGCCATATAATAGAGGGGGTTAATATGCCATTGTGTTCGTTAATATAAATGTATTCTTGCTCAGGAGGATACTCACATCCGGTACCTTAGGAAATATCGCGATTTAACGTAACACCTAAGTAGCGTCCTATAAACCAGATTAATGGGCTATATATGCGGCATCCAATATGAATAATTGAATGTTGAAGCCTTAGATGGAAGTGGAGGTTGGTTTTCGTTCTAGTAGTATGATGTAAATTATACCCCTATTCATTACCCGTTTCCGAGGACATGACGCCTCACGGCATGTACATACCTTACTCTCGCTCAACTAAAAATATCAGAACTTCATCTTAAACGGCTTCATCTTTTATATGATCAAACAATTACTTAATTGTATCTGACAAGACATTACGATAAATTTATATCTTTGTTCTAAGTAAAACCTGAAGTTCCAGAGATGGCGGTGCGTTAAGAATGAGGGCTAGGATGAGGCAGATATTCTAACGCATAACGAACACTTATTGACAAAAGATGATTCGATAGTTGGCCTGTAAGTGACATTACCTGAATCTAGACTCGAGAAAGCATCATAATCTGACGGCGAAGCGTGTTCTCAGGTATTCTCCGTAACGATAGAATAGCCACGGCACCGGAGTAAAGGCCAGACAGATAAAACCCAAAACACCATTGCCCTAACCCAGTCCCAGCTTCGCGTATAGCGGCGGGGCAATAAAAGTAAGGAAGGCTCCGAAGGGGGCACGAATGAAGCTGCGGCTTGAGGTCCAAATATTGCCCCCTTTCTGACCGAGCAGCTTGTCACTCATAGTCATAATTGTGAACAGGAACAGACCGCATAGCATCCCGATGCCAAGACCTAGATATGCCTAACCGGCAGTGCTAGGGTTGAATCCGTATTGATCTTTGAAGATAGTTGGGAGCCCTACTTGTAAATGTGGCTGACCATATGGCCGTGCCTGTGGCTGCAGCTTGGTCATATTCCCAAGAAGGCGGGGGCTTATGTAATGCATATGGCGGGGACATGCATATGGACTAATGCCTCTAGCTTATGTACAAGTAGAATTTGAGTCGAGCAATAAGAGCCTCATCATCATTAATCCATACCAAGGCGCCTACCAAGGTGCCTACCCACGATAACTCGAGATTCAGGACTACATATTTCATTCCAATTACTATATACTCGAGTATTACATAATGTCCACCTACGAACGTGCGCTTCGATGTTGAAGGGCTAAGACCTCTTCTTGGAATCAATTACCTACAATTACCGGCATAATGCAACCACCACCCATTCTAATCCGCCGCCTCCTCACCCTCCGTGCCTCCAAATTTCCTCCCACATCTCGCCGATTTACGAGACATACGAACCTCGCGTCCCGAGGGCGACCTCAAATTCCATTCCTATCCGTGCCACTAGCTAGGAATCATCAATTCCGATACCTCACCACCGAGCGAAAACGATGGTTGGCCTATGAGGTTTATCTCGGATTCAAGTATACTGTATATATCTGGGCCATTGCTGGCTTCTCTATCGCCGCCTACTGGAGTATACAGCAGGAGTGGCTTGAAAGGAAATACCCGACGCCGCACGAATGGAGCTTCATAACCCGGCTGCGATCCAGACTCGCGAAATGGGCCCCCGACCGAACCGATTCGCCGGAAATCGACTGGGTCCTTACTGGCAACTATGCTAAAAATGTAATTGAAAGGTTAGAAGATGAGAAAGTCGAAGGCGCCGGGATTGCGCAGAATCAAACCGAAGAGGGAGGATATGATATAACATCAAAAAGCGAGCCATGGAGGAGGGGCTATTACGAGGCCTTGATGCTGTGTGCCAAAGCAGCCGAGCATCTTGATGACCAGATCGTGGATAAGACGCGGCACTTGGTGTTCCCGGCCAACCAGGTTATAGGACCATCAAACCCGAACCCGAAGCCCATCTCCCCCGGCTCACCAAGTGCCCCCCGCGAAGAGGACTGTGAGCGTGCCTTCGAAGCGCCCGAAACTTTCTACAAGAAAATACTGGCAACCAAAGGTCTCACATCCAAGCAGAAGTTGGATGCGGCGCTAGAGTACGCCTCGTGGTTGGACTTCAAGGGCCTCCCCGACGCCGCCGAGCTCACATACGAACGGGCACTGGCACTAGCCACAGAAGGTTCCCCCCCTCCATACGACACGAAGTCATACGTCCTACAGGACCTCTCGCGCCAACCCTCCGCCAATCTCCTCACCACCCTCACCGCTCTCGCCACACACAAGGCGCGCACAGGCGACGTCGCCACAGCCCTCCCAATCCTAATCTCCGTCCTCCGCGCACGCAGATCCCTCCCATATCCGCAGCCCCAAAAGAAACCCACATACATCGACCCCGACGAATCCCAGTCCTCCTCCCCCTGGACCCTGCACAACATCGCCGGCGCAGCCACCCGCCTCCTCTCACCCCCCGCATACCCGCCGCCCCCGGATGACGGCACATCCCCCCCGGTCCGGGACGCGAAGGAGCTATGCGAGGAAGCTGGTCTGAACCTATATATCGGCGAGATCATCTACGCCTCGTCCTCCGGTACCACCAAGGGCCGCGAGGACGGCCTGGCCTGGACACGCGAAGCCGTCGACCTAGCAGAGGAGCAGCTGCATAAACTAAACACTAGCGGGGACACCCGCGGCGACGCTAAGAAGACGTGCAAGGAATGCCTGCTCGCCGGCCTCGATAACTGGCAGGCCATGGTGGCGCGGCTCGCGCGCGAGGAGCGCGAGAGGGAGGCTTTGCTGAAGAAAGGGGAGCCGGCGAAGGCGAGTAGTAGCCGCTGGTTAGCAAGCCTATGGGCAGACGGCAAGGCCGAGGCCGAGGCCGCGGCTGGAGGACGATGGACTGCGGAGGAGAATGTAGTCAAGGAGAGGATGAGGAGAGCACAGGATGTGCTGGAGGAGTCGGAAGCTCCTCAGGTCGGGTTTGCTGCTTTGTTCCAGGCGTGATGTGATCTGATATATGCGTACGTTGTTACAATATGTAGGGAATAAATAGTAAAAAGGACTCTTGGGGGCGTTTGTCTAGGCCAACGTTGTGTTGTATATGCTGTAATAAGAACATATAATACGCTTTCTGTCTCGCCTCGCCTGTCGTATTCAATTGATTAGGTTACTTACACGGCTTCCCGTAGTATATAGGAGGTACTCGGCACAAATAGTCTGTATGTATTTTCAATAATGGGATGAAGAATTTAGCATACTGCATATATACCTAGGTAGGCAGCTTTGATTGTGCTTTTACTTTTAACATAATAGACGAGATTCGAGAGGTGTCAACTGCTATATCCACTCGGTATCTACCTAGACGAGGTATCATCTATAATACAATCGCAATCCATCTAGCAAAGCTTCAGGTTAATATTCGGTTGCTCGTTGATTTGGTATGTTGTCAAGAATCTTGTTGCCTGCCGGTATTGGACGGAAATAATGAGGTTGGCCTAGTTTTTATCCTCAACCTGTTCGATCTTCACGTTTTCCTTCTTGGTCTGCTCATTATCCTCAGCAGGTTGCAACATAACAAGTTTCGGCTTCTCTCCCTGTGGGTCGCCCGTTTTCTCGTGGACCTTCTCAGTCCACATCTCGTCATGCTCATCCTTCTGATCAACGAACTCTTGATTCTGCCACGAGCTCCAATCGGGTTCGTCGGTGTCAAATACGGGATCCGCAAAATCAACGTGAAAGTGCGGGTTGGTATAATCCTCGCCCTCAGGTGTCATAGCCACTTCCTGCAGCCAGCCGAGAATAACCTCAGAGCCGGTGATAAGCGCCGTCTCTGTGTAATTTGGCTCTCCACTGCTGAAGACAGGACAGCCCATCTGCGTGAAAGTTGTAGTCTTTGGGTTACCTTCGGGGCCTGAAATCACCATTCCAGCTGGCTCAACGGAGGTTATGTACGCGCGGGCTTTCTATATATCGGACATACGAATTAGCTCTATAAAATCCAAGAACCAATAAGCGAGTACCTAAAACGTAGAATCAAAAGGTAGAAATATGGGTGATCTTGAATAAAGACTCACGTTTTTCATGAACACGTTCACGAATTCGTCGTTCTTCAAATCCCAGACCGGATACAAGCCACCAACAATTGCAAGGCAGCTGATGCGGTTCTTCCAGGCATTCCACATAAGGGGCAAGTCCAAGAACTCCTCGACATAGTCAGCACTGCCACCTAGTACTATGATGTCGATTTTGGCATTATTCTTGGTGAAGTGTGGGATCACCTCCTGGAAGATATGGCCAACGTGCATTCTCGCGGTTGAGTTCTTCTCAATCATGTTGCCCTTTCCAATTACGTTGGTATAGTGTACAGCACTCTGCATTGGCGCTGCAGCGAAAGCGCTGCGACTGAGGGTACGCTTCCCCTCTGGATACCAAATCAGCTCGCCCATGTTGGCAAGGATGATTCCTGGAGGGCTTGAGTCGGAGGGCGAGGAGCATTGTTTCTGGAGGGCAGAGACAACAGATATCATAGAGCCTTTGTTTATACCGCCGGGGCCACCAATGATGCGATGCGCAAGCACACCGAGGTCCTGTACAGGCTCGCCGAAGATGACAACGACACGCGATTTGGTAGCAATGTCACTACTGACAAAGATAGGAACATTTGGCTTGTTTGTGTCGGAAGTACCCAAAGGCAATAACTCTTTCTTCAGACCTAATTTCTCCAGACGCTCCCAGATCACATATTGTAGGGCCTCTGCATTATCATTTGCATTAGCTAAAGCCTAGCGTATCGTAGAAAGTCAAGAAGGGAAATAAAGCTAAGAGGGCTTGCTCACGGTTCATAGCATAGCGCTGACGCTCATTCCATCGGGTGTTGCGGTTGAAGAAGAAGTGGAAGTAGTTATCCGGGTTTTCAATGGCGCGGACTTCGTCATCTTCATTGATAAAGTAACTAAGGGAAATGACCTGTTAGTAAAGCTGCTGTTTCGTTGAGGTAGGAAAGCAGAGTATCGCTTACCCAAGCTTAGATAGGTCAACGGGAAAGTCGGGGTCTGCTGGCAGACCTGACCACTTTCGTCGGAACATCGTGACAACCTGATTGTTGATGGAAGGGATCGGAGGCTTTTGATTAATATAGAAGATATAGAAGATATAGAAGTCCCGGAGTAGGTAAATCAGTATAAACCAACCAGAGTGGTACCTAATGTGGTATTTTTAAGATACAATCACGGCTGTCAAACGAATTTATTCTCTAAAGGTTACCGTTTGCATGTTTGCATACGAGGGAAGCTGCAGGCCCGGTTCCATGCTATTAGCACAACCAAGTAGATGTAATGCTCTTGCTTCATTTAAAACGTTAAGACACCATATACGTCCCTTCCCGCAAAATCTTGTCCCGGACAGAAAGTACCTATGTAGATGCCCAAGCACGTAAGCAAAATTCCATAGAGGAACACTTAGGTAAAAGCTGAGTAGGGTACCTAAAGTGATCATGGGAGTTTTCGCTTCTTAATTACCTAGGTACCTAATACATGGGCAACTGGTGACCTTACAGCGCTCGTTTGGCTGTAGCGTCGTAATAGTATCAATATACATATCATGCCGCAAGCATGAATCGTGAACAAGTAACAGCGGTCATATCCTATTAGCATCACTCGTGTCTGACTTCACCAGCTGGCCTTCTTCACGCCCGGGATATTTCCTGCTATGGCTTGCATCCTGAAGTTATACTGCGCAAATGAATCAGCACTTGTCAAAGACCATTCGAGTGCATGAGAGAGCTTACTCTTGACATCTTGAAGTCGCGCAATATACCTCTTCCCTTACCACCTAATATACACCGTCCACGGATTTGTGTCGGTCGCGTGTAGCAGTGCATCTGCGTAAGCTGTAGCTGAGCTTCGGCTCGGGCCCTAGGGGGGAGAGTAGTATTTCGGATGATATATCGTAGAGCTTGTCTATTCAATTGCACAATTGCTGTTAGAACCTCTACGCTTAAGCAGTCGGGTTTGTTCATTGGCGCACCTCTCAGGCTCGAATTGTGCATAGGCCTTCCTCTTGGAGTGGTCTCGGATCGTCTTGATATTGACGAAGCAGCCAATATCAAGCTTCTTAGCCCGGAACATAGACATCTTGACGGTATTGGCGATAGTTGGTCCCTTGTATCTTGGACCAGCTTGAACCTACAAAAGTTTTGGAGTCGTTATTCAATTTGCGCATTGGTTTCTGCAAGGCGCAAATCGGTTGGTAACGGTCCAATCAGATTATTTCACACCTGTAAGAAGCTGACACCGGGCCGCTAGACATTTTGTGCATTTACGTAAGGAAAGATAGCGGGTCAATCCCTCCGAGGGGGTCCATTTATTCAGGGGGTACCGTTATATCTTAAAGTACGCCCGTCACGTCAGCCCCGTAGCCTCAAAGAAAACAATATGTATGTACATATGGATCAATCTATGACGTCGAAGTACATCACAACTGCAAGCAGCCTCTCCACGGCAATACTTGTCAACGCATTTTATGTAGACAATCTGGATAAGGTGATCTAGCACCTAATGACGTAGGTAATAGTAGCAAGGCGCATGGAAAGACTCTTATAAAAGCTCAACCTAAGCTATCTAGGTAGGTAGCAGGTCTCGGGTTTTCGTAGTTCATACTCATCCAATTCTACAACATCTCGCAAAGCTCCTCTATTAAAGAATTCAATCTATATTCTCTATATACCTAGTATCTAGTATCCTATATTACACACATTCAACATGTCTGGTTACTCCAATGTTGGTCAAAGCTCCGTCTATGAGAGCGGCGACCAAAGGAACCTGAAGGACTCAGAGATTCCAGGTCGTCCCCGGTATGAAGAGGGTGTAGAGAATTCGCATCAGCCCAACGATTCTAGTAAGATTTACCCCCATGGTATAAAAATGATATTTAAGAACAACGTCTAACATTTCTCGCAGAGGACGAGCGATCCATTGCCAACCGCCTAGCTAATGAAGAGGTATTTCCTTACGACTACTCCTAAGAGAACTAGATGATAGAGCTAATGACCTACAGCGCAAGTTAAACCGCGAAGAGCAAGACGACCCAGAGACCAAGGCTTCCAAGAAGGACCCGACATTGCCTGTAAGTCAAATCAATTATCCCACGGCGAAATTGCCCACTAATTCTCATTACAGGCCAAGTTACACGGCAATGAACCCTCTAAAGGCGCCAAGATCGATGCAGATCTACAAGCGGAGGAAGAGGAATACTTGAAGCAGAAGGGCAAGAAATAAATCTTAATACCTCTAATTGTCCCATTGGATTTGACTATGCTAGGAATATCCTAGTATAGGTGCTCGCTTTGTAGCATCAATGAATGAGAAGAAAAAAAACGCAAGCTTCACCAATAATGAATCGATCAATATAATCCACCGTGAAAGTAACAGTCATGCTACGAGGCAAGTCCATACCATTCAACACATCTCATAGCTTCGCCCCCATGGCTCTTCTCTTCTCTCTTTCCCGATCTTTCAAAAATCTCCTCAAGATCTTCCCGCTAGGGCTCTTGGGTATCGCATCGATGAATTCAACTCCGCCTTTCAACCACTTATACCTAGCCTTGTGTTCCTCAACCCACTTGCTGATTTCCCGGGCGACTTCATCGTCCGGCCTCGATGCTGCCGAGGCGGATTTCACGACAAAAGCTTTCGGTACCTCCCCGGATGCTTCGTCCGGTATTGGGATGACCGTGCAATCATTGACGTCTGGATGGCTGAGGAGATGAGCTTCTAGCTCTGCTGGCGCGACTTGATGGCCCTAAGTTGATTCTGGTCAGTATTTTTAAGAGCATAATAAACACATAGATAGTATCTCACCTTGACTTTGATCAACTCCTTCAACCGATCCACAACAGCAATGTGCTCGTGCCCAGCCGGTGACTTCCGAACAACTGCCACATCTCCTGTCCGTATCCAGCGGCCGTCGTCGTCCCACACATAAGCCTCAGATGTTGCCTTCTCGTTGTTCAAATAACCCAATGTGACCGAGGGCGACTGGACCCAAAGTTCGCCACGCTTTTCGTACTCGGTGATCTCCTTGCCATCTTCGCCTATTAACTTGGCCCGGGAAGCGGGTGCAAGAGATCCCGATGTTCCAATCATCACGTCGTTCTCACCCGTGCTAGTCACAACTGTACTTGTTTCTGTCATACCGTAGCCCTGACCGACATTTAGAAACGGGAAGGCCTTCACCATATCCTCGTGCGTTTCGGCACCAAGCGGTGCGGCCCCTGTGTACACCATTCGGACGCTGGATAAGTCGTATTTGGCACACAACTCCATATTCCGCAACATTTGAATGACGATAGGAGGGACCTATACACCATGGTTAGAATCTAATCATAAGACTGAGTGCATGTGACACCTACAATATGCAAAAAATTAATCTTGTATCTCTGGATAGTTTCCAGCAAGGTCTTCAGCTCAAACTTGGGTAAGATGATTACGGCATCTCCTCGATACGTCCCCGCTTGTGCAACTACTACCAGCCCGTAGATATGGCTTAGTGGCAAAAGACCGAGCTGGACTTGGGTTTCGATGCCTTTGGCCTTTCTACCTGGATCCTCATGCCATCGGATCTGCATCATATTCGCAATGACATTTCGGTGCGCGATCATCACGGCTTTCTATTATGGAGGTTTAGTAAACAATTCTCTGAGAAAAGGGAGGATAAACTGACGGGGAGACCTGAAGTACCGCTAGAATAGCACAGGTACGCAACTTGTCGAGCGCCTTGCCCCTTCGCCCAGACCAACGGCTCGACTTCCGCCAAAGACCGGCCTTCATCGATGAGGTTATCGAGACTCTTGAAAGGAACTGGTTTTGATTCCCCGGGTATTCGCATAACGAATACTTTGTCGTCTGGAATGCCACATGCTCTCGTCGCCTTCAATGCTGTATCTAGTAGTGGGATGCACGTGATCAGAGCTTTGACACCAGCTGACTTGAGCTGGTGTTCAAGCTCGGCTGCTGAATACATAGCATTTGCTGGCGTTACGATGCCCGAGAGGCGGTGTACCGCGAAGGTAGACATCATGTAGTCAATCTAAAAAGTCGGTCAACGTTCGTGCCCCCATCACCATCATCATAAAGAATAGTTAAACTACCTACCGAGTTGAAAGAGAAAACGCCGACGACCTTATCCCAAGGCGTCTCTTCGTTTGGTCTCCAGCCCATACGCTTCGCTAACGATCGCGCTAGGAGCTCGTAGCGCTCAGTCATCTCAGCGGCCGTATATGTCTTCCCCGTAATCCCGCAGGTGTAGGGATTCCGCGACCTCGCGAGCGGTTGCCTCCCATACTTCTCACTGCTCCAGAACTCATGAATCGGAATGGAGTCCGGGGGGTCTAAAAGCTCTTGTAAATACTATTATTCTCTTATGGGGAAGAAGGGAAGCGGATGACATACCAAAGGGTAACTGAGGCACCCAAACCGGTGGGGTAAACACCATCTTGCTACAAATTGCTCGTTGGAGTGCTTAATTACCTACGTCCACGTTTCCGCGTTTCCACGTGTCGAAGAAGTTGAGTGAAGCTTGCAAGATTAAGGGAACGTTGCGGGTATACGGTCTCTTGAAAACAAAGAAGTACTAGCTTGAGAGTGTCACAAAGGGAGGCTGACTTTAGAAAGAAATGTGTAGCTAGCCTCGGCCAACATCGGCGGATTCGATCGATGGCTTAATACGTACGACTTTAGATGCCGAAGAATTGACCTATAAAGTAAGGGTCTATTTATTCCCGTTGAGCTAAACTCCGTAGTCCCCACAGCGTCCCATGTTGATGTTCATGACCCCCCGCATGATCAATTTAGTATCCCCCGAGTGGAGATCTCTCGGTGAAATAGCCGGGGTAAGAGTACACTACATAGGTTACTTGAGGTACCCCCGAATGATCCCAGATAGTCCGATCTATAAAACTTTTCATTTTACCATTTAAACGTTTAATCGGTTTCCTGCCATTATTCAGGTCTCCCGTACTACACGTATAAATTATATATAATTAAAAGCCAAGCATATATATAATGTCCCCCCTTTTTTTACATTGGATGTACACGATGATTATGTAAAAGGTAGCCCATTGTACGTACCCGATATAGGACCTCGGAGTCGGTCGGTTGAGGCAAGGTACCCACACGCTTACCGGGGCAGCTTAGCCCCAGAAAAGCGGCTAGAAGCACGGTTGCACAACGGGGGGTTTCTTGGCATTTGCGTCCCTACATCAGGAACCAATAGGACCTAGGTATTATTTCTTTAGATCAATTTGCAAAGCCACAATAATATTGTTGAGGAACGTAAGTCACGAAGACCCCTGTCTCGCCCCCTATCTGCAGGTACGACTTGAGCCTCCCTTCTTATTGTGCAAGGCTGAACGTCCCGTGGCATAAATGCTACTTGGTTCAATGATAATATTCATACAGCCTTATTTTTCCTTTTCTACAAAGAGAAGTTTAGAATGGAGTAGAAATTCTTGTAGTCTAAACCAGATAACGATTACCTTTCATCACTACCTTAGGTAGATAAACACCCGACTTCACGCGTCGCGACTTCAGCAACAATGCAACAGACTTTAGATACCCTAGAACACAAGTCTGGTACACCTTTGAGAACTCATTACAGGGACATGTTACTAAATATTGCTAAAGAGAAAATACCAGGAGTTCTCTATTGCCAGAGAATTATTGCCTATCATTCATGTAGATTTTCAATAGATTCCCAATACCTAGATTTTCATCAAGGCCAACCGTAACTACCTAACAAACTTTGATATTAAAATAGACATGACCCAGAAATGACCAAGCGATGTCGCTTCCCAAAACTGTGAGTAATCATGTAAAGATCCAAGAACCAGGGTTTTACGGCTAAGCTTTCTTCATACATGTAGATAGTAGATAGTAAATATTTGGCATCTTAGTCACTCCCAAAGTATGGTTACAAAAAGGATCAGCTTGCTAGCATGGCCATAGGTGCCAAAGAAGGAGTTTGTAGGCAGTGCAAGCATGTATGTAAGAACTCAGAGTCATACTATCATGACCATATGGTCATATAAAGACCCCTAATAAATCCTCTGATATGACAAGATTATCTACCAAATCACTTAGACACTACTCAATTATATATATTTATATATGGCTCTTAGTTCAACAGACACTCAATGTTTGTATTTTGTATTTCATCATATAAAAGTTTCAAGTTATATCTAATGGAGCTAGAATCAATCTCAAAACCAATGTCCAATAGCACAGCTGTCTTCTTAGAGGTCATAAGAATTAGCACTTACCCATTTCAAAATGATGCAGTTCGCTATTTCCATAGAAGGTACCTAACATACCTAGCTTGGGCAAGCAGGCGTGTTTAGTACAGGGCTGCAGTGCGTTCCTTCCTACGACGGGTCGACGTTGCCCTAGATATAGTTCTCTCCCCTATCTATTCCCAAATAGGATCTGCTTCGCTAATCGTAAACACAAAACATCCACCAACATTCACCACCTTCAATCAAAAATTCACCAACATTCAGTTCGTTCTTCTCGTTATTCCAAATCGCGTATTGAAACCCATTCTAGAATCTTGACTACCAATCAGTCTAAGTGGTCATCATTCATTCTCCTATTACTATTCTCTCCCCTTTGAGTCAATCCATCTCCAACCCTCGTGACTGTGTCGCCTAACCCTCTGCATGCTAAACATCCTCTGCCTACGACAAAGGTATATCATCTTTCGTGCAATACAGGTCGTTACTTCTCACAAGGGCAGTCCTACACTTCTCTCTTCTACTCTACCTTTGCTGCTGCCAATCCAGCAATACCAGCGCCACATCACAGGACACCATTCAATCATCTTCGGTACCCTCCTAACTACAGCAACACTTCCTGTACCAACTCTACACTATCCAGGTTTTACACTGCTTCCTTGATAGTATCATCCAGGAGTTGAAGTAGGATTTTGTTGCCTCTATCTTGCAAAACTTGGTAAGTCTCTGTCCAATACGAATCTCCCTGAAGACCTAGCATTTCCACTCCTATGCCCCCATTTGCACTTTCCTTCCCGCTTAAGACACATGTTTTGTGGGCACGCTGCTTCTCTATTTCCTTCATGGAGAAAACATCATTCCTAGTCCTGTCAATACCCACTGGCACCTTGTCGCACTTGTTACGCTTGTCGCATTCAGGGGACAGACGTGATCAATAGTCCTTTGACCCAGCATGCTTCCTACTACACAATTATTATCCTGTTTACAAGCTCATAGCTGAGTCACTCCCCCTAATACAATATTAACCACTTCGCAACATTTGCCTACACATTCTCCACTATCTATTGTACTACCCTCTCTTCTCCTATGAACCTTGCAGCTTCACAATTTAACAAGCCATATACTGGCGCTGTTGAGCAATAACACATTCATGATGATATACATGTTATCCATCAACCTTATACACCTTGTATAGACCTACCATTCTATATTGATGTCCATACCCTAGTCGCGTCATTCTCTATATAATATCTTGGACTGTGAATTAACTCTAATTAAGTATTCTCTAGTACACCTAGTCTTTAAGGCTTATTGCTAGCGCTGCTAAGAGACATAAGGTACTAGAAGCCTTCAGTATAGTCTTCTAGTTGTCTATTGTATAGCATATTGTGAAAAGATAGCCGGATTCTTCGACAACGCTATAGCACAAGCTATGTCATTTACTATGGAGAAGATAATCGCCGACCCTATACCTAGTTCTGGTTATACGTCCGTCGCCGACCCTATACCTGACCCTGGACATATGTCTGTCGCCGACAATATACCAGTCCACGATGCTATAGGTATCGCTGAACATAGTCCGGTGAAGTCTTCTTTGAAGCGAAAGTACGGGGAAATAGAGGAAGACGAGAATACGTCCGACGTCTTCCAGATCCCAAAGCTCCATCAAGTTGAGTCCGACCGAGTGACCCAAAGTCGAGTAAAATCTGCCAAGCGAAAGACCGCTTCCAACACTGTCACCAGTACATCCATCGATCCTGCTGAGGGACATGCGAATAAGCCAGAACCACATGGTCAGCCATTGGCCTGGGCCGAAAAGAGAGCGGCCTTAAATGATGCACTGCCATATTTCAAATCGCATCAAGGCAGCGTGTACACAGCGGGGCTAATGCCTAAAGGTATGCTTATAGATGGAATTGTAGGGACGCGTGACCATTTTTCTAGTGAGGTTATAATTACTTCAATGTAAGTTTCAATATAATCTACTATGCTGGAAATAAACTAACGTAAGAAATAGTGGTGGTGGTCGAGTTCTAGATCCGGTTACCAAGAAGATGGTCAGGACCGAAGATCAAGGGGAAGATGGCAAGAATTATAAGGCTTTGATGCAAGCTTGGGAGGCAAAGCATCCTTTCGTGATGGTAGCCGGTAAGTTCTATAATACATGTATCGCCCTTGTTAGAAGATAGATTCTAATAAGGTTTAGGAGCGCGCAACAATTTGTTCCCGGTCAAACCTCCTCATCACTATAATGTTCTCGACTACTTTCACATTACAGACATCTGGCAAGAAAAAACCAGGGAACCCCAGGGACCAACAGTGACGATTTATATGGTCCGCTTAGAAAAGGCCGTCTTAACTAGCAGATCTTGGTGGGCTCCAAGAGGTGTTAGTGCTCCTGAAGCAGGTGAATTTGGGGTTGGTGAATACACCTGCACATCAAGCGCTTGCACGACTTGCCAAAACCCGAGCAAGGAGATTTTCGAGCAAGGTTGGACCTGTCTTAATACTCAATGCCCGAGATTCTTTGAGTTCGCTACCTTATTGGACGTCAACGACCTAAAGTACAACGTCACCTTCTTACGAGAGAGAACCAAGTACAGCGGTATTCCGATCGACGATCAACGCATTCCTGCTCTACCCTCTGATGGAAAGAACACATTTGGCAGCGAAAAAGAGTATAAACAAGGAATCCTTTGTCCTAAGTGCGGCTGTTGCAGCAGGAGAATAAAGTGGGATGGCTGGTATTGTGAGAATGCAGAATGCGATTTCACACATACAGTCCCCATCAAGATGACTCCCCTCGATCGTATCAAGGATGAGAACAAGAAGGTGAAGAGCAAAAAAGCTGCTCCTATTACCCATTACAATAATCGTGTTAAAGTTCACAAGACGACTATAGGAGGACAGAAGCTCAAGACTTTTTTCCTCCCAGATGAGGATGGTAAGGATGGTAATAGTTACATTGGGACTATCACCCGCATTAGGCCTACAGAAGAGGCCATTTCAAGAGAAGGTGGCCTTAACGACCTGTATTTGCATCTGCAAAAGGAAGACCTAAAACTAGAGAGAAGACCAGCAAAGAATCCTGGTGAGTGGATGTGAAGCTCTGTTTAGGTTGACCAATACTGATTACCGTAGGCTGTCGAGTTGAAGAATTGACCTCCCACTTCTCTGGGAATTTCGTAAGTCCCTAGGTTTGATCGACTCGAAATATCATAACTAACACTCTTATAGGGTGCTCCGTACAAATTTGGAGTGGTTGTAAAAACCACAACTAGCTTCGAGGACGCACCCACTCCAATATTAGAGACTCTTCTTCGACTGACTTGGGGAGGAAAGGCAGCCGTTGAAGCCTCGGGTAAACTCATCCGGGACGAGAAAATCAACGTCCCAGGAGATTCCATACCAAGCACATTCGAAGCGTATAATGAGCAGCTGGTTCTTGGATATTTCGAAAAGTCAAAAATCAGTGTATGTGTTTCTCCAAACTGGTCTTTTCCATAGGAGTACTAATATATATCTTAGGCCCACGACGACGGAGAGAAAGAACTTGGGCCAAATGTTGCATCGCTCTCCCTTGGTTCTCCTTCGGTGATAAAATTTTCCCCCAAGAGAGGAATAGATATTGGGGACCCGATAGATTTAGGCAAGAAGAAGAGAGGGTCGTTCTTGTCAGTGAAGCTGAAGCATGGTGACATGCTGGTCATGCATGGAGAACAAATCCAGAAACTATATCTCGTACGTATTCGCAATAGTTCCTTTGCTTTTTTAGTCCATGAATTGACTTATTTGGATAGCATGCCGTCGAGCCACGTGGAAAACATCGATTTGCCCTAACTTGTCGACACATCAGGCCAGATACCATCCCTGATGAAGAACAGCGCGCCCTATCTACCACTACTGGAAAGGTCCCTGATCGATGGACTGCCATTAGGTATAATGGAGAAGAAGACCAGTTCGAATCCCGTGCTACTGGAGAAGTTGTAGCCTGTCCTGGAACCGTTGTAGGCAGTGCTGAGTCTACTAACAATCCGGCACCATCTGAATACACCAACGGCTTTGAGAGTGATGATGTTTCCACAGTTTAGACTTTATCACATACAGCAAGTTCTAAAGGACCAACTACTGGCAAAGCTTCACTTATCATCATCAGCAATTCTATCTCGTTTCGCCTTGCTATAGCACCCCTTAGGCCTCTCAAGCAACCAGGAACTGGTTGAAGATTATCGAATGTCACAAGTGGACTTCTTTTCGTTTCACTACTTAGAATTACGCTCCAAGTTTATTTATTGCATCTAGTCATTTTTTCCCTTTTGCACTAATTTTCCTCAAGTCATAGGAGACGTTTCACCATGTGGGAGGAGATGGATTATGTGATGCTGCAGTGATCTCTTTCAACGATCTCCGCATCGGCAACTGCGCTAACGACTTCACGCTTTACGTGTACCTACTTGGCTCGGCTAATGCATATAGACATATCCCTATGATGTACATGCCGATATCGAGCTGGAGGAATTTGGAAGGAGCTTAGCAACGGATTATCAAGAGAAAAAAAACCTTATCTACGCCGTTTGTCTGGTGATTGTTTGTGCACGTTCCTGTCATCATCTGCACAGGAGAACGACACAAAGGATGGTGACTTAATGTGCATACGCATTGTATGAGCAATGCTCATGGTCTTCTCGACAGACCAGAGCAAGCCTACGTCTTAAGGCGTGTCTATATGTGTGGCCCTCTGCGTCTCCTATCCCTCTTTCTGCCTCATATCAATCAATTTTCGTCTTTTCATCTTTCTCTTCTCTCTTCTACCGGCCCTTGGTCTTGCGCCTACGCTCCCATTCGGCACGCTCTTCATCGTCACTGCCGGAGAACTCGGCATCATCATCATCGTCATTATCTTCCTGCCTAACATCAACAAACGAACTCGCCACCGCCTTCTTGTTCTCTTTGGGGGGTGCAGACGTGGAGTCGACAAAGTCGCCCGCGTTCAACTCGGCATACTCGTGCTTCTGGATGAGGTCGCGCAGGCCGGTGTTAGAAGGGTCGACGAGTTGATAGGGTGTTAGTCGGGCCTTGTTGCGCACGCGCGTGGACGATCCGGCTTCGAGCATCATTTGTACGAGGGCGTTGCCGAATTCGCGCTGGGCGGGGGGCTCGCTGTTGATCCAGCGGATGGCGCTGTGCAGGGGCGTGTCCCCTTCGATACGGTTTAGAGGATCACATTCAAAATCTGGTTGGTCCAGAAGTGTGTCGATGATCTCGTCTGGGGTGGAGGTGTTAATACTGTGTGATGGATTTCTTATGTTTGTGTTTTTGAGGGGAGGATTAAGGGGTTTGATTAATGTAATATGAGTCTGAGCAAGCTGGAGGACGTACAGTTTCCCTGTAGGGCAGCCTCGTGGTAGAGGTGATTACCCATGACAGTTGTAGTAGTGTTGAGGAGGGCGGAGATTTCTTCGTCTGACTTGCAATTCGAGATTACATCGTGGAGTAAGTCGACATTGTTCCTTCGGCAGGCTTCGATCAGCCGCTCCTTTACGGAGGCGCCCTGTTGCAAGCAATAAGTCAGTTGGCTTTCCAATCTTGGACTGTAGGACTGCTATCTAACCTCGTGTTCGTGATCATCCGCCATGCTAGGCTGCTCTACCAAACTATACTATGATATGCTGTGCTATGCTGTAATATGCTATGCGATCTGCTTCCGTTGTATTCCAGGGCAGAACAAACTCGTCAAGCAGAGGAGGAAGGAACCCGGCTGGCAGCAGACTATTCTTTCTATTGTATTTCTTTTAGTTTCGGATTCAGGAGGAGAGTAATCAATAGGCAAGACCTGTCACCTAGTTAGGTTTTTAATGGAACAGACAGAGTGTGAAGAAGAAGAATACGAAGAAGCTAACTAAGCCCAATTACATACGTAGTCGTCAGAAATAAGCCAGCCAGCTTTGTTTCTTGTTTCTTGTTTCTAATAATGGTGATTGTACGGCAGAGCGCCTAACGGTATAATGTTAGATAAGGTAAGCAAGCTTGGGAAGAGCAAGCGCCGTAAAGGAGGCTGTGACGTCCCTTGAACTCCTTACGATACCTGAAACCCCACCACAGCCCACTAACCCACGCGTCTTCTACTATGTAATCCGTAAATTCGCTGGATTGGGAACTTACAGCCCTAGCTACCTACCGCGGGGTGGTTCGGGAAATAGTTAGAGCGTATTCCGGCGGGACTGGAAGTACATATGTACGTAGGTATGGACTGAAGTACCTATCATGTATCTGCAAGGTCCCATATCGCTCCAGTGTTAATGCATCTTGCCGGAGCTCCACCAAAATTTAGAAATCCATCTACTTTCTCAGTCATTCACTTCACTCTAGGCCTACTTCACTCACTTGATCTACCCGTAAACTCACTTAGATATTTCATAAAAACCAGCGTCACATACAGGTTTTATTAAGTCACCATGCTGCTCTGTAGGTGTTTCTAGCCTACCTGTATGCGTACCAACTACGGTAACGACTAACTCAATCCGCAGTCTGTCCGCAGTGCTCAAACATCCTAACGGTGTCCATGTCGGCGGAGGCCGGGCGCAACCGTCTCGAGTGTCGCACATGCCCGTACCAGCATCTCATAGAAGAGAACATGTACTCGCGACGATATTTCAAGCGGAAGGAACGCGAAGACGTCTTCGGCGGCGCCGGGGCCTGGGACAACGCGGACAAGACGCCCGTCCAGTGCAACAACTCCTCCTGCAGCGGTAAGGAGGCTGCCTTCTACCAGATCCAGATCCGCAGTGCCGACGAGCCTATGACTAGTTTCTTCAAGGTAAGTTTTTTTGTTTGTTGTCGCTATCGTGGGGTTGATAAGACGGGACGAGATGAGACGATGCTGATGGCGATGTAGTGCATGACGTGCGGCCATAGATGGAGGGAAAACTAGATACCTGTATATGTAACAGGAGGGTCTGTGTCGGTAACTCTACTGCCTGGCGTTTTGGAAGGCTCTCGACGGCGTTACGAAGGGTCCTGGAGTTCTTGGTCTTGAGTTTTTAATGTAGATGGCCTAGTGTCGAGATGTCCGTCCAGGAATCATGATACCCGATACCCAATACCCAATTTGCTTTCATCCCTTCCGATGTGTAGTTTACTGCTTTTACCTACATTATGTCTTGATATAATATCAACCCAACTCAGCACGTGTAGCCCCTATGATACTACCAGCCTAAGTAAATTCGTTCTCCCCCTACTTATTCCTTGTGCCAGTCCACGGCCGCTTTAGCTCCCTCGGCAGCCAGCGCATACACCAACTCGGGGCTGATGATATCTTGTCGGAAGCGCTCTTCTTGGAGCAGCTCGAGGTGCTTCAGGGTCGGGCCCGGATAGATGAGGTACTTGATGTAGGGCGGGCGGGTCCAGTATCGGAGGTAGCTGAGGTATGCGACGAAGGCTGGTTCGTTCAGGAGCTTCTGGGATGCGAGGTGGTTTAGGTAGAAGGGGTTCGCAAGGGATTGGACGAACTAGAGAGCCTTTCTTGTTAGCATTGGCACACCATACGGGGTGGTGTGGAAGATGAGATCAGGGTATACGCACCTCGAGCTCAACCTCGAAGCGACTGAAGCCGCCGTATTTCGGCTCGTTGTCTGCCGGGAGAGGAGGTGGGGATTGCTGCATTTCGATGTCTATTTTGGGTTGATTTGGGCTTCTTATTGTCACAATAATAGAAATAGAAAATAGAGGCGGAATTGGTGTGTTGAGAAATAATGCGACGATTAATGTGGTAGAAGTAAAGACTTAATACGGGTTGGTTCGCGATGATGGCTAATAAAGAGTTGGATGATGGAGAGATTGATAAAGCTTATGTGGGGAATTTAGTTCTATGGGGATGACTAAGGCACCTACATAGTAAGTTACGTCTTTCACATGTTAGAGGACAGTTAAAGGTTCTTGCAAAATACGTTTAAAAGTCCTAAAAACACCATGAAGATAAAATATTAGTCCACCAGATCCAGGCTCGTATTAAAATCAAATATAGCAGCAGAATTAACCAATTCCTTGGGTTATTCGTTATTCGTAAGCTATCCTGTTCGGATTCTAGCTACAACTAACCAACTTGAATATGAGCAAGGCCCCATAAGACATAGCTACTAAATGAATCCGTCCGAGCTACCGCCAGCTCATAATACAGCAGCTACACCCAATATACCAGCCAGCACGCCAGCCCCGAATCTGACGGGCGTAGCGGCCGCATTCGGCGACGACAGGCTTAGAGACTCGATCAAAGAGCTCGCGGTAGCTACCGAAGGCCTGATCCCGCTGAGTGTCTGCGTCCCCACCGACGAGACATTCGCAAATGGATTTGATGAGATTGTAGGCTCTGAGGTTATGCTAGCAGAAGACACCGACCCGGTAGATGTTACAGAGTCCGATACAGGTAGGGTAGGCGTTGGCGTATCAGTCGACGTCGACGTGCTAGATACTTGGCGGACGTTGAAGCTCGCGCTCTGACACCCATATTAGCTCGCTGAAACTACCTAACGTAACGTGGGTAAGTGACCATAGACGTGAATAGCTTACAGCATATCCAATTTGTGCAACGGCTATCGTTGCCACTGTTGTCAATATCGGAATCGACTTCATCCTGCTTATGTCTATTGGATCTACTACACGGTACAAAGCAGACCAACCTACCAACTTGGAAAGCAGAAAGCTTCTCTAACCAAGCAAGAAATGATGCTACCATAATATTAACCAATTATTAGTAACGACACCACGACTTCTTTAGGAGATACAGTGCCGATGAACAACTCTAACCAAGGCGATCTACGTTCAATCGCGGGGGTTAAGGAATTACCTCCTCTACAGCCAAACTCCCACCACAGCACCATATATAAAGAGGACGATCTATGTATCCCCTAAACTCTACCAACGTCACAACATGACGTAGACACGAGGTCTACTGTGTCACACCGTAATGGATTAACCAAACCCATAAGTCCATGACGATCTTAGTTCCTCTCTTGAGAGACCTAAAAGAAGACTACAGGGTTCAGTGAAGATCTTAAACTTCAATTCCATTCATAGTTCTACCCATATCGTAAGTCTAGATTAGAGGCTTCATGTAACAGGAACAGAGCATTTATTACCTTCTTCTCTTTCCCTTGCCCCCGCCCAAGGTCAAGCGGAGATGCCCCGCACCACCCACTATGCCACCCAATATGTCGTACCTACTGAGGGTTAGGGCTCAGAAGAGCCAATCGGAGAAGAAGCTCACAAATTAAGAATATAGGAACAATTTCCAAGCAAAATCGTCAATCCAATAAGCATCAGTGGTTTAGTGGTAAAATCCATCGTTGCCATGAGCATATTCGATGGGCCCCGCGTTCGATTCGCGGCTGATGCATTTCTTTTTCTATTTTATCCATTCGTTCGTTTTATTTAATTTTTTATATATTCCAGTGTCTAGGTAGGTATCTACTAGCTAGCATATTAGTTTAGGCTGGCCGAGGTGACCGTGGTGGATAAATCTGTACAATTACAATAGACCATTGAAAGCCTCAATTTTTATATTATGAGTTGTTTCTTCTCACGTCTCATCGCTCTCCACTAGTGAAGTAATCCTCTAATGGCATATATGAAGGAGAGCGGTATAGCCCCACCCCCGCTTCAGCTGGGATATTGGCAAATATAAAGACAAGACGAATATCAACTACTTACTTACGGTGTCATTATGGACGTCAACATTACGATGATAAGGCATACTAAGATTATGCATTGGAGGGGCTGTTTTGGAGTTTGCATTCTACCATGTATATAACGAGGATGAACTTATCGATCATCAGTGGGACGAGCGGTAAAAAGGCATTATTGCTTTAAAAAGAGTGCTAGAGTAGAAATAGTGTATGTTATACTCGAGTGCAAAAAATCAAAAATGATCGAACCCAGGCTCGAACTGGGGACCTTCAGTGTGTTAGACTGACGTGATAACCAACTACACCATCCGACCTGAAGCAGAGATGGAAAATCTGATTTCTCCATCACGTGATGGTAGTCAATTAAATTACTTTGATATATATATCCACTAACTAGTTAACTATCTTCATTAGGTAAAGTCCCTTGTGCCATCCTGTACCATCAGACCATGTGGTTCTCTACGCAAACTTTAGATACATATCCAAAGGAAACACCCTTCGCATGCTACCTATTAAGAGATCAAATATCTCATTAAACCATGATAGTTAATGATACCGCCATTTGCAATTATTCATCCATTAAGCTCCAACGCCTAGGTCACCTCTACTCCACTCAACTAGAGACGTGGCACTAGATTTCTTAAGAAATGTAAAGGATAAAGCATTAATTACCATAGGTAAGATCTTGGAACAAGTTCAACTTCAACGAGGAAATAGCGAGGCACTTTATTCTTACTTGTTAGATGAGTAGTTAGTTAAAGTAAAAAAGATGACCCATGTTTAGAGCTCGATAGGATACTATCGTGACATTAACCATCCACAAAAAAGAAACCCATATTATCACCCGTTGCTACAAAGCCCGTATTAATGTCGATGACAGGATTTATGTGAGATGAAGGTTTTAGAAGTACGAGATAACTAGCCCATAAGAGCATCTAAGAGAAAAAGGCCAAAATATAAAATGGATATAAAAAAATATATAAAAATATAAAAAACGTACAACACCGGGGATTCGCTGGTCGTCACCGACCCAACTACTAATCCGGCGGTATCCGGCTTATCTAAGGGAGAGCGGACGGGATCCCGAGTTTTCCAGATCCTATGGTCGTACGTGATAGATGGTGTTGTATTTACCACTTATATCTTAATTATAACATGTCTCCACGAATCCCACCAGGAGAATCCCTGACCCTAACACTCCTATCCAGCATATGTATGGACCGATAAAGCATAATAGACTCCATATAAATATTTCTACTGTTTCGTGTTATTCGGGTAAAGTGTTTAAGGGGAAAGGGGCTGACTTCCCATGCTTGTCGTAACATCTTGCCTGATCTATAAGTATAAATGGACTGAGATGGTAATACATAACACTTCCACTGTGAAGCACACAATACACTAGGTTAGATGTATCTACGCCGAAGAAGAAAGCTAGCGGTCTCTAAATGAAAAAATAAATGCATGTCAGCTTATTAAATATGTCCGTAAGAAATAAGACTTTAGTATGATCATACCAGACTTGATATAATATAAACAAGATACCTACACCCAAGATACCAGAAACATCGCGATATGTCGGTTCACCGTCCATATATATTCTAACGTAACAAAGCAAGCATAAGTCTTCAATATTATATCTTGCTCTCCGTTTTATATCGAACAGCTATGAGGGCGCACACACGAGTTCCAAAACGTATCCCAAACATTTTCAGCTTCGAAGCAAATCTTCCTATTGCTGAAAATAGTTTGATACTAGTAACCTCGTGAATTATATATACACAACACGTCTATTTACCGCTAAGAAGAGGACATCCTTCATTGGTCTGGTACTTCCTATCTACCCTCTCACTTACACAGTCAAGTTGATTATTCTTCTTACACAATGTACATATGTAGGTACTCATGTATCTTACATCTATGCGTACCTACTCACCTCCTGGCTCACTAATTTACAGGAACGTGTAGCTTTGTCTCTTGAAAATGACGAATTTTAACTAGGCGGCCCTTCGCTTCCGCAGGGTCTTAGTTCATGTCCATTTAAACTGTTTGCTTGCTACAGGCTCACCCGCTACAAAATAGGTACTCCATCCACAAGCCGTATACCACCAATCACGAAGAACCCCCTGAAAGGGATGAAAAGAACTAACTATACGGTCAAATTCGAGTGTCTGTCTCTGCGGCTAGCTTGGGGGCGTTGCGGGGATATTATGTTTGCACCATCTGAAATCTTTTTGGCTTCCCGGGGGCCAATCGCCGCTCTGTCCATCCATCTTTGGCCCGTCGTCAAACGTATCGTCGTGCAGCCTCCGGATATATCCTCCCCAGTTTCCTCTCCATGTTCCAGGGGTACTGCTCAATAGCCATCAATGAGGGCCTCTTACCTACCTATTTACTACTAATAATTGCACCGAACTCGCTGTTCATGCCCGTATACCCAAAATGCTCATCATCGCAGCTTTGCGCTATAAACTCTGACACCGTCTTCAACTATCCATCGATAATGCCACCTCGTGTACCAGCTTGACAGTTGTAGAAAGCCAGCATTGCGTCCCTGGCATAACAACTACGAGGTTATAGTAGTAGCGAGTCTCACGAATATTGAAGCCATCTCTAAACTTAATTTTCCTTACGTGATCTCAAAATGAACGTCAGCGTCGTTTTTATCTGGCCCCGCTATCCGGTACTCCCGAGACCCCTTGGGGATTTTGTGCCGCTTGGGCTGCCAATTGCATAGCAGCTTGGGCATTGACTTCAGCCTGGTGGACGACATTTTGAATAACGCCTTGCTCATCCGCCGACAAACTCGAAGTGAGATTAGAGTAGAGTTGTGGGTTTTCTTGTTGCATCTCTGTGAAAACGGGTTAGCAACCACAAATAAGGAAGGGAATGCTTATTAATATGTAGGGACTCACTCATTAAGACAGTTCGGAAAAGTTGATAAGGCTCAACCTTGTTCAGAGGCGATTCAAGCGAGACGCTGTCTTCCCCAAGTTCGTCATCTGACTCGTCAACGAGACCCCCATGTTGGTTCTCGATTTGGCTGAATTTGGCGGCTTCCTCGTTGAGGAATTCCAGATAAGCCGTACTCTCATCGCGAGCATCTCCCTGGTCTCCTTCTGCTCCTTCCTCAACGGCCCAGCTGGTATCCTCATCGGCCCATTCGTCCTCGTCCTCATACCCGTAATCATTCGAGTCGTACGTAAAGTCTTCCTTCAATGCTTCCTCGCGGTTCTTTACGGCAGTGGGTAGCGTCTTGAAGAGACCAGTAATGCCTTGCAAGAGCCTTGGCCAGCCGACGCTGACACTCGCAGGGATCTGGTCTGCGTTCAAGCTTAGCAAGGTAACGATAGCCACGATGCATAGCTTCTTGTCGTGCACTCGGCTGAAATGATCCATGTTACTGAACCAGAGGCTGAAGAACTTGTTGGTCCACCCCTTGTTCTCTAGGATAGCTAAAGTCAAGAGCGGGTTATAGTAAATGGCATTTATAACCATTTCCATCAGGTGGATCTTATACGACTTGACCCTGATTTCTTGACCACTGAGCACCGTCATGGCCGTGGTGATAAACCCCGTGACAGATTGGTCAATATGACCACGTAGACTTAACATCATAGCTTCCGCAAGCTTGCACGCACAGATGCGATCGACATCTCCGACCTTCTGATCTTGGAGGAACATATCTTGGACCATTCCGTATAGAGCCTGGACGTACTCTGGTTTCTGGGCTAGTTGGATAGCACCGTATTGCACAAAGTTGTCCAGGGCTGGCAGCATGTCCTCGAAGTACAACTCGGCGCCGGATTTGAATGTGCCGTGGATGAGCTCGAAGGCTTGCCACATAGTGGGCGAGATACTTTTCGCGGCAAAGGTACAACTGTCAATTATTTCGAAAACTTCATTATAGAGATCTAAGATAATGTTAGTTAACCAAACGACCAGAGGTAGAACGTCAACTATATTTACCGTATAACCTGTTCTCCAAGGTGACCTGGATGACGGGCATTAGAACAGCCTCGATGTGCAGTAACACGTCAGGAGTACTTTCTAATGTTAGGATTAGAGTGCCAATGGTCTGCAGAACACCCAAGGCAGTTATGCTTTTGTCGTCCAGGTAATCACCAAAATCGTCATCGTCACGACCATTAGTCTTGGCGAGAAGCTCGCTGATAATCCTGAGGTAGGTATCCCTTAGCTGCTCGCTTAAAGCTACAGCGAACGGGGTTAGCTCGGCTGCGAACACCTCGACGAAGTCCTCCATCACGTTGGCCAATGCATCGATATCACACTCATTGGCCAGCTTGAGGAGTTGTTGCATGATAGTAGGGATGCTCTGCTGCATACTTATGCGGATAACATCGTGTCGAATTAAAGGTTGCAGTGCCAGCGCAGCCGTGACTCTGACGGGCAGGTCGCTATCAGCCATACAGTCTAGGATGTGCCGATAAACGAGGAGTAGGTTGTTCTGAT